GTCTGTATATTACAAGAGTTCTAATCAATCACCGTGTTCACGTATCTCTTCAACTGATATGAATAAAGGAACGGGGGATGTAATACAATCTACAATGAACCTAACCGCCATTGTCCTTCGATCCGTTAATGTAATAAAAGTTTGCGATAAGAGCTCTTGACCGTAGCTGAGTGGCTTGCGGACATAACGAAATTGTTGCCGGTTTGTCAGAGCTGTTATTACTCCTGAATGATTACTCCCTCTGAGCTCAGCCAATATATTTACTGAGTTTAGGTCATTCTTATTAGCCGTATTATCATTAATAAACTCATAAATGAAATTAGTTGTCAGAGAGACACATTTACAACTTTCTAGAGTTGATTAAGACATTTTCTAGATTTGTTTCTAATTCAATGAAGGGTAATTAAGGTTGTGTACAGTGAAGAAGTAGCTAATGTCCGAAATGATTTATTCAAAATATCGAAATTCATTTAAAGTGACAAAATTATTCTGTTTTAAACGCACCCTGAGAATGATCCCCCCTACGGGGGACAGTATTCGTCTACCATAGGTAAAATATGGGTACAAGATTTGATGAAAATATCTTCTCGTGTTCGCGGAATTTTATTGTCGCCCAGCTTAAACTAACCCTGTAAGCAAACCCTTCGCCTTGCAGGGAGGTGGCAAATGATCATAATGTCTGTCATTGAGTCTAATGACGTGGTTTCGCCTACCTAATTTCATGGGTTTTCTCCGGGTCCCCCGGCTTCCTTCCACTGCTAAAGACACTTACGCGCAAATTAATTATTGAAATAAAATTGTACCATGTGTTAGTCTCGAAATGATCTAATTGGTGTTTAATGGACGTTAAGCCTCATTTTCCCTCTCTCTTTCCGTTCTGACTCAAATAACGATGGTCATGTGTGGGTGCTTACTGGCGATTCCCTCATATCTTAAAAAGACTAAGATAACCGCTCTGTGGCGGGTCTCTGTCATGTTGACAAACCTTCAAAAATAACATAATCAAAACTCTTAGTTCCGTAATTTGTTTAAATGACACGCAGTCAAAACATATACTTTATCTTAATATATTTGTATGACATATTTGCGACACACACTAATGTTTATGCCATTAGTGCTACATAAAAACCATCTGGTATTCATGTTGCATACTGAAAACTAGTTGTATGTATGAGAATGACATGCAAGTATTACTGTATATCTAGTTATGTGCATAGATATGTTAATAACATTATATCTACTGAGATATGTATATCATAAAAAAATAAATGGGCGGACTGTATATTACCAGCCTATCTTTATTATCGGGTATGTGTTATTTTAAACAGTAATAATGTCGGGTGCGTTTTTGCTGTAGTCTTTAAAATTATATTTATCCTATTATACGATGCAACTTCCAACCGAAAACAACTGTAATGTTGATTAACGCTGCTCACAAATTTCTGCTTGTCAAATGTCGCTCTGTCTAGCTATGCGTATTGAAAGAGTATCGTGCAGCATAATATTGTTCCTTTTTCTTTCTAGATGACAGGGACAGATGTCTAGTCGTTCGAATGGGACGAAAAACCGAGGTCCCGTGTACACATTGGCGTGCACGTAAAAGATCCCTTGATAGTTGGAATTCGACATAAGAGTAGGCCGTAGTGCACACTGTATGGCGTATGCCCGTCTTCATTAGCCCAGTTCGGAGCAGAACAATAGGACGTAAACCCCATTTCATTTCATTTCATTTCATTTTTTCTTTTTAGATCACTTGATACCACTTTTCAAGTTGTCATCGCTAACTACAAAACCATGTCTCGGTGTGAATGCACATGATTCCGTAACAACCGGGGTGTTGGCTACTGGTGTACTTCGATGTCTTAATCTTAAGAGTAACCTACACTCTAATTAGTTAAGATTTGTGGGTCAGATCTTTCGGGAAGATCACATAGCTGAACTAGAAAACGACTTTCACTTTAAATGTAATGTTCATAAAGGAACCAAAAATGTCAATTTCACAGTCCACTTGAATCAAAACATAATAATTGGGGACTGCAGGGGTTAACACAAAAAGCTTTTTTTTCTGCTTCAACGGCAAATCTGAAAAAATTGTTCATTTTAAGAGGGCAGGGAACGTGATTAGATTTTGATAAATTATTGACGTTTTTATAAATGGGTGAGGAAGCGCAGTAAAAGGCAGACGATAATCTGTTAACTGGTAAATTACTAGACACACGTACAACTTCTCTAGAGACAAGAAAAAAACTCATTCTATGTCTGACTATTTGATGTTGGGTGATTATTCTTCAACACAATTTACACATTATCACTTTGTGAAGATATAATGTCTACCGTTGTATAGATATATTATGGACATAATACGCCATCTGCATTTCTGGTCATATAATTTTCTACTGGTGTAAAAACGCTATCTGTAGCTCCCTTTCTTCTAAAAATCCGATTACTCAAGCAATATTAACACAAGAAACGTGTAATGTTTTAGTCCCGAAGAAATGACCCAGGTACCCCAGCTATCTCCTTCTTGACAAACGAATTGAAGGGGATCGGAAGTAACGTTTTATAACGTTGTGTTTCTATTCGTTATATAAGAATATCGTTGAACACAAGTCTCGTCTATAAAGACAATTAGAAAATGTGTGTAAGACAACAATATACTCTAGAGTCCATGATAAGTGACAAAACGAAAAACAACCACAGCAGCACGCAATCAATTCATCTCATGTTTTAGACACTGAAATCTCTGAAGAAATAAAGGAAATGTGATGATATCTTGGGAATAACATAAAGTGCTGATTGGCATCATGCCTGGTTCCAGGAACAATCCATAAACACCAAAGATTTTCTTAACCGTGTTTTTTTGATAATCTGGGCCAGGCAAGTAATTCCTTATCATTTAACTGAACGACTGACTTATTTTTAAATATACTCTTCAAAAAAAGTAGGGGATATTGAAATGCAAATACCTATGCAGGTTGTAATATGATAAATATTCATGGACACTTGACATGCTTTGACAGTATGTTAACAGATGAAGAACTTATCGCCCCAACAGAACCACTGAGCTGCAAGTGCGACGCGCAATAGCGCCACACATGTGGGAGGGGTTCATTGTCAAATTTGACACATCAAGGAAGGGTTGATGAAAACTGCCGCCCGCTGATTTATCCTATCCATGTTTGCTTTCCTATCGGTTCTTGCATAAGATTTACTGTTTAGCGTATCTCTGCTTTAGTGTGTTAAGTTTAATTTGCAATGAGACGTCTTCAACATGAAGAACGTCTACGTGCTATTGGCATGCTTCAAATGGGTTCCACACAGCGAGCAGTAGCCAACATGCTTAATGTGTCACAGTCTGTGATTAGCAGACCGTGGAACCGGTACCAACAAACACATAATGTTGATGATAGACCTTGTTCAGGTCGACCTATAGCCACTACACAAGCCCAGGGTCGATACATTCGTAGATAGGTCCTGCGAAATCAAGGACAAACGGCCAATCAGCTTTCTGTAAACTTGTACCAAGTTACTGGAATTCGAGTTACACCCCAAACGATTAGAAATCGGCTATATGCAGCCCATTTGCATGTGCGACGGCCGCGTGTTGTGCCTCCATTAACTCGCCAGCACATGGCAAACAGGCGTCAATGGTGTAGGCAGCGTAGAAATTGGGGTAATCGTCGATGGGCGCGTGTAATGTTCTCAGATGAGCCCAGATTTACTCTGGATTTTACCGATAGGCGTGCTCGCGTTTGGAGGCGTGTAAATGGGCGTCATGCTAACGTTAACGTCAGACAGATTCGGGCGTGGGTCTGTTATAGTGTGGGGAGGAATCACCATGACTGGCAGAACGGACTTTCATATTGTTCAAGGAAGGGTCACTGGTGTGTACTACTACCGTGACCACATCCTGGCACCGATAGTTCTGCCCTTTGCTCAACGTGCAGGTCGACGTTTCATCTTTCAAGATGATAATGCCCGTGTCCACCGCGCTCGTGTCGTGAATGACTACCTCCAGCGTCACCATATTGCCCGTATGCCTTGTCCCGCCATGAGTCCTTACCTTTCCCCTTTAGAGCATGTCTGGGATATGATCGGGAGACGTGTTCGTCTACGTCAACGTCAACCGACAACACTGCAAGAATTGGCCGTGGCACTGCAAGAGAAGAGGGTCAGATTGCCCCAAATCGTGATTGGACGGTTGATCTGGAGCATGCCACGACGAATTGCTGAATGTCTGATGATTGGTGGAGCAATTACTCATTATTAAGACAAAAATCTAAAACGTCCATTTTCAGTTTTGACAGTGTATCTCTTTGCGAGTGAAATGGACCGTCAGATAAGCCGCCCATATGAACTGTTTATGTTCATGTGTAGGCAATTGGCCTTTTATTAACATACACTGGTTACCTCTAATAAAAACAGCAGTGCATTTCCGCAGTTCTGTATTGTTTCTGAATATCCCCTACTTTTTTTGAAGAGTATTTATTGCAAAACTCGTTGCAATTCTATTTGGTATTTTAAACTTGGTAATATTTTACAGACTGAATTTGTGCTTGGTCCTTTATCTTCACCATAAATTTTGTATTGTTTCTGAATATCCACTACTTTTTTTTGAAGAGTAATTATATATCGTACAGCTAAAGATGACAATTGTATATTTTGTTTTAAGAACAATGATACCGACAGATTTTTCATGTATGCGGTATAATTGGAGAGATAATCGGAAGAAAACCAAAATTGTTGCAGTTCATTTAAATTACCAACAAGGCGATTCTTAATACAAAGACACGGGTGAATTATAGTCAACTTTTTCTATTTTTAATCCATGCAGGTCAACTATAAAGTCAACTATTTTGAGGTGTTCCCGCCTATCACATACGTGTGAAACAAGCCATTTGTAGAATAGACAGCAGCGTAGGAACATAAATAAGTAATGATTGTAATATTTGAAGAACATTAATTATACCAAAGACTCTGTATTATTACAAATCCGGAAATTCATCTGCTAGAGTTACTGTTTTTTTCTAATTTTTCAGTTAATTACTATATGGATATAGATATAGATTACATCTCGAGTTGGTTCTGTATATAAACAGGATGTGGTAACAGACAGCAATGGATTTCAGCAAGTCGAAGGTCTGCCGTTGAGCTAAGGTCAACGGTTAATTTGTTGGCATACATAGTAAAAAGGCGTGCATACTGATTATTCAGTTGATTAATATGTATTTTCAGTTGATTAATGTGTATTATTTAATACTTATTTACGCTGGTACTTACATTAAATTACACGCGGCAGTGGTACGAGAAAATACAAACTAGCACGATTCCCTCCCTTTGCACCAATTCTCAGTAATGTGTAAAATGTCTGTAACTTTCGAATTAATCACATCGCTCTTACCACCCACTAACATTCATACAGTTAAAGTCATGTAATTAATTGATTTATTTCCCAGTTGTAATTTACATCTAAATAAGGAAAGAATGCGTCATTAAAATCATATAACATCGGATACAAATTTTCAAAGTACCGGCTTTGAATAGATCATTAAAGCGTTTAACGGAGCGTTTCAGAACACAACAAAATCAGCAAAAAAATGTCAGCAAATCAAAGAAATCGATTTATCAGTATGTTATAGGAGAGTTTTTGTGGTTGAGCACCGAACTCATGATATTTAATTGAAAATCGTATTGAACTTTGAATGGCTGGATTAAATACAAAATGTTAGAAATTCAATCTCCTTGCTTTCCGTTTCATGGACATGGATGACTTTACGATCTATTCAAGTGAGTTTAAGTTCCTGCAATAACTGGGGCCTTCTAATTTAACTTCTTATGGGTTTTGTTTACTCGCTTCTCGTTGGAATATTTTATTTAATCTCCGCGGTACACTTTATAGCTTGACTCACTTTCTTCAGCATGGTTCCCGCAATCTGAAAGGTCATCGTAAATTCTATTTAGCAGACGACAATCTGAGACTTAATGGCGAAGAAATTCAATTGCTGCGGAGCTAGCTCGGGAAGCAGATGGATATATGAATTAGTTAGCTCCTAATTGACTTTTTTGAGATGGAGAGTACAGTAATTAAGTGACCACTCATAGATTGATAAAAGTACTTGAACATGCCTCAAATAGTGCCAATTAATCTTTCAAAATCTTCGAGAGAAGAAATTACACAAAATTTCAATTTCCGTTTTTCATAACGACAGTTACATCAGCAAAAAATATTTTGCAGATCGAATACTGCATACTGAATCATAAAATTGAGAAAATATCTTCTATTGGTGCCACTATTTTGAATGAAAATAGATGATTAATAGAAATGAGGACAGAGGTCAATAATAACGAAAATGGTTAAAATTGAATCTAGTGACTGGTTGGTTTAGAACTCCTAACAAGTACTTAAGTTCATTGTTTTAGCTAAAAGCTGTTGATAATGTTGTAATGAGAAAATCGTGATTAGGCACTCATGACTTGGAATCTAATTTTGATGCTTAGGACCCCAATATTTAACTAGATGTCGACACCATCTAATGAAATAAAAAATGCATCTCTATTAATTTGCGCTTCTTTTCCTTGGGGGTGAATTTTAATTCTTGTACGGAAACAGAATTAGTAAGGAAGTGGGCTAACCAGCTCGTTTATCGGTATTTCGAAAACTAGGGTCACCCAAGGGATTTTAAAACCTTTGAACAAAGAGAGAGAGAGAGAGAGAGAGAGAGAGAGAGAGGGGGGGTAACGTCCATTCGACACAAACTAGGTCATTTCGGGACTAACACATGGTTCAATTTTTTTTCAATAATTCGCTTGCGCGTAGGGGTCTTTAGCAGTTGGAGGAAACCCACGAGGTTGGACAGGCGACCCTCCTCCTTGTCACGTACAACCGGGGATTAGAAACTACGCCAGTTGACTCAATGACAGGCCGTATGATACAGCGCGCACATGCTTTGAATAAAGAAACTATTGCCAGGTCAGCAATGTACGCACACCAAGACTGTAACCCAGCGGTAAAAGAATCCTAAAAGAATATGCGATTAGGAATATTATCCTGGATATCGGTGATAGGAGCACTGAATCTGCGTAAAAATTACTGAACCTATCGAAACTGTTCCTCTCTCAAAACTTTAATACCGGCATATGGCCTAAAGATCAACAATCTGATTAAAACACAGACCCCATTTCGTTTCGTTTTTTATAATTCAAAATTTTGTTTTACTTGTCTTTACTATAGGATCTGAGAGCGTTATTATAGAAGTGAGGGATACCCCAATGAAACGGTCTGTTACGTTGACGTCTTGGATTGCCATGCACGGAACTGTAGGTAATCCGTACAAGAAACGTCAACGCTGATTGATCAATCAATGTCTGACGTCATAGGTCAAAAGCCGCTCTTACGACCCCTGACACGACCTTCGAGTACAAATTGTCAGATCTTCATGTAGTGTAGGCCATCTGTGGAATTTTGTAGTGTTCCCCCTACTGACAAGCGAACAAACTCAGAAGGTGTGAAATGAAAATCGAAAAAAATGTTGACACCTAGAGGGTTTACAGGGGTTATAACACTGTAAGATCGATGCGTAACCTTGATTTTCAAACGGCTTCCTCAATATTCCTAGCCGAAGAAACCAAGTAAGTTTGAAAAAGACAGTCTTAAACACTCTGACAGTCTTAAACACTCTGATCTGTACAACCTTTACACGAAAATAATACACCTATGTAAAATGTGGGCGAATATAAAGCATTTTACGGGCCCCTTGAAACCGTCGAGACCCCACTTTGCTCATGTATTGGCCACAGTCGCTTCCATAACGATTTTATGGTGTTTCTCGCACGTGTACAACGAATACGGCTAATGCTGTTAAGGTATGAGTCATGTGTTTTCATAATTAACCATGGTGAAGATATAAAAAAAACTGATATTTTGTTGGTTTTCAAGTGGTCTTTTGCTATTCAATCCTTCTATTTATCGTGCCACGTCTTGTCACCTAGCCAAGTGGAACCCTTGATTACACATTTTCAAACCTTTCTCTGTCAAGGACACCACCTGATAACTCAAAACAAAGAAATACATTTATTAAATTTAAAAAAGTTATATCGATTAACAAAAGTATTCCAATCAGCTAAACCATCGTAAAATGGTCCGTTTCGCTAGAAGAATGTTGTTGTTGATATCAATGCATGTCCCAAGGACAATTTATACATTAATTTAAAGGGATATATTATAGCCAGGATATGACAAATGAGTTTAATGCGTGCTGATTAATGTAAACTGACGCTGAAGATGTGTCTCTTTAACATAGACCAGACATTTTCGCCAGAAATCTTGTAGATAAATAAATTGCATCTGAAAAAGAATTTATAAGAATATAGATAATTTTAAAGTAGTTGAAGGACTCATGACCGCGTCCTATAACCTTAATGTACCAAAAGTCCAATTCTTGAATAAGTGCCCAACTCAGTATCTTGGGTTTTGTTGACATGCCAGAAACGGACAAAAAACCTACCTTCAAGCAATACTTTTTATAGTCACTAAAAATTGACACATTCATAAACAAATTACTATGTTTTCGATACGACATACATTTGCAAATCCCAACAAGTAATCGCCAAAAACAATGGTTACCATGGACATAAGTACTATTCTGTTTGTTTCGAGTAGTTTTTTAGTAGTTGGTATATAGTTAGTTTTATATTACTCTAGATGATTAACAGATTACTAATGTCAGTAGTAATTATATGATTAGTATATTTTAATAAGTCCGTTACATTCCTACATATGGTGCCAATATTGTAGTAATGGTGTTTATAGTAATATCCTTGTGTATGTTTTCAGATGGCAGCTATCATAAACTGCGTCATTTATTCATTGTGTTTATTCCATCATGTAGAATATAAATCTGCCCTTTCTACAAGTGTGTAATGATTTTAAATGTGTAATTATTTAGCAATTATGTAATTAAACAAATAAATTAAATTACTGATACCAAAATGTCATAGCAATAGAAAAACATAGTACCAAAAAAGTGTTAGCTATGTAACCTTTTCAAACAAATGAGAGGTGATATTAAGTGTTTAACAGCAGTAAGTATACACTGCTTTCGCATTTGCACGGGGCATGTTGTTTGACAGCGACAGTATAGCATTTTGAGTGGGTAATATGCTACATCAACATTCAGAATTAATAGTTCCCAAATACCGTGTGTAATATGTACCTTAGTAAACTAGTTCTATCCGTGTTTAAAATTGGAGAAGAATTTTGAATAAATCTCATACTTATCACATTAAACGATACAGGGATGACGACAGTGCTTGTAGTCATGTTAGTTAGTTTGAAAGTATGCCACAATTTTAAAGTCAAAATAATCCACTCATATCACATAAGATTTGAAACGTCTCTGAGATGGACAGCTTTTATTTGCTTGGATTCCATAAAACTAAGACGTCTTCATGTATACATTTTATTACACACCATAAATGGATTCCGATTGTTTTATTCTTTAATGTTCTGGGTAAAATCTAAATCCCAGATGAATCGTGACCTGTTACCAGGAATCGGTGGAATCAGTGGCCATAGAACATAAACAGACACGTGTAAATGGATTACCAAATATAAATATAGATATATGTTATAATGTCTAACAAAACAAATCTAGACATGTCTTCCCTTATCTGTGATAATAGCTATAGTAATCAACTCTATTATTTTCTACTATATAAATCAATGTTCCATCTCCGCTATCCAATGTTTTCAATAGCATCACATTAGTGTTCTGTATTGACCATAATCAAGCGATATCAAATAACATTAAGAGAATGGATCACCCGGCTTTGTTATATCTGTCAGTGAATAGATAACAAAATGTAAACTGACATGTTTTAATTGTGAATGACTGAAGTCTGACATTTCATATATTAATAACTGATTGTTTTAAAATAAAACAATGCTTCCAATATAATAATACAGTTATTATGTAAAAATATCAACTAATTAGATTTCAATCTTTAATTGTTGTGTGCGGCGCTTTGCCATTTTATGGAATCGTCAGAATTGTACAATTGTCAAGGTTGAAATACATCCGGTGTTCTAAGAAGACCGACCATATCCTCGTGTTTAAACTTTCCCAAATCCAAAGGCCAATAAAATATGGATTAACCTATCGTTTCGGAAAAACTTTTTGAAATCTCAAGCATTAACATTCAGTCATGATTCAGATGCCAGGGGCATATCGTTTACCTTGTTCCAATGTGGATGGACAAGGAAAGTGTGCCTATTCTTTCGGATGTGAAAAACAAACGCCCGAGTACACGTAAATGAAACCTTGTCGGGTGTTATTCGATGAAAAGTGCGCGAAAACGTTAGTTACTGTCAGGGCAAAATATGCTTTTAACGAGACGTTCTTATTTTATCATATGCTTCCAGTGGTGAAACAGTCAATGAATTTAAAACCTCTGGACAGGAAACGCATGTTGAAATAGTACCGAAATGATTTCATGGCTTTGATGGTTATATATAGTTAAATATTACTTATTTACCATCTCATCTATAAGATTACATATTTACAATCTACATGTATATTATTGTGTATTATATATAGTTAAAGATCACTTATTTACTATTTGTATTATTTGATGTTATATATAGTTAAAGATCACTTATTTACCATCTGTATTAGTTTATGTTAAATAGTTAAAGATCACTTATTTACCATTTGTATTATTTTATGTTATAGTTAAAGATCACTTATTTACCGTCTGTATTATTTTCATTTATTTATTCTTTATATCATTTTGTCTTCTAATTTGTTCTAAACGATTTATCCACAGCAACATAGACAAAAAATATAGGAATATTTAATAGTCCATTAAGAATTTGTGTCATTGTAGCAATCGTAGGTAATTTTCAGGTTTAACAAGAAACAACCTGTCTGTTTTCCAGAATAACTGTTTCATATTAGCAAGGGTACAAACTATATATTGATAATATTTTAATTGGCAGATTTATAAATCGAAATATATTCAATGCTTATAAACAATGTCATATGGCACGGTTTTGAAATTCCGCATATTCTGATGACATAAACATAAGTGCTTTGACAGACTTATAATGATAAAATGTCAGTTTACTCTTTAACTTTGTTCTGTGTTTTCCAATCGATTTTATAGGAAAAACAAACAAACTACAAAATCTCAAAATATGTTTCATATTGGATAAGTGGAATTAAAGTCGAAGTCAGGTATTCCAGAAACGCTCGCGACATCGGGCCGGTTGATTGAATTGCACACGTTCTGTTTACTCGCAGGTATTGATATTTCCTTGAGGCCAGAGAGGAAATGGGGGTTAAAGTTGGACGTGGGAGGAAAGCGGAGATCATGAAGGAAAATACAAGGAATTAGACATGCGACCCCTTTCTCTGTTATATACAATTGCGAAATTGTAGCTTGGCAACATAGGATTTTAAGTCATTCGTCCACCATCTTTGCAACCCAGTTTGATTAAGCTGTTAAGTTAGCATCAAAAAGTAAAATGTATGCAAACAAACCCTTCATATATTTTTACTTTCAGACTGCCTGATTTCTCAATGGAACCAACGAATGATTCTCTGTTATCCAGCTTCTATTTCGCGATTAGCCAGTTATTGACTCAGTAAATGATGAACAAACAGTGGTTATAATGAGACGTTATTGGTCGACTCGTGGTGAATATGTTCCATGGAAAATGGCAAAGGACTGGTTTTAAATAACTCATCTACAGTAAACACAAATCAACACACATTTTCAAGATCGATGGTAAAATGTGAGAAGTAATTGATCCCTGCTCCCTGGGATTTAAACCACGGAAATTAAAAATAGATCCAAGATTTAAACCAGTTGTGTTGCCGTCTGTTTATTGTAGCTTAACTTGTGTTTTCTGTCTCGTTTGACACGCCATTGACACAAGAAACCCAATTTTCCTGTCGAATTAAGACAAGCTTAGATATTGTTTTTGAAGTCGCTATCCACATTAAATGAGTTTTATTCCCTCTCGAATTGAGGTAATATGCGTATTTAATTTCCAGACCGAGCTCCCGCCTTATTTTGATTTCAATGTCAATATCACTCGGATCATACGAAACTATCGCGTGTTACATATTATGGAAACTTTGCTTGGATTTCTCAGAGGTGAAAACATTTGGAAACTGGAGACGTATACGCCTGTCTTATAAATCACGCATGTTTACTATACATCTCGTATACAAATTTTGATCAACATTTTGTATAAATATTCGATCATATTTCTGCTTATGCATCAGTAGCATTGAAATCCTTCACTAATATCAACCAGATTGTTCACCAATCCTGAAAGTCAAAAATATGCACTGTTTTGATGTAAAGATTGGTTTTATTGTTATTTAGGACATCATAGTATTTAAAAACAAACTCTTATTAGAATGGGTTGGCTAGATCAAAATTATTATTACTTTTTTTTAAAAAAAGACCCAAAAATACGAGGGTGGCAAATCAATAGAAACTAATGTACATTAAACTGCCAACAGATATTCTGAATTTCTTCTTTTTTTTCAGATGTTTCACCATGATCTTTGTGTCGATAGTCTGGAAAAATGTTCTTCCGTTGTGGAAACTTGAAACAAAATAAAACTTCTACACAAAATATGTAAATATGTTTTAAATTATCGTTGACAATATATATATTTTCATTTTAAGTTGACCTGTTCAAAATTTCGACAAAATTTGTTTTTAAGATAACATGAATCGGGTGAGTTTCTGTTATCCATCCATTTCGATCCATTTATATACCTATTCACTTATAAAAATCACTTTGGGTTAACAATTAGCAGTAATTATAGTTTAAATACGTAGCTTATATTAAAATTGAATTATTAACACAAGGAAGTCACTACCAATCAAATTGCACACTTTTTATATTTCTATTCCATGTCATACAATAATTTATTTATCATCTTTCTTTAGTTCTGTTTTGAAAGAGAAAAGTTTTGTTTATTCGCTTGTTGAAAAATAGAAATCTTTTTATCAATAAATTCTATACATAAATGGCTGTTGGGCTTCCACCATACTGAACATACAAGAATCAGCGAAAAAAACATAACCGCCCATTCCCATCTGGCCAGTTTCTACATTGACATAAAAGGAAAGATGACAGAATAAAGAGGGCTAACCTTTTATAATGAAGATGTTTTCTCTAGTTTGGTATTTACATTGTTATTAATAGATAAAGACATGTATTTACATTGTATTAACCAACACAATAACACATGTAAACACTTATACCAGGTGTATATACATTAACACATTGCTCTTTGCATGAATTGAATAGTTAAAAGGCCACCCCGACAAACAGGCTAGAATACCTTTTCGAAACTCTTGTAAGACAGACAAAAAGCATTGAATTTGGTGAATTCCTTAACATGTTTTGTCCTGTTTCCATGTATCTTATTCTAAAACTGCGAATTTTTCTTTAAATTAGAGGACCGCGGTAGTCGAGCGGTAGGACATCTCGGCTATAATATCATTGGTTAAAATCCCAGCATGGGTCAAGAAGAACTTTGGGGTTGTCACTTGTCAGGGTGGCACCTGCGGGGCAGACAAGGAAAGTGGACGGAAAACCGAAATCCACAAGTGTTCTTTATTTCCACGATTTGTTAGAAGTAAGAGGTAACCGAAGGACCGCGAGAATATCCACGACGTTAGACAGGACCTACAAGCTTGGATCGTAATCATGCCAGTTAACTCATTTGTAAACCTGACGATATAAACCGCACGTATTAGACAACTCGGCCACTGAACCTGCACTAAAAAAAAAAAATTAATTCAAATGAAATTGGTTTTAATTTCTAATTTTCGGCACAAACCCCGATAATGAAAACGGACAGCGTGCGATGACAAACACTTTGTCCTGACGCTCAGGGGATCTACAGCGTGCGATGACAAACATTTTGTCCGGACATATTCTTAGGGGATCTTCAACGTGATGCTAATAACAAATTGGATATTCCGCCATAAAAAAAAGAAAAAACCATCACATCGATTTTTTTTTCTTCTGCATATTATCCTTGCATTTTATTAAGACAAAAAATATATAGACTGTTTCTGTGTATAGATCATATATTAAAAAAAAAGACTCGTCATCTTTGAATAACCTTTCAGTTCAATTCTATTTATAAAAAAAGATAATTTAGCTGTCGAACAACGAATTTCCTTAAAAGCAATACGCTGTCAAAAAAAAAAAAAAAAAAAAATTGACAGACTTTTGTAAAAGAAAAAGTGAAAAAAAAATTAACCCGACTTATTCATCCAGAAAGTTCTTCTCATGTAAAAAGAAATGAAGTACATGAGAGTGGCTATAGTGTTTAAGTGGATTAAATGTATCCCTTTTTAAAGCCCAATTGTAAATATTTGCACATTAATTGTAATATTTTCTATGTATACATATTTCATTCAGCAGAGGATATTTCTATTAAACACATTCCCTTGACAACTAAAAGATTTTTATAACCCGAAACGAAATAAGGCCGCGTTGGGAAAGGGTTGATCAAACACCCTTGAGAATTTCAGAAGAAATGAAGAATAAATTGCACGCCTTAAGGCATTTTTTTCGACCAACGGTGTCTAATTTAATAAATCTAGAAATCACTACATCACTTAAAGAAGGTAAATATAGCATTTATATAGATATAGATTTAATATATATATACATATAATAGACTTAGGGAGAACCACTTTCAATTATCATAAAACAATTTCTCTATTGTCAATCAAAGGATCCGATTGGTAGAATATAAAATGTCAAACTATTTAACCTCTGTTTTTATTGGATAAGAGATACAGGTGAAATGGAAATATATTTTCATTTGATATCTACTTAATAAGTTGAACCTAAAATATAAAAAGATGCGGGTCTTTTGAAGAATAACAAAGTCACTAAACGAACTTGGGGTTTTTCTGCTTGCTTTGGCGATGAGTTGGATTTTTTCTTGAAAATATATTTTCCTAACTTTCGTAAAAAAATATAATAGCGAATATGTGTAATGCTTATAACAATTGTATGATTTTGTCAAACAGTTAATTTAATTATGCCTATGCAAACTCCATTGCTTTAAAGTTGTATATAGTTTAATTAATTCAGTTTAGAGAAAGAAGAATCAAAACTCTAAAACATGTCGAATATACCTAAATAAGTTAAATATGCCTTTTCACGTTCTACAGTAATGGACATTTTAACAACTCTTCTTTCAGAAGCATGTAGAAGATAAGGAACGCCTTGTTATTGCATAGTTCTGAGTGTGCTCAAATTCCCTCGGGCAACATTGGGAGGCTTTAATTTCAATACTTGGACAATACAATGTCGATTCTTTTTTCTTCTTTTTTTTGAAATATTTTAATATAAACACAAGCTTAGAAATTCTGAAGGGTATAATTATCTTTTAGAAAAGGATCGACTAAGGCCAAATACGTTCACAGAACTGTGTAGAAGAACATTAACAAAAGTCTTCAGTTCTTTATACAATTCTATGCACTATCAAATATAATTGAATCTATTTAAGATGGGAAACACGTTAGTGCCCCCAGTAAGCTGTTTTGTTAGATTTTTAAATAGTCCGGAAATGGAATTCATGTTTTAAATTTCGTTTATTTTTTTCATCATGATCTAACGGGTTTACAAAGTTCGTAAGAAATCACTGTTATCCGCCGTTCTTTGTGGTGTTCCAGTGTTCCTCCTGCACTTTTGATTGGCCCTTTCGTAAACGAATCTTTGCCTTGACGTCAAATGATGTAAAACGAGGCCCCAACTACTTCGAAGATCAAAAGTTTAGTTGTCGATCGTAAAAATAATTTCCATATACTTTTGCTTGACATTGAATTATCTAGTGCGTTGTAGCTTTAGAAAGGACACAATGATAAACATACGGTTTGTCTATTCTATGCATAAATTTCCATTGTAAAGCTCATTGCTAGAGTCAAATAAATCTGTATGCAACACGAATAAATACGTGAACTGGAATATGGAACCGAAGTGATCGCCCTTTGGACCAAGATAACTTTATTTCCTATGTGTCTGCGAGCTCTTTCGAGCAAATGATTCAATTTGCCGCTAAACGGTAGAAAGAGAATGAAGAAAGAACGGTGGCGACTAGCAAACCACTTTCCCTACAAGTCGACCCAACACTATAAACACCAATACAGACTGTCAAAAATAGACACTTTAATGAAACTTGGAAATTGCAGAGCAAAATTAATTTGTGTCGGCAATTACTCAAGTAACGTAGCAGTCAAATTTTATATTGGCAATAAGAAAGAAAAGGCCAATTGAGTCAATCAAGCAACTCAATAACCAAACACAAGAGACAATAGAGCTGTAGGGTAGAGTCGTGAGTTTTATTGTCTTCAGGACAAGTTTATGTAAATATTTCAGATTGAATCTAGAAGATTAGGTGCCTGGTATAATGTATTAGAGAACTGGTGTGACTTTTAAATATTATAAGGAATATCAAAAGTAAACAAGCTGATTTTTATACAGTGTTTCATCTACTCGTGCCAGATTTTTATTTTCCGTAAACACCTCTTCGTGTTTAAACTGTCAGCATATTGACACATTATTAACAAACATTATAACGTCATTAACCAATGACACTCTTGATACCGAGGGAGAGTTTAACGTCCACACGACACAAACTAGATCATTTCAGGACTAACATATGGTTCAATTTTATTTCAATAATACGCATGTGCGAAGGGGTCTTTAGCAGTGGGGGGAAACCGGAGGACCCGAAGAAAACCCATGAGGTTGGGCAGGCGACCCTACTCCTTTTCACGTACACCCGGGGAAACGAAACCACACCAGTTAACACAAAGACAGACCTTACGATACACACCTTATGATACAACGCGCATGCGCTTACCGATCACCGATCTGCAAAATATATGGAGACATGATGGGCATTTGTACAGAATTCTTCATGCTTAAAGAAACCGGAACCAATATTGGTTAGACTTGATTTTGTCAATCAATGGCAAGTTAAAACCCAATGACTTTTTGAAGCACCTAATTTTTTTATTGCAGTTCCAATTCGATCTAATCTTTCCTGTAAATAGAAGACAAATGTCAAAAGCAGGATATTAACGATTGCTTTCTGTAATACCCTATAAAGTTTCACTAATGCCAGGACTTTTCCCTCCAGTTCGGCACGTTTTTTCCCCACTTTTCAATAAACGAGAAGAGATCGAATGCGATGGTGCCATTATTACAGCCGTCAATGGAAACGTAAGCCACGTTTGTTTGTTATTAATTTCACAGTAATTATTTTTTATCCGCCATTTGTGATGTTTTAGAGATTATGTACCTGTGATCTATTGGTAGTGTGTTAAATTATATATCTTGTGGATTGTGACTGTGGTAGAACTGTAATATAAATTGTTGATTCCGGCGTCTGAGAGAAGGCTGATCTTGTAACATTATACATAGAGGAGATCCAATGTTTTCTTCGTTCACTAACCTAGTTCTTACTTAATGCTTACTTGGATTCCCCCAGCATATTGTAATCGATCTTCATCTCAATGGGTGAAATATTTAAATGTTCCATAAATCACTGTCAATCTGATTAAAATCTTAATTGGATGGGGGGTGGGGGTGCATTGTGTCAAGCCCCACGATTATTGGATTGTTCAAGTTTAAATCACTCACATGAAATGCTGTGTAACTAAAAGACTCGATCATCAAAATCCCGTACACTTGGGCATATTTTAGAACGTAGACAAATTTGTTTCTGCAGAAGAAACAGTACAATTATTTAACTGAAAAATTTCTAATTTGTATAAAGTCTCAATAAATCTTGAATGGTTTATGATATGGCTAAAAATTTGTATATCAAAAACTCAGTGAAATTTGTTTCCATGGAAATACAAAAACATATTAAATCCTAGAAATTTGTAATTAGCAAAAAGCACTACTACAATAAAATTTTGAATTTTGGGGTGTGTACAAAGTTTCTTAATTCTGAAAGGTTCCTGAGATATGCCCCGGAAACAAAACTGGGATGGACCGACGGGCGGAGCACATTTCCACGTCCCTCCCTTAACTTTATCCGGCATGGGATAAAAAGTAGTCAAAATGAGGTTTCATTTTCTTTACGTTTATTCTGATGAAATTGAAATAAACTAGCGAAACGAAACAATCTCTTAGCGTGGAGATGTTCTGACGACCGTACAGGTAGCAATGTGTTATGCACAAGCCATGTTGACTGTGGACAGTTATATAAGAGCTTTCTATGTGCATCCGTGACTTGCGAAGACCGCCATTATCGTTTTAATCAAATCGAAATCTACGTGATACATGTATTCTGGTTATAGACGTAGGATTTCGATTAAATATAAACAATAACGCTTGTATATAGCATGGTTTTGCGATAATGGAACCGGAAACATAGCTCAAAGAGAGCGACTAGTATGAAGTCCAGAATATCTCGCCTTGTTAACAGAATTAAAAATAAATAATAACATCTAAATATATACATCTGTATATACATATATACATACATACGAGTAGGCCTATATTTACATTCATTTTATAGCTGATATTCTCTACTTTAACTTAAAAAATAACCACATATACATACAACAATAATATTTTAATATTTACAAGACGAAGCCTTTTAATTTTTGTCATAGGTTTCACTGCAAATTAATTCCCTTTATAGAACGCCAGATGAGCGGGATGCGCGCCCCTCGTATGCGACATCTTAATCTGGACAATGGCTAAATAATAAGTCGGGTGTGTTTCATCAATCCTCTGACTATAACTCTGATTATAGCTATTTAAATGTGATGAAAATTAATACAGTTAATTAAATATTCACAATGACAACCCACAACACTTCGCAGTTTTTAATTATTTCTGCTTTTACACTCCAAATTGCGTATTTCGTGGGGAATGTTTGAAAATTACTGGATTACTGGAAAATCTTGTCACCGAATGTTCTATGCTTCTCTCAGATGAATCACGAACTCAGAACAGTTTTCCAATTTCATACAATATTTGTGGCTTTTCCTCTCGCTCTCTGGCCCACTGAAAATAAAACCGACAATATTGCTCTAATGAATATCTGAAGATTCAACCCGCACAAAGGGAAGCAACTCCATTGCTGTAGCGCAAAACTTGATAGCAGGTGAGACAAACACTTTTGCACTAATAATTGTTAAGAGTATGGAGCGTGCAAATGAGTATGCCAAGTATTAACACCACCAGATGTTGCCCTGGTGATGTATTTTCCGAAAAGTGGATGAAATGGGGTTTAACATCTACTTTCCTACATTATCTGAGCTAATGCTAAGAGGGACATTTATTTCTACTCATATTTCGAATTCCTGTTGTCAAGGGTTATTTTACGTGCACGTCAACATGCACACGAGACCTCGGTTTTTCGTCCCATCCAAACAAATAGACACCGAGGTAGTAAAATATCAAACAGAGAATTCCCTAACCCAATAATTGTAGAGTATTCTTATGTACTAATCTTTAGTATCCATTCAATAACATTATGTTACAGAAAAGCCATGTTCTTAAAATAATTCTACAAGAAATAGTGACAATTGTATCCTTTTACATTTTGGCCCGGCGACTGATGGTAGCAGCTAGCAATCATTCGCCTACCTTGATACTATCTTCACAACGTCAAGGTATAACAACATCCACTATAATTCTGGCAATAAGGTCGGAAAGTTCGACTTAGACCTAATCTTATTTTCTACACTGAATGACATAATATATTTTACCTGTAGCCTCTAAACTTTCATCATCGGACATTTCATCCATGGAATACGATGACGTACTGTCTCTTGATTGGCGCGGCTGACCATCGTTATGTGTTAACCAATAGGTATGATAACTGCCTCGTAAAAACATCATTAATTCTCTGTCTCTCTGTTCAAATACAAATAAAGACCATTAGATCTCTATCTCAATATTAAAATAAATACAGCACGCAAATATATCTCGACATTAAATTAAAAACAAAAACAAACATCATCAGTTGTTTGTCTTCCTGTTAGCCTTGTTGGTGCAGAAAAGTAGAACGTAAATTTTAGCTAGCTACAGGAGTAAATAAGAATTAAGAAGTTAGAAGTAAGTACGATACTAGCAAATGAAAAATGTGTAATTTAATATCCTCCTGCAGCTAATGTAATGTTAGTCCCGAAATGTTCTAGTTTGGACAATGATTTAAGGTATTAAAAACCTTGAAAGTCTTGTTCATCTCCATACAGTATGGTTTACATCGTATTCGTGTTGATAGCCTCGTTTGTCACGCAATTAGTTTTTCTGCAATATTCTGCTATGTACTGGTTAATTGGGCATAATAAAATCGTGAGTCATGACGTAACGTTATGTAAACATATTTAGTCCAATTTGGAGCTTTGTAAGCGTAATAACATTGTTACGCAGTTAGCTATTGGTTGTTAATCGAGCTATTGACCAGTCATAATTTGGAACAGAAATTTGCTTACATTAAAGCAGTGTTTAGTGGGATTTAGCTCTAATCAAACAAAACACTGCGGGGAGTATGCCATATTATAGACGAAACTGAGAAATCAAATTATAGCAACATTGATCTATCACTGACTAATCATGAAAGAATCTAAGAGAGATACAATAACATTTACTCTGTATAAAATACAAACTTACCCGACATACGTCATCCTGTCTTTCCTCCATAGTAAACCCACCCAATGTCTGAAGCGCATCTTTAGTACTATGACTTATATGGATTCTTCCCGCTTTAAATTAGAAGTAAAGAGAGGGGAATTTTAAAATTGTGACTAGTGTGACTCGAATGACAAAGCCACTAGTGGGTGGGTGGTGAGTTGTTGTCAAGTGAAAAAGTTTTGGTATACACAACCTGATCCATAAAAAATTACTTATAAAATGGGAATGGGGTTTAACGTATCATCAGCACATTGGTCATTTTTTAGACTAACCCTTTTTTTCCATGGACACGTGTGCAGTGCTAGGGAGGTGAATTTTGCTCGGGCAGCGGATATCCACCTATTCTTTAGCGAATTCCAATCTTCAAGGATTCTTATACGTGCACGCCAATGTTTTTCGTTCCATCTACTCGACCTACGCATCTCTTAACTTGCCAGTTCCGGGGTGGAGGGTGTGTGACATGCAGAAATCGCCCATATCGCATTTAAAATCGAACTGGGAGGTATAGGTTAAGTCGTCATTGCCATGAATAAAATATGTTCTTTGCTCGTATTTATTTAGAATTTAAATAAATAATATACTATGTTTTACAGGCCTTCTGTTATTTTGATCGCTGAAAAAATTGTAAACATTGATCTTACGTTTTCCAAGCGATTCCATTTTAGCTGCTATGCTGACTGTTTCACCAAACAAACAATATCTAGGCATCTTCATACCAACAACACCAGCTACAACAGCGCCTACAAATATAATACAGTAACCATTGTTGCTTCTGGGGAATAACGTTCTTAAACCAGTTTCGATGTTAAATTACATCTGGTGTAATTTATCCCAGGATTACAGTCTATCCATCCAACAGCGCTATATACTGAAAGTCAAAACTAATTGGGCGATAATTTGAACTTTTAGGATAGAGCGCTACTGGATATAGAGATTTGATAAATAGTATACCAAATGGCACAATATGCTTACTCTTACTAGAACATAGTCATGCTACTATGGAGTTCTTGTGGATAACTAACTTACTTACTTCAGTACAAGATGGCGCATGCTAGAACACCACCATGATACCATGAAGATCTTATGGATAACTAACAACCTCTTTCAGAACAAGATAGCGCATGTTACCAGGGAGTCCTTCTAGATAGCTAACAAATTATTTCAGTAGATCATTACTAATATATCAGTTCACTGATTCAAGACCTAATATTTAGAGAAAGATTACCTGTATGAATTCCTATCCTAAGTTTAAACTTGGTTCCTGGTAGGTGTGGTATTTCTAGTCGACTAATATGATCCAATAAGCTCAGCGCCATTGTTCCAATCTCTGCAGCGTGTTGATTATTATTTCTTTTCGGAACTCCTTTAAAGATTAAACACATGTTTCCAGAATATAGACATAGAAAAGTATACAAGCAGATGAAGTAAAAAAATATTCAGTGGGTTTAGTATAAAGAATGACTGTATTTGTATTTAATCTTCCTGGTCGAGATAATACAATGTACCGGAAGCAAATTACACGAAGCATCAGCATGGTCATACAACAGCTGCAATGCAGAGACGCCAGTAACCTTGAAAATCTCTTTTAAAAATAACATTAAATGGAGCTAAGTATTATGTCGGAAGTTAATTACGTCCATGTTCGTCGGGGGCAAATATCTTTTCCTGAAACCGATTTGTCTGAAAGGTGTAATATTTTATTTGTAATATAATGTTATTTTTGTAGGAGGGTTTTCGTTTTACAGGTGACTGTGGTGATTTGATGTCCATTAAATGATATACTACCCCAATATGAAGGGGTTTCATAGTTTTCATTCGATTCTGAGAAAAGAAGATGGCGGTTGTAAGATATTGAAACAATATTTACCTGAAACAACCATATAAGCATCACCTATTGTTTCTACTTTATAAACATCATACATGGCTATTCTACCATCAAAACATGAATATAAACTGTTTAACATTTCTACAACTTGTATAGGTGAACTACGAGCAGAGAGTTGGGTAAAACCTTGAATATCTGAGAAAAACAACGTAGCTTCCACAAAATTCTCTGGATCAACAACTTCATTAGCTTTAAGTTTATCAGCTACCGATTTAGGTAACATTTGGTGTAACAGTGTTTCTGTTCTCTTCTTCTCTTTGTTTAAAGCTTTTGTTCTGTAAAAATAGGAGATGGAGGTGGCGATAAATTTTGGCAGATATTATAAGAAATATCACGTAAATGTGGTGGTGTAGTAAGACCAGTGGAATGGGTCCCTCCTCCCTTCGACCAAGTTGAAGAAACAGAAGTCATAGACACCCCTCCATGCCCCTTGTACCAATTCAGAACGGATGGTTAGCAACCCCCGCCCAACCTCGTTTATTGCTCGAAGTAATCTTGATTAATATCGAATTTATCGCATCGGAAATGTCAATATTATCCCACTCAAAGCATCTTGTCTAGTGAAGCTAGATAAACTTATCAAACCAATCAACTGCAAAATTGTCTCTGGGGACTATGCACCACCCCGCCCTATTACAGAAAACTTGCTTCATAACATTTGGTCATTTCACGCCTCACCACCACGAGATAATCCCTCACAGAAAATTCCTGTCTACAGACATTTTCAGCTGATAGCCTGGCAATTCATATGGAATCGTGTATGTTGAGTGTATGTATAACTTACGAAAATACGATTGCCTAATATAAGGCAATAAATCATTCGCTCAAAACAATTGATTTAATATATTCAGTTCAATTTAGTTAAATTAAGTCTCCCAAGTTACCAAGTCTATTTATTCCCGAATATAGTTACTTTTTTCACCACAGAAAATGATGATAAAAATGAACCCACCTGTTGGCTAATGATATGGAATATTTTTGTATCTCATTTGTCAGAGTATAAGCAGCATATATAATGATTGGACAGATGACAAAAACACACACAAACACGATAGATATCGCAATCAATTTCTGTAAATTCACTTTCTGTCTCTCATCTAACAACCCTGTAATTTCCTGGGATAACTCTGATTGAGTTTCTAACAATAAATCCATATAAACCGTCATGTTGTTATACCACCATTCAGCCATCTTGATAGATCCTTGTCCACCTAGGTCATTACGTCGAATTTCAGCTCTCATTCTACCCAATACGTTTAAAATAGTTTCATTACCCTAAAAATAACACTAAACAGCATAACAATAAACCTAGATAATGATTATCAGTAATTGAAATATTTTAAAACACTTGTCAGGGTTTCGTCTTGAACTATCAAGATGGTTTAAAGTAGTAAGGGGAGACGTGGGGGCTCGCTAAGACGCTGGTTCGATCCAAGTGTTGGCCGAGATAGTTAACTAGGATTTTCCAGCGTGGTTTCCTCCTTGTGGGAAGGACGAAAAACCGAGATCGCGTGCACGTAAAAGAACCCTGGACAGTTGGAATTCGATACAAGAGTAGGCCGTAGCGCCACTGTCAGGGCACAATTTCTTTATAGCGTATATGCCTGTCTTCATTAGCCCAGTCGGAGCAGAACATTTGAAAAAGTAATATAAACTAAACAAAGTAGAGTCATATACTGGGGGAGTCTGGACAACTATGATCTTAATTGTAATTTTGTAGCAAAATGGACTTTTGTTTAACCGTAGTGCTATTCTCGATTCTTAGATAATTCCCATCTAGGCTATATCTTGTACAGAATTATCATTCCGATCGTTTTCACGTTTACAAATTGACGACCATGGCAGTAGCTGACCAGACTATCTCAATATATGACCCTGTAATTTGTATATTTACGCAAAACGTACAAAACTTGTCTTTGAAAAGAAATATAGTAGATACTTTAATTAGATCATAAATGAACATTTTACATCACCAGAAAGCAACATACTGCAATTTTGAACAAAATTGAATCGAACTAATATTAATATACCACTGAAAGCACAATGTCCTCTCAAAGTGAATTGAATTACCGGGCGAAAAGTGTCTAGTCAAGGGTTGGACGTACCTCGATGTTTTTGTTGTAAAGTGTTGCTACAAGATCAGAGTAACGTCTAGCTGAGAGAAAAGTTGCATTCGACACGTCCTGACTTTCCGAAAACCATAGATACACATCTCGTGATGGGAATCGGCCCTTAGCGTAAAACACCATACCAAGGGCTCTTTCCAAACCCATGTATTCCTTGACGATAATAACTTCTAGATAGGCTACAAGACTTCTCCAGATGAATCCAGACTCGGCTTCAGGCATAGTATCATACAACCACTTGATGAAAACTCGGATAAGAGTTGTGTACAACTCTAGCTCCATGGTAACCGTTTGGTTCAAAGTATCTAATTCATACCTAAAATTATAAATTACATAAATACATTGACAGTACTGAAATTTACTATGAACCAGGAACCGAGTATGACCCCATCCCGCCATCTTGGACATCATATCAACAGCAAAACCAGTCAATCGATGAGCAATTGTCCAAGGAACAGGCACGCTAAAATTCATGTCGATAGTACTTGAATAGACTTTTTTCGAAGATGGTCGGTCCCAAGAATAACAACAAAAACAAGTAGCGCTCGGGGCTCAGTTCCTGGTCCAAAAATCTCTTAACTGATTCTACATGCAATCCGAAATCAAGAAATTTACAAAACTTGTGGATCTTTGCTTGAATAATATAAGTGTTGGAAAGAATGTGTACCAAGGATTACAGAAAAGTACAGATTTGCTTCAAGGCAGATAAAACCATTCATTACCTTCAGTAATTATTTGGAAAAGCGTAAGAATTTTCCAATATCCTACCTGTGCCTGTTGAGATAGGACAGAAACTTATCCTTGGACTGGAACTCAAACTGAGACAAAGTCGTCCAAAAAGTCAGCTGTTCGATCGATCTATCTGTCTCTGGATACCGTTGCAGAAGAAAGGATTTGGATACTGGACTAATCTTACTGATATACAGGGCGCTCATATCTCTCTCCTTCTGTAAACTATGGACAACCTGGCCAAGTTCTACACTGTACAAGATAGTGTTTCTGATTCCAGACGACATGTAGCTAGTAAACGTATTAAAGAATGTATTGGCTGTAAGACCTGTTAAAACAGCTACTGGTATCATTACAATACAGACCATCTTCACCAACTGGGTCCGCTTGCCGGAAGTCGTGATAGGATTACCTGAAACGAAGAGGATACAAAGTATAACAAAGTTTTTGGCTATCTGAATTTTTTTTCTAAAAACACATGCTTTGAATGTTGAAATATTTCATACAGATAAGCATACCTCTACATGCATATTCAAATTTATTTCTAGCTGGTCGTATTTCTAACATATTGTTGATGGCCACATCTAGTTCAGATGGCGATAATGATGATATTGATGTTCGTACGTCATCATCTTTCATTGGTTGTACTCGATGTCTCTTTAATAACCACGACATGGCTATACGATCACCTCCGTGGTTCCCTGTAATAAGAATATTAATACACTTTATCAATTATTTCAATAATTTATCTTACCGCTGATCGCGAATTTCATTTATCTGACAATATCTAATATTTCACGGCTTATCATTTACGATAAAATTTGCTTAAATTGATTATTATAGAAGTGATTACAAAAACAAAAATATCAATTTTAGAGAACCTCTCAGAATTGAATTCCGTCCGATTAAAAAAAGGTAAATCACATTACGTTATTTATGATGAAATGCCCTGAAACCAAAATGGGCCAAACATTTTGTCATAAAGGCCATAAATGTTAGTCAAAACGGCCACAGATGATTCGTAATGACCAAAAATCAAAACCAAAACAACCAATTAAATATTTGTTATTGATCATGATTCGGCTATAAATATTTACGTAAATCTTGCCCAGATTGTGACCAAACTGAATTTTAGACATTACAATTTTAAAAATAACCAAAAATTTTATTCTTATAAACTATTCTGTAAAGGGACAGTATATTGATATATAGTAAATAGATACTGAGATTGTAGATTTAATTTGTGAACAATAATCTAAACGATTTCGTTTTAGGTTATAACCTGTAAAAATATTAAAGAAGCTGTCATGCTAAATGGCAAAATTAAAATGTGCTGACTTAAAATTGCTAACTTCTACCATATTTCTCAAAAATGTTTTCTTTTAAAAAAGGACTTTTAAATATTATTTTTAAGATGTAAAAATCAACAACATAAAAACTCCGTATAACAACTATAAATGGGTTATCTGAATCGCCTTTAAGTAAAAACTTACCTCAGATCTTAAAACATTCACTGATACGGAATGGCGTTTCTTCAAAGTACTGTGGGTGACGTCGTTATCCCGAAACAACATGCAGCCAATGAAAATACGATATAATAACGGTTATCGGCAGCAAGTTATGTGTTAATTATATTAATTTGGGTGATAAATATAGAGGGTTGCCATTGTGTGTCGTGTCAAAAGAATGAGACCTTGCTTAACATTTATAAACGAATTAACATTTTTGTTAATTGACATTGATTTGCTTAGCATGTAATATATCCGATTTTTCGTTTTTGGACAATATGAGTTTTGACATAATATGGAAGGGCAGTGAAACTCATACAGTGACAAGAATCTTAAACAGTACATATAATTTACAGTTAATGTAATGAGAAATATGTAATGTTTAGTGAATGTAATTAAATGTAATGTTAAGTGAATGAAATTCAATTTAGTGTTTAGTGAATGTAAAAAACAATATGTTATGTTTAGTGAATGTAATTAAAGGTAATGTTACGTAAATGCAATGTTTAGTGAATATAAATAAATGTAATTAAATAAAAATAATCGTAAGTGAATGCAATTAAATGAATGTAATCTTAAAGGGACATTATGGAATATTAGATAAAGAGCTGACAGTTTTTGACTGAAATTTTCAGCATACTTCCTTTACATTATCTATTTTTTAACTATTAAAATAGTTAAAAAATAGATAATATAAAGGAAGTATGCTGAAAATTTCAGTCAAATTACTTCCGTCTGAGCCGAGAAATTCTCATTTTAATAACACTGTAGCCTCGGTTTTTATTGTTTCAGTTGCTACGATTATCCATTTTACGGTTAATCATCAACGGCCGTTGAACCGCACAATGGATTTCCGATCTGGTGAAAAATTGGACCCATCACATGGCATCAAGAGTTGATTATGGTCTTGTCATGTTAATAAATGTCTAATTAATAATTTACAGAACATTTCAGGCCTAAGGAAAGACCTGCAATAGACAGATTCAGCTCATGCATAATGTATGTTTATGTGGATGCAATTCAATAAATGCAATGTATGTATATGGATGCAATATTGCATTTATATGGATGCAATTCAATAAATGCAATGTTAAGTGAATGTAAAGAAGAATACACATGCCTTTAAAATGTTCTTGGGTTAATGTCATTGGTAAAACGTATTGGCGGTAAAACATTGCATCGTTTTTAGGATGTTTGTCACAGATACTATTCACCATGGTAACAGCAATTAACACCCCATTCTATAAAAAAAAATCATCGGGGTAAACATATTCCGTCTCCTCTGACCATAGGATATCTTAAACTTTGTCAAATATAATAATTGTGGGTTTTAGAAAGTGTATCCGGAAAAGCTTTCAAAACATTTTAATAAGTGGTACTATAGAAAAGAAGTATATCAGAGGCGGATACAAGGGGGGGGGGCCTAATTTTCGGCAGTGCCCTTTTTACTGCTGAAAGTGCCTTTTCTCAGACCCAAATATGCCCGTTCCCAACCCGTTGCAGGGATCCCAAATGACTCAAACCATCGACTCAAACACACCAGTCTGGTCTAATTAATGCTTCAACTTTCAAACGAATTCTTGTTGTTTAGCTGACGGTGCCCTAATCCTATAGAGTGACTATAGACAGAAATCAATGATAGCATCTTGTGGAATCGGCGGCGTATACACTCATGCCCATCACCGACGCGTATGAGTGCAACTTGGTGTAGCATTGTTTCATGTGTGGACAGTACACAGTACAAGTTACAAGGCTTAAATAGTGAAGTGGCTAGGGAATAGATTCGTCTTTTTCCCCATCATAATGCCTCGATCGCCTTGACAATTTTCGAGTCGCATGTTCAACTGGCTTTTTTGCTCGATTTTAAGGCTCTTTTAAAACGATTTCCGAACGTTTACTTAGACGATGCAAGGAAATGACAGATAATTTTCTTGGACCCCCCCCCCCCTCTCAGCGGCGTGCCCCGTCTCCGCGGTCAGTGCCCTCATTTTGCGGCGCCCCCCCTTTTCAAAATTCCTAGATCCGCCCCTGTATAGGTCAAGACGGAGACAGTATTTTTTCGGACAGATTCGCAGAGATGGGTGGAGCCACGGTGGCTCACTGAGTAAGATTTTGGCTCGCTGACCTGGAGCTCCCTTGTTCGATCCCTGTGTTGGCCGAGAAAGTTCATCGGGATTTTCCGGCGTGGTGCCCCCACCCCGCCACTTGTTTGAGGGGCAGGACAGAGAGCATGACAAGGGACAACGTATTGTCGTTCGGATGGGACAAAATACCGAGGACCCGTCAGATATTGGCCGATGGAATTGGATAAAACCCAAGGCAAAATTTCCCTCATGGCACAAAGTATGGTGTATGCCCGTCTTCATAGCCTACTCCAGCAGGAAGTTAAACCCCGGGACAATACATATAGTTCTCATCAATAGTTTAATTTATATCAGCATATATCGTCAGTTACGGAAATTTCTGTGTGAAGTCTGATATAACCCATAATTTTATTTGATACTTTAGATGTCCGCGGTAGACAGATACGGTAATACACGAAGTAGGACCCTTTTAACCATGAATCCGGGGAGAGGGCAGTAACGGGTCATGGCGATGGCAACAAAGGCAGATGCATCCTAGGAAATGTCCGCTCTGGATGCATATAATTAGTTTCTAATTTCAGTAAGCGAAAACTCCACGAGCAGGGTAAAATTCTCCCTATAGAAAACAAGTACGAGCTTACTATGGACCAGAAACAGATTATGGCGCCGTCGGAGCCATCTTGGAAGATCGAAGTCGGTCAATCATGTCAATCGTACTTGAACGTCTTTCCGCGGCGTTACATGGAAACGGTCCCATTACATTTGCATTATATACGTACTATTTCGCCTGTGAAAACGGGCATACATTGGAAGAACGTCGCCCCGAGAAGAACAACAAGAAGAGCAAAATAGGTAGCGCCTGGGGCCCAGTTACTGGTTCCAAAATTTCCGAATTGTTGAAGAGATGTTAATCATAATTCAATTCCTTGTCTCCACCATCACGCCAAAACAAAAATCGCATCTGCATACCGTTAAGTTTATCAGATTAAGCGTGACCGTATGCCGTATGGACATCAAAAGAATGGCCGACACAAGTGTGAATAGACTTATTGTTACGTCGTACTGACCTCTTTGACTCTGGCGATTATTCCTAAACTCTTTCAATATAATATTTATTCACCTGAATATTATTGGTAATAGTAAGATCTATATTTTAACTTTTGTTTTGATAGATGTCAATAAGATAATATGGCCTGTGTTAATGAACCGTATAATCTGTACCGGTATATTATGACATTATTATAAGTATTATAGTATATTAATAGGGTTTTTGTTATAAGTCTATTGTTATTGTAACTGGGTGTCGGATACCCTGAGTTTAACTAATTATAATATTAAATCCACCACTCAAAGGGGTGGTTTCTTTAACATGACCTTATAAGATATATTCTGAACCACATTTTGGAGAGGAAAAAATGAAATCTCTTTTAAAAAACCCCAACTCGTTATCGTTTTAATTTCTTTTATATTTTAAAGTTTACTTTTATAAGGTAGTATCCTCGTAACATTATCTGAATCAAATTTTTGAGAAGAAAAATGAAATCTCTCACAGGAAATTGCAATATAAGTTTAATTTATTTTTAATTTAAAGGTTGTAATTGAGTACATATTCATCTTATTTACTGGAATCCAAAAACTGGCTTATATAGAGTAATGTCATGTTCATGAAAATTCGTCACACTGCTTGGATTCTCTTACATTGAAAGGGCTTGTCAGATTTGTCTCAAATTTGACCTACAATCAAATTTGAACATGCCCAATGTAATCACATACAAGGACCATATACCTATATGAAGCTTATCCTATCCAAGAATGGTAACGTTTGGATAAATTAATGGAGACATTTCAAAACAGAAACTGCTTGCACTATTATTAATGTATAAAGCCAACTAGAATCAATCAAATTGATATCGCTTTGTCAAACTTTCATTTATCCACAATTTTGTCAATCTTTATGAAAATGCTGTCGGTTACTTTTATCAATCATAAAAAAGCCCTAAAAAAGCCCTTGTCAGATCTTGTCGCTGATTTGTAGGACTGCAGAGAGGTGTGAGTGTTTACAAGACACCAGTGCACAAATTCACCTGGTCTAATGTGACATTTAAAAGTTTTCCATTTGTTTATTTGTTAATAATTTGTTTTGTTATTTAGTGAATTATAGAAGGTGTCCTTTTAATGGGACAGAAAACATCCATGGATTATATAAGATGTATTATATCATATTACGTGTACGCATAAGTAACAATATATACCACGTTTAACCTCGTGAGTCGATTTTATACTCATACATCTAATCAGGTAGGTGACAAGAATTAATGCAGCTTGGACATGGTTTAAAACAAACCACAGACACGTATGTTAAATGGTATAAAAAATATTGTATTTGTTTTATATATGAAAAAATTGTGTGGCACACATTAAATCGTTAATTATGCCAACAATTCTTATCTAATATCAGTATAATTGTTGTGCTATCAAATGAACATATTATTATTATTCCGTTTATCTTCACCAATATAATTAAGATTCTAGCTATCTTCATGTCATTACCTTGGTTGATCTATACTCGTACTATATACACGTTCATCAGGATTTTCGGGCGTGGTTCCCTATTGCCACTGGTGCAGGACAGTGTATTGTCGTTCGGATGGGACTAAAGGCCGAGATCCCGTGTACACTTTGGTGTTCACGTAAAAGAAACCTTAGCAGTTGGAATTCGAAATAAGAATGGACCGTAGCGCCGCTGTCCGGGCAAAATTTCCATCATAGCACACTGTATGACGTATGGCCGTCTTCATTAGAACGCTAAACCCAATTTCATTTCATTTCTACTACATGAAGATCAAACAACATCTGTGTTAATTCTCTGTTCTCTTTGAAATTTAATTGGTAAAAATCGCCATTTTCCAAACCAGTGGCTAGATGAAAGTTCAGGTCGGGCCAAGAACATAAACTTTTTAAAGGTGATGTTTACGGTTGTAAGAAAAAGGAAGGAAAGTAAGGTATAGTTTTAATTAGATTGTTATCTTCACAGTATTTTAATGTAGTATATTATTTACACTTGATAATATGATGATGATATTAAATAGGCTATATCTGAAATTAAATAGAGAGAGAGAGAGAGAGAGAGAGAGAGAGTTTAATTCAATAATTCGCTTGCGCGTACGGGTCTTTAGCAGTGAGAGGAAACCGGAGGACCCGGAGAAAACCCACGAGGTTGGACAGGCGACCCTACTCCTTGTCACGTACAACCGGGGAATCTAAACCACACCAGTTCACTCAATAACAGACCTTATGATACAGCGCGCACGTGCTAACCATCCCCCCCTCCCCCCGTCTGATAAGAAATTGTAAAAAAACGTCATGTAAAGAAAGTGTATATTTTTCATTACATCTACTGAAAGATAAATAAACTATTAACATGAAATGTTTTCATTAATCAAATGGGAACACCTTCAACCATAGTCTTTTGTTTACCTACATTTTATGCAATCGCAATTGTCTTTAACCTTAACTACGAGTTTGCATGTAACTCTGTTGTGTTTAAAGTTACTACATCGACATTAATTATATATCGACAGTTTCTATCGAAATAGTTTAACAAGGTCGGAAAGACTAATATCAGCATGATGAATAATATTTTTTAATTTTTAAAGATTTCTTGTTTGAGTTTGCATGTAACTCTGTTGTGTTTAAAGTTACTACATCGACATTAATTATATATCGACAGTTTCTATCGAAATAGTTTAACAAGGTCGGAAAGACTAATATCAGCATGATGAATAATATTTTTTAATTTTTAAAGATTTCTTGTTTGAGATACACATTTCAAGCCTGGATTTGATATGTTGGAGATGCTCACATATCAGAAAGTAAATGAATGGATTTGAATATCTTGTAAATAAGAACAAATACTTCAGTCAACGAAGGGTATTTATGCTCTCGTTACTTTTGTCATGTTGTGGAATTCTAACTAATAATCTTTAACGTGCACTTGGTACAGATGGTTTGATATCTCATCCGACCGACTAGGTACCTTCATTGTCACCCAGCAATACGTTAACGCATATCAATGGGGATACGATCTCTGAATATTAGAAAGTCTGCACCATGGTTCCGTCACAGGATAGCTTGTCTACTGTCTAATCGCGTTGGGTCCCCCCCCCCCCCCGCCACACACACACACACGCGCACCTAAAGACTACTATGTTCAAGCGATGATTAAAAATAAAAATTACCATATGTTAGTCGCGAAATACATGTAGGCTACACGTAACGGATAGTAAAATTTAGTATTAAAAAAACAAACAAACTGAAGACATCCTTTTACTTGAAAGAAAAACACCAAATGCAATGAACACCAAACTTATTTCTACTTGATGAATGTCCCTTTAATTATAAATGTTATTGAATGTTACACCTGTAGATTATAGACTGTTAATCTATTCTAAAGTCTTTATTCTGATCGTATTACATTTAACCCATCAATCACTGGTTATTGTTATAAACTATAAGTATAGAGTTGTGGGCAGGTCTTAGGTTTTATGTGCTTGACGTTACATAGTAAACAATCGCACTAAAACACAGGAGATTAGTTGCTATGTTTTGTATTTGACGGTAAGGTAAATCCTAGAGAATGTCAATTATAGTGTGAACAATATTTGTACATGTGTGGTGTATAAGAAGTTATAAGATGTTAACCAATATTTAAAGCTTCCATTTCGTTATGTTGTGCATGATAATAAAGTGAAAGTAATAAAGGATATTTAATAATTGAAAACACGGTGACGGCAATAGTCTTTGATCAATATTTCTTAGATCTCCAAATTTAACAGTGTTCAGGTATGTACAAAAAGATTAATATTAGTTGTCAAAATTTTTCGTAAATACAGTCCAATAAAATTTATAAACTTGTCAAAAAAAACAAGTGACATTGCTAATTACTACATGATTTCATATTTTAAGAGGAGGTCAACAGACCAACAGCCTATACTATTACTATACTATTACTTACTATTACTACTTATTACTTTATTATTATCAAATATTGAAACCATCATAATGAATTGCAACAGGGGGTCATTACATTATAGACCAACAGCTTATATTGTTATCATTACAACTTATTACTTTATTATCAAATATTGAAACTATCATATTAATTGTAACAAGTGATCAATAGATCAACAGCCTTTACTATTATTATTACAACTTATTGATTTATTATTATCTACTATTATAACTATCATAATAAATATTCTGTTAAATGTGTATCAACACTTTAAAACTATAATTGCAAGAACAAAAATATCATAGGTGTGAAATATAAACAAATATTCGAGGGTATTTTAGAGAGATCCCTTAAGGTTGAAACAACAACTGTACCTGCAACCTGTAGTCTTTTGATATGTCAGGTTATAATGGGGTTATAATTTCATGATTCTTGTACTCAAAGGAATGAAGAATTCTCAGGAATTATTTCTTACTTGTAATCATTTATGTTAAAGGGCGTATGGCTCTATTTTTGGAACCTTGAAATAGACGGAAAATGAAATGGTTCTAAAAGCGCATATTAATGTAATATGAATGTATGTAAAGCGATTTATATTAAATTTCTGAAACAAATGTTGTAATTTCTAGTGAATTATTTTCGATGAAACACGCCTGCTTAGTCCGTTCTACACGTTTTTTATATTATTATTTTGTCGTTTGTGAATCAGCCTTTACTAATTACTTCCACATTGTCTTGTGGATATGTTTTATTTGTTCATTACAAAATGGCGCCCGAAACCATAGAATACACGACTCGTGTGCTGATTATAAAATGTAAATTGTGTCTTAAATATTGGATATTAGGGTACTATATTTTCACGGAAAAATAACAACATCAATATTGATTGAAATTGACCAATATTGAATTCTAATTTGTGTTTTTAATTTCGAATATTATGGAAAATATTGAGTTAGAGATTAAGCTCCTTTAATTTTCATGTCTATTCCCAGCACCTTTTCTGTTCTCTTCTTTAGTTGGCACCTTTCGTTAGCTTGAATAGATTCGTATTCCCATTCAGGAACTAACTAATGAATTGTCCTATCCTTTTAATTTTATAATTATAAAAGAATGTTTAAACCAATGCGAACTCCTTTGGGTGACCGAGAGTTTCTAATTTTAAGGACTCTTTAGGTTTGAAACTTTTGTTCTAATACAAATTTTTCTTTTCATTAAATCTATTTTATTTAACTGTTGTTACTCTTAAAAATATACCCCACAATGCAAAATCGGTTCCAAAATCGGGGATGCATAGCACAAGAAGTCTCTCTTTTTTAAATTCAGCCCTCAATGATCGTTTATTATTGGAATAATTAAATCGACTATTTATAATGACTCATTCTTATTACTTCTCCCTTTGATTGGATAAAACTAATTCTGCTAAAGGAAATAGCCTTTATTCATTGACTTGATGAGTGGTTAGTAGAATAGGTCATGTCAGTTGTTGAAAACTGCTTAGAGAAGTTGCTAGACTATTGGGATTTCATTTGGACTGAAAAAAATGATTTTAAAATCAACAATTTTATATTTCAGGTTGTGTGGACAGAGATAAACTTTGAAAATGTAAACTACCTATTCGGCATTCGCTATGGACCAAACTAGCTCGTTTTAATTCATTCGTTTCATCGCAAATACGTATTGAGTAGAAATCAACCAGGATGTCTTTATTATTTATTAAAACCAAAGACTTGACATGGCAGGATCATACATTAAACATAGAAGCTATGTTGGCACCTACCAGATCCCAACTGCTGGTCAACAAACATAAATCTTACGGTGCAAGAGCTACCACGGATAAAGACCTCTACGAAAAACAGAAAGTCACCAGACTAAAAGATTACGTCATAGAAAAAAGAATGATGGAGAGACGAAAACAAAGAATAAACAAAAGACAGAGAGAAATATACATGGATAGATCACATTCTATGTTATCTTCCGGGAATCGTGATGATGACGACGTGGAAACTAAATCCAATCTCTCTGATTCTCAGTTACTCAAGATAAAATCATCTGCATGTTCCATGCGTTCGAAGACTTCCTCGGTTGCATCCAAGTCACCAACTTATCATCCTCGACTGCCAACTCAACCTAGATGCTCATCTCTACAAGCTTTAAATACTGAGAACATGGAGATAACGTGCGAGGATATCGATAAGGGTGTATTTATAACCGAATTCATACGCAATGATTCCAAGTTACCAACGGTTCCAAAAAGTGCACAAGAAATACGAGATCAGCGAAATGTCTCCTTTGCTTCTATTCGAGATGATCATCATTATGGTAAAAGCAAATATTTTAACAGCAATGGTCGAATAAAACCACTTCAAGCTCGCATTGAAGAATTTTTAGTTGACCAAAAAAATTTCAATGAAGATCCAAAACAGAAAAGTCCGATCAGTGTTTGGGATAAAATTGGTAGAAATAAAAATAAACAGCTAGTAGCCAACAAGTTGTCTAGTCTAACCTTGGATAAAACAACACTCGAGGGCGCGTTCGATCATTTCTGTGAAGAAAATTCTAAAGAAAATTTTCATAAAATGGTGAAAATGGCAACAAAATTAAAGGCTAGGGTGGCAATCGCCAGGAACCAGTCATGGGTTCCATCCATGTCAGCAATCAAGTTCAGTAAAACGTTCTTGAGTGTTCTAGAGAAAAAACGCCACAGTGAACGGGACTTAAACCTAGTTCCTATATGAATAGTTCTAAAGTTAGTAAAAATTACCTAGATATATTATGTGATCTAAATAGTTTTACACATTTTAATTCACAAAAGGGTCTTCTCAAAATCTGTAGACATAATATCCAATGACAAAATCAATTCCTATTGGTTATTAACTGTATCAGCATGCATTTAGCTGAACTTTAGTCTGATTCTGCATCAGATTTAACGTGTATTTCCATTCTTTATCATAAGGTTCAAATTCATTATTTTTAATTTGCTTAAATTTGTAACAGAGGGGATGAATGTAATTATCACCAGGAATTAATGACTTCAAGAAGCGAAAGTAATAATAATAACAATCAAAGAAGACAATAATAACAACACCATCTGTACCCAACCGGTTGTTCTTGCAGGGTTTCGAGTTTCGTAAATATGCAAGAGTATACCGAAAAAGGAAAGATTTACCCTATTTACAAGTGTTTAGTTTTAAAGCAAACACACGTTAGATCTTCACATTAATCTCAAATGTCAAGTTCGCCTAATTTTAAAGTAAAGATTGTCATTTTTATGAAAGGACTGTGCAATTAGCAGAAACCAATGTAAATTTTGTTTTGTTTGGTTAGAAGTGATAATGATGGATTACAATAATTTTTGGAATAAAATGGCTTGTTTTTAAATAAATGTACTTTTGATTGTGTATGGTCTGACATAAAGGGGAAGTTATATTTCAGTAAATAAAATTTATTTATGGGTAGAAGAGCATAAAAACAGTTGTCTGGGGTGTTGGAGGCGAGTTTTGGAATTAGCAATCATCGTGTGTCTAAATTAATATTTGAAGAGCGGGAGGTGATTGGAGACTTTACATATTATTTATGACGTGTGCCTGTAGGGCCTGCACCACTCCGCCACATATTTAACCATGTTCGCCTTTTGACACATATCTAAATTTTACCAGAATACACCTCAACGTAGAGGAATGCACTTGCTAGATATGTTAAATTACGTCTAATTCGGTCTATCATGCAATAAATTACCAGGATCTGCTTCAAAACGGCGGAGGTTTTCATGGGACGTTAAGAATCTGGCACTTTTCTGATCCACAGTCAAGATCATTGGCACACGACTCGCAGAAACGTTTGTCATTCGTAACTCGTTGGCGATAATGTGCCTGTGCTCAACCTCTAATAGGAGATGCCCACGACACTGGCAATATGTTGAGTGGTCAATCGTCGATCAGCCATCACCCTGTCATACACCCGGGTAATGTTTTCTTCAGATGCGGATCTAGAAACTGCGAATAGCGGGGGGAGAGGGAGCGGGGGGAGGGGGGGGGCAATCCCCAATCCCACCCCGCAATCAATGTCATCATAGATCGTTTTGGCTGTATAGCTGTTTACCGATCGTTATCATGCCGGAAAGCAGTTTTATGGAAGTTGACATAGCGAGCAACCCGAAGAGGAGGATTGTGTGCGGGGGTGGGGTGGGGTCCCCTGAGACATTTTTGAAACTTTGAGTCAATTCCCTATCTATTGATGGTCATTGATGGGAGAAATTTTTGTGAACAAGAGGATCATAAATGGGACAGATCTTGAAGATTAAGTCTGGAGTCCCACGACCAACGCACTAGTGGTACTACTAAGTGGGCGGTTAACTATAACAGTGAACATGATAGTGATGAGATAGTATAAGATCACAGCTGTGTCGAAGAATGATGACATAATGGAATCGAAACAAATTCAGATAGCGAGGCATGATACGTAATATACCGAGCTTTTAATTTTTTAGCACTGGGCATGAGAGAAGAAGGTGGGGGTGGGGCGCTGTCGCCGTGGAGCCCCCCCCCCCCCAGTGCTTAGGGGCACTTCCTATGTCTCATAAGGGCGCTTACTTGGTCAGTTAAAATCTGTATAATCTGAAGGACGAAAAAGGCTGGTCGCAATGTACATCCACATTGCAAAACATAATCAATCAGAACAACTAAAAACACTTCTCATTTGAACATATCTGGGGGGTTGGATGGCTGAATGGTTAGCACGTGCGCGCTGTATCATAAAGTCTGTCAACTGGCGTGGTTTCGATTCCCCGGTTGTACGTACGTGACAAGGAGTAGGGTCGCCTGTCCAACCTCGTGGGTTTTCTCCGGGTCCTCCGGTTTCCTCCCACAGCTAAAGACCCCTACGCGCAAGCGAATTATGGAAATAAAATTGAACCATATGTTAGTCCCGATATGACCTAGTCTGTGACGAGTGGACGTTAAACCACATCTCTCTCTCTCTCCTCTCTCTCTTGAACATATCTAACGCATTTGTTTTGTAATTTTGTATTTACAACAATGAGCTGGTAAAGCCACCTAGCTGGCAATAAGTGAATCAAGGTAGTAGGGAGTTTAGAAATGGTTACTAACACAACTGATGTCTTCCGTCTTACTCCAGCCACAATAGTTGGCCGTTCTAAGAAGTTCCTTTGAGCAGGTTTTTTTTTTAGTCAAGTAACTACAAAAATGTAACTGGCCTATAGCTCCCTAAATTTCCACATAAACTGACCCCAAACTCTACTGCACATAGCTTAAAGAAGCTAAGTCTCTAACTCAATATCATAATGCGTTTCAGCGCCATTTGGAACAAGGGACTCAAAAAACGAGGCTAGACATACTCCACAAGTCATGTCAAATGGTGACGCTATATTCTTATCTGGAGAGCATGCACAATAAATATAATCGGTGTAGACTGGAATAACCAGACGCTAAAGATTGTCATTTATTTGAGACTTTGGCGCATTTCGCCGAACATAACTGATTAGAAATTACAGTAAAAACAGAAACGATTGAATGTAAATCAGTTTATATACATTCATATTACATTATTATATGCGTTGCGACCCACATGTGTCAATTTCTAGGTACCAAATATTAGCGAATTAGCTCCTTAACATAATAAACCAATTCCTATTGAAATAAAGGTGAAGCCTTACCGCATAATTATATGATTTGATGAAACCCAGCTGCTACGCGAAATGTCTCTCCTATCCAACTTAAAAGGTCCGCCCAGCCAGAAATAGCATGTACACTCCATCTCACGTGACCATGCGTCACTTTCCATATATGGCATTCATAGTAAAAAGCGTAGTAACATTGCCTTATAAGGGAAGCGATGGGCGGGGTTAACGCGTGCGATATGTGTCGAGATTTCACCTTGGTGGTGTCATGGCGGCTTGTAAATTATAAGAAATATCGGTTCGAAAATGTAAAACGCATTTCCACAAAGCAAAAATGTTCGGTAACTATTTTAGTGGTCCAGTCTTCACTATTTGTGATCGACTTACTTATTTCAATACAAAATGTAATGATATGTGTTGAGATTTGTGCGTTTGAACCTATTTGTACCTGCGTAAGGCCTGTTAGACTGTGTCAATTTGTAGCGCTAAACATAGCTTAGCGCGACAATATTGTAGCTAAGGGGACAGCATATTTGATACCAGGAACATTCAAATAACAAGACATGGTAGAATGTGATATGACTTGAAATATTTCTAAAATCGTGTTACCCATTGAGAGATGAAATGGTTGCCATTCTTACGATCAATTAGAGACTACTGGACCGTTCCTAAAACTAAAGAACTATGGGACTACTATCAATAAATTGCACAAAATCAAGTTATGTTTTAATATTATAATCGTTGATAACATTATTTCGATTCGGTATGTCGTAATCATCGATTATAAATGATATTTTTGCTGATTTGAACTACATTTTGCGCTTATTAAGATACATTCCCGCGTACAAACTGGGTGATTTGATGATCTATTTGGACTAAAAACATATTTGAATTAATTAATTTTTATCATAATTTTGCATCAAATTCTTCTCAAAACATTGCAATTGCCAAGGAATACCCTGCTATAAAAATCGACCAAAAGAGGTCATGTTTGTGTCACGTGACTTACCTCTCTCGGTACCTATAGCAACGGGGGCGAAGCCGGAGGAGAATTCATTGTATACACAAGGCGATGTTGGCTTTAATCGCTGACAATTTATTACAAATATCGAATCCTAATTAAATGCTCGGATTATCTACTGCCCGTGTCTTTTTCCGTGATTTTTTTTATCTCAGAAAGTGTTGTACGTCTAACTCTTCATAAAGTTTATCAACATATTGTACACCAAGCGCTCAATCTTCGCGTGCAACCTTCGACGTCACGCGTGCAGGTATTCCTAATCCTGTATACGCTCCATGAGTGTTTTTTTAGGGAATCCATTATTTTTCTAGTAAGATTGGATATCTCTACTTTCCATATATACCAAAATTGCATAAATACTTTTCTGGGAACCTTTCTTTAAGTGTGGGTATTTTGTAGTTTATTCCGGTATATTTTGGTATCTTCCGGTAATTATGTGTAGATTGGTCTCGAACCATAACGAGAACTCCCGAGTGGAAAATAAACCCGGTGATAAATTCCATAGAAATTTCTATGATAAATTCGATTGTCAAAAGTGCTCCACTCGGCAAACCTCGGCAGATTCCGGTACCCTACATCTAACGTGGAATCTGTCGAGGTTTGCCGAATGAAAAGTGCTCTTGACTCCAATAACGTTTAATATGTTAGCCTGGATGAGCGAGACAACAGTGAACTTCTGACCCCAGAACTTACCATCGAACTAAACACTTGCACAGGTACGCATAATAAAAGGTTGTCTTTAATTTTAAACTACGACTGTTATCCTGTTTTAATGTCACCTTGCAAACCACATTGCTTGTGTTATACGCTCACATTTAACGTGGACATTTGTTGTCATCGGCGTTCAATGATGGTCCACAATCCAGTCTATCATCTATGTCAGATCTGTGAGATCAAAGTTTATTTCGGATCAACTTGCCAGTGGTGCAAGACAAGGACATCCCTCTAGTCTTTCGGATGGTAAAAAAATCAGCGTGTCGCTGTATGTACACATTGACAATTAGAATTTGATATGACTATAATATATATACTTTGTGCTGCTGTCCCGTAAAAATTTCCCTCATAGTCATAGCAACTGAACAAGTAAACTATACGTATAGCATGATACAATAGAGAGGTTCCGCAACCAGTACGAAGTACGAACACGGCTTCATACTCCGTTTTTGACAGGTTCCGCAACCAGTACGAACTACGAACAGGGCTTTGTACTTCGTAAAAAAATATCAAATTAATTTAAATTTTAGTCTCCAAGAAGTCCATTGCAATGTGTTCTTATTAAATTCGAGAGGATTCGACCTCGTGGCCGAGTGTCAAAAAAAACAGATTTCACAGCCCGAAAATTTGCCCAAAATCAAAACAATTGCCGATCACTTTGACGCTTATCAACCTTATACTGAACTGTAAATGTTCAGGCTTTCTATAATACCATAAAATTACGAATTTCATCCACAAATCAGCAAGAAAATCACGATTTCGTAACTCGTTTTATAACCCTGAACTTTTCCAGAAATCTTCGTAGAAAAATGACGAACCGAAGGTCGCTTATGTCAATGAGAACACATGAAGTGATGACGTCAGCACAAAAACACTTCGTAGTTCGTACTGGTTGTAGAATCTCTCTTTTGCCCCCTCCCCAGCTCAGCTACATAAAAAAATTTGTAAAGCAATAGTTATAAATTTGATGGAGATTACAGGCCTATTAGGGCAACGTTGCTGTCTGAGCAGATTTTCTCTCATTCCATACTTCTTCATTAGCACGTTTCGTGCAGAAAAATACATTAAACTTTAAACCCCATTTAAGTTCATTCCATTTTGTTTGCCTTCCTCTGGTACGCATTCTTAATTTTTGTGATATTTTGGTGTTTGACACAGTCACGGTCTGTTTTTGTTTTTATATGTTGCTTCCTTAAAGTTTCCTGTCAAAATCATGCAGAACTGATTTTATTGCAGATCAGTAAAAGTCAAAACTAAAATGTAGCACACAGTTGGTACATGTATTTAGTAAAATTCCACAGTTTCTGTGCTTTGCCAAAGTGACATCTGGTTACCCCAGATATACGCCAATCTGGTTAAAACACAGATCCTATTTCGTTTCGTTTTTATAGTTCAAAATTTCGTTTTACTTGTCTTTACTAGACTTGGATCTGGAAGAGTTGTTATTTAACTCGTGTTCTGAATGGTGTCAGGGATAAACCAATGAAACGGTCTGTTACGGCGAGCTTTAGGCATGTTTTGCACGGAACTGTGGGTAATCCACTAGTAACATCAATGCTGATTGGTTAATCAAATGTCTGACGTCATAGGGTCATAAGTCGGTCTTTGGACCCCTGACGTGACCCATGGCTATAACTTGTCACATCTTCGTGTAGGCTAGTGTAGGCCATCGAAAGTATAGAAAACGAAACGAAATATAGATCTGTATTTTAATCAGATTGGATATACGCCAAAATGATGATAGACTCCCCACCCCCACCCACAAAGATACATTGTCACAGGAACCTGGCAAATATCCTGGATCTGCCCCTCTTTTTGCTGAAACCTGTCCATACTGCTTGTAATGCTTCTCAGCACGATAGACACCAGAGTTTTGGTCAGATTTTTCTGAAACTTTCAGGAAGCTTGTATTATGATAAGATGATCCATATTTCTCTTCGTCAAAATCTGACTAATATTTTATACTGCACATTAATATGGATGTATATTATAATTAATGGATCTTTTTCTTATTTGGCTTGAAGCAAAGGGCACCACCCCAGGATCCACTACTGCCACAAGTAACAAAGTCATCCAAATTCCAGTCCTTCAGGTTTAAAGGGGAGCATTTGATCCTGCATATATTTAAGGTATCAGGAGTTTTTTTTATGGCTCTCGCACAATTCTATAAACATGAAGGACTGAAATTCATCGTCAACAGATGCCACAGCCCAAATTTTTCAAAATCTATTTTGAAATGTGTGCAAGCCTTAAAAAGTAAAATTTTTTGGGAAGAGAAGACAGGCCAGGATTATTTAACAGTATGACCATATTTTAAGGAAAGGTCATATTATAAATCGAGTTATAATGCATAATAATTTTAATATACTTTTTCAGCATCTCATAATACCAATAAAAATAATCAGCAAAGAAGGTGATGACTGGTAGTGTTAACATAAATATATGAAAAATGGAAGGTTTGTATATCAGGGATATGGATTATGAGTTGGGGGAGGGGGGCTGATTGGTTTAATCAAGTGACATGGTTTCGATTCCCTGCTTGTACATGACAAGATTTAGGGTTGCCTGTCCAACCTCGTGGGTTTTCTCTGGGTCCTACAGTTCCTTCTCTTGCAAATTATTGGAATAAAATTGAACAATATGTTAGTCCCGAATGGACCTATGAGGTTGGACAGGCAACCCTAAGTCTGTGTCGAGTGGACGTTAAACCCCATTTCTTTCTCTCTCTCTCTCTCTCTCTCTCTCTCTCTCTGGGTCCTACAGTTCCTTCTCTTGCGAATTATTGGAATAAAATTGAACGATATGTTAGTCCTGTAATGATATAGTTTGTGTTGGGTGGATGTTAAACCCCATTTCTCTCTTGTATATTTTTACTAATACGTGTACACAGTTACCTTAATACCCTAAGTGAAACAAGATTAAGGGAAGGGATATTGAAATGGGTTCAGTTCTTCTGTCCCTGTTTTCTTTCCAGACCATATTTCTACAACCAACCAAAATATTTTTTGAAGCTTGAATGGTTTTTGTGCTTCCACTTATGTAAGGGTCAATCTTGTTGTCTGCCTCCAACATCAAAGAAATGAACATCATATGTGTATGAAGCGATAAGAAAAAGTGTTTCATGTGTGTATGAAACGATAGAGAAAGAGTTCATGTGTGTATGAAACGATAGAGAAAGAGTTCATGTGTGTATGAAACGATAGAAAAAGAATTCATTACACAATGATAGAGAAAGAGTTCATGTGTGTATACTATGAAACGATAGAAAAATAGTTCATGTGTGTATGAAACAATAGAAAGAGTTCATTTCGAGATGCATGTTGTATAAAAGTTACCGTAATTTTTTGTTTGTTTTAGTTTTCAGTGAAAAATTGGGAGAACTGGTAAATTTATATCTTGATTTACAGCGTAATTTAACATGGAAAGATGTAGTTTTATACTCAAGTGTTCCTGTTATTACATGGTATACTTATAGAATATTGATACAACCATTCTTATCTCCTCTTAGAAAGGTAAAAAAAAATATTGATAATAGACTCAGACCTCATGTGCATAAACATTTTTATATGCCCACATGGAAATTTATATGCATTATTTAGATTAGTGAAACAAAGAAGCCTATTGAATTTCAGCAATTTTTGTCAATTACTTTTAGAAATCTGGCCCGTGTTTCACTTTGTTGAACCCCTTGTGAATGCTCTAATGACAAAAGTTATCATCCGAAGTGTGTTAAATTTAAATGCATTATTGAGATTAGTAAAACGAAGAAGTCTATTGAATTTAAGCAATTTCTGTTAATAACTTCTACAGTTATGAGCCTTGTTTCAGTTTGTTGAACCTTTTGAACAATTCGATCTGTATGAAATTGATATCAGTGTCTTGTAAATGCTCCTATTACCAACAAAAGTATAAATATGTGACAACCCTTGTTGACTGTTCGGATGATTTAGCTACTGTGGGCATATGTTTTGTTGCCTGGCAACCTACCTTATAAAAAGAAGACCAATTTTTCATGGCAGGAATTTTTCCTGCAGGAATTTCTCCTAGGTGACAATTGCAGCAAAGAACTATTACCCTGCTCACATTAATATGAAATAAATTAAATGGGGTTTTAACGTCCTACTGTTTTGCTCCTAAACTGGGCTAATGAAGACGGGCATACGCCATACTCTTATATCGAATTCCAACTGCCAAGGGATCTTTTACGTGCACGCCAATGTGTACACGGGACCTCGCTTTTTTCGTCCCATCCGAACGACTAATCAGCTGTCCTTGTCAGGCCCTCTGTCCTGCATCACTGACAAGGGGAAACCACGCCGAAAAATCTGGATGAACCCGACCTCCAGATTTTGACGATATTTATTTGAAGATAGTCTGTGTTTAGGGGGGTTGGTTGGCCGAGTAGTTAGCACATGCGCGCAGTATCATAAGGCCTGTTATTGAGTCGATTCAGCCGTCCCCCCCACCCCCCCGACATGATTAGGCCTCAATGACTGATGTAACTGTAAGATTTTAGAACCATATATTTTTGTATTGTAGATTCCAGGAAGGCCATATGTACCTATTGTTGGTAACATGTTTGAAGCATTACAGAAAGAAGCAATGTCAAATACAATTGAGTAAGTAACTGAATAGACAAACAACTTTATTTGTATGAATTATCAGCTCAGAGTTCTGTTAACCCTTTAGATACCATATCATCTTGATCGTTTGCTACTTTTGATATTACCAAATCGAACTGATTGATCGCCCCTGAATTGACAGAGTGCCTATAATTGTAAATAGTTGATGATGGCAATATTCAAGACATTTAAGTGTTAACGATACCAGTTTGCTATTTAACTCTTTCCCTGTCACTAGGCCAATTGTTTAGAAAAGTGTACCAGTTGATAGGCCCTTAAAGTTGCAATTTCATATTTTTACATTATATTTTTAAAATTTATTAAAAAAAAAGCCTTAAAATCAGCGCTCACGCTGTCGATCGCCATTTCCGCCAATTGCGATAAAAATATATGGCGATAACTTTTTCTTGTATGGCGATTCTTTTTTGACCGTGGCGATAAATTTTTCTTGCCACAAAGCTTTGATTTCCACGCCGTGCATACACACGGTCGTTACAGTCTATTGCACTTGGCTGAGTCAGTTATCAATCAATTGGGTACCAATAATAGAGATATCTTTTGTCTATTATTCAATCTTGGATTAGTGTTGATTACTATTTACAGTAAGAGTAGTAATTAAACTAATTAAGGGACAAAAGATTTAATTATTTGTCTTCAATTAAGAATCGGTGATTTTTTTGACGGTTTCTATATATTCAAAATGGCGGACACTGTGAATAATACTCGTTCGATTTGTTTGGGATTATTGGATTATGACGTCTGTTTTATCTTTTTCTTACTCCTGTTGCCCGTATCATTAATAAATGAAGCCAGGTCTGTTGTTCCAGTTTATAAATGCGTATATATTCTTTGGGTTGTCGAAAGTCAGTTATCATCAAATCACATGCCATGGGTCATAGCGAAAAATTAAACAGCCTTCGTCAACGTCCAATAGAAGAATGTCAGATTTTATTTAGTATGTCACCACCAAAATGCTCCAAGTCTACAGATGATACTGACATGATCAGCTCTCATCCATCTAATAATATTACATCCTTGAATGTTGAAGCAATATCAGCTTCTACACTAGGTCTGCATTTTAGTTTACCTCAAAAGTTTGCGACAGAAAAATTTCAAAAAACATAAAATCTTAAAGTGGTTACCCCAGATGTTGAAATAGCTTTCAAAAAATAAGCTTCTGCAAAGCAGACAGGCATTTTGTAAATTATAATACCATATGTATATTGTATATATTACTGAAAAAATATAATAGATACTTTTTTTTTGGCGGAAAAAATATATGGCTAATAAATTAAAATGAGAAATTGGCGGAAAAAAAATGAAACCCAGAGTGAGCACTGCTTAAAATAGATGGTATCTATAAACAGTCCTACCTTGTTAAAGAATAATCCTATTAATCCTATAATTCACTATTGCCAGTTGAGGAATTGGCAAAAATATCATTTTCCTCTTCAAATTCAAACGTTTGAGGATAGCTACTCCATGGTGGAGAATAGAAAACAATGGAGGTAATTGTGTTATTATTTCCGGTGTAAATGAGTTTTAAGTGTGAGAATGACACTTATGATCGTGTAATAGTGAGTTGACAACATATTGAGCAAAAGACATAGAAATAATTATGTTTTGACTTTCTTAGAAAGCCACAAAACAGTGGCGAGTACCAAATTTATTCCTTGATTATCTTTTGAAGCACAAGTCATCAACTGATTGTTTTAGAATTGGTATATGTTGTTTACATTACTGAGATGGAGAGGCCTAGCTGTGTAGTCGTTCGGATTGGACGAAAAAGCAAGGTCCCATGTACACATTGGCTTGCAAGTAAAATATCCCTTGACAGTTGGAATTCAATATAAGAGTAGGCCGTAGTGCTGCTATCCGGGCATAATTTCCCTCATGGCACACTGTATGGCGTATGCCCGTCTTCATTAGCCCAGTTCGGAGCAGAACAGTAGGACGTTAAACCCCATTTCATTTCATTTCTGTTTAATTTCAATAATTTCTGTTAATAACTTCTAGAGTTATGTCCCTTATTTCACTTTGTTGCACCTTGTTGCACTTTGTGATTAGTGAAACTACGAAGCCTATTGAATTATAGCAATTTACGATAATTACTTCTAGAGTTATGGCCCTTGTTTTACTTTGTTCACTATTGTTAATGCTCGATTGATGAGAGGTATCATCTGATGTGTATGAAATTTATATGGATCATTTAAATTTGTGAAACGGAGGTCTATTGAATTTCAGCAAATTCTGTCAATTATTTCTAGAGTTATGACCCCTGTTTTACTTTGTGAACCTTGTGAACATTAAAATGACAAAAGTTATCATCTAATCTGTATGAAATTTATATGCATTATTTAAATTAGTAAAAATGAAAAAGCCTGTCAAATTTCAAAATTTTCTGTTAATTACTTCTGGAGTTGAGGCCCTTGTTTTAATTTGTAGAACCTTGTTAACCCTCAAACGACAAAAATTATGATTTGATCTGTATGAGTGTCTTGTAAATACCCCCAATTACCTACAAAGAATAAATATAAGACAACCCTTGTCAACCACTTAGATGATTTAGCTGCTGTGTGTGCATGTTTCTTTGCCTGGCCACCTATCTTTACTTGTTTTAGACCTATTGCGAGGATTTTACCAGGATTTGTATTAACAACAGTTAATGAAGAACACAAATCGTTACGTAGATTACTTAATCCAGTATTTAGCAGAGCAGTTGTAGATTGTAAGTTGTAGATTTGAGACTATAGTATTTAATTATTTATTTAAAATGAATTGATCCCTTACATTTTACTTTTTGATACAATTAAATTTGATGTGTACCTCAGAATCAGATACTAATTTGTCTTTTGTGTGTTCCTCAATTGATTGCTCACAACACTTTATTCATTTATTTTTATACGCCCACATTGAAATGTGGTCGTATATTGTCGTCGCCCCCGTCCGTCCGTCCGTCCGGCGTCCACAATTGCTTGTGGACGCTCTAGAGGCTAAAGTTAATATCCAATTGACTTTAAATTTATATACAGTGTTTAAGGCCATGAGACGAAGAATCCTATTGATTTTCGGCGATTTCCGATAATTACTGCCAGAGTTATGGCCCTTGATCACTTCAAAAAATCTTGTGGACGCTCTAGAGGCTAAAGTTAATATCCGATTGACTTTAAATTTATACACCGTGTTTAAGGTCATGAGGCGAAGAAGCCTATTGATTTTCAGCGATTTCCGATAATAACTGCCAGAGTTATGGCCCTTGATCACTTAAAAAAATCTTGTGGACGCTCTGGAGGCCAAGGTTAATATCCGATTGACTGTAAATTTATACACAGTGTTTAAGGTCATGAGACGAAGAAGTTTATTCATTTTCATTGGTTTTCGATAATTACTGCCAGAGTTATGGCCCTTGATCACTTAAAAAAATCTTGTGGATGCTCTAGAGGCTGAAGTTGATATCTAATTGACTTTAAATTTATACACAATGTTTGAGGTCATGAGAAGAAGAATCCTATTGATTTTCAAAGATTTCCGTAGTATTACTGCCAAAGTTATGGCCCTTGATCACTTTGAAAAAGTTTTAGTGTATAATAAATTTTTCATTACCGAAAAAAGTAAAAATACGCGACAACACTTGTTGACTGCCCGGACGATTTAGCTGCTGTGGGCGTATGTTTTGTTGCCTGGCAACCTATCTTTAGCTTTTCCAAAATCCTATCCAGATTATCGCTCTTATTATTGTTAAGCTTGTTGACATTCTGACTCATGACGTTAACTGGCAGACTATCACCTTTCAGAAGACGACCACAATCAAGACTTGTTGCATTATGTTTTTCTTGTATATCAATTTTCATTTGTGTGAAGCCTGTATTATTACAGACTCAAGACTGTATAGTGCAGTGGACACTTACGGCTGGCCCCCACATTTATTCATCTGAACTGATATGTGTTGTTTATTTCTTGCAATGCCTGTGTAGCTTGCCTTGTCCACAGGTTTGCCTTATCGGTTTGGTTTGCGTGTAGTGCGGTTTCTTCTGCACTTACTAATAGAGAGAGAGACTTTAAAAAGGGCGTTTTTTTTTAACCTTGAACAAGACATAAATGGTTCTAAAAGCACATATTAATGTAATATGAATGTATGTAAAGTGATTTAACCTTGAACAAGACATAAATGGTTCTAAAAGCACATATTAATGTAATATGAATGTATGTAAAGTGATTTATATTCAATTTTTGAAAAAAAATTGTAATTTCTAATCAATTATGTTCTGTAAAACAGGTCAAATTCAACTGATTTTCAAATGTTAATTGTGTCTTAAATATTGGATATTAGGATCCTTTAGTTTCTCAGCAAGATAACATCATCATTATTATTGAAATTGACCAATATTGAATTCTAATTGGTGTTTTTAATTTCGAATATTATGGAAAATATTGAGTTAGAGACTTAGCTCCTTTAACTTCCACTGAACCCAAACCAGGTCATTTCGGGATAAACATACGGTACAATTTTATTTCTTTATCCCATTTTTTAATACACCCACATAGAAATGTGGTTGTATATTGCCGTCGCCTCCATCTGTCCAATGGTGGGTCTGTCTGTCATCCACACTTTCTTGTGAACACTCTACAGACTCAATATGATCTGATTGTTTTGAAATGGATATATGTTATTTACATTAAATACGTCTAGAATTATGGCCCTTGTTTCACTTTGTTGAACCTTGTGAATGCTCGAATGATAAAAGTCGTCATCCGAATGAAAAAGGCTGTCAAACTTCAACGATTTTTGTAAATTACTTCCAGAGTTAAAGTCCCTTGTTTCATTTTGTAGCACCTTGTTAACCCTCAAAGGACGAAAATTATAATCAGGGGCCTGTTTCACGAAATTTTAACTAAGATAAAATCCAAATTTTAATGATTTGATTGGATAATATAAGATTGATTTTAGTGCTTAGCCAATCAAAATTGAAGTATCTACTAAAATTTGGATTTTAACTTTAGTTAAAATTTCGTGAAACAGGCCCCTGATCAGTATGAAATTGCCTTGTATATTACCCCCATTACATTCAAAAGATTAAATATGCAACAACCCTTGTTGACCGCTCAGACGATTTAGCTGCTGTGGGCGTATGTTTCGTTGCCTGGCAACCTATCTTTGCTATTTGGAGATATAGATTCGCCAGTTGGCATACTGTAGGCCCTTTGTTTGTAGCATTGTAAGCTACCTGTTAACAGGAGTTATCTCTCTTAAACCTTCTTTTGTCCTCCACCATTTTTACGAAATGTAAACGTTTTGTAAGATGTCATAGAATATACCATCTTTATCCGTTGGGTGTTGTTGCTTATAGTTTAACCGTGGGACTGCTGACTGGTGATTATTTTTCAGCTTTCATCAGTGTATTTGAACAGGCAACAAAACGAGTGATAGAGAACTGGAATGTGGAGCTTAAAGACAATAATATTTGTGAAATTGAAGCGCAGCAATATATGTGTAGATTGGTAAGATGTTTTTCTATTGCTGTATTAATTGTTGCTTTTTTTGAGCCACGGTGGTAAGACGTTGGCTTGCTAACCTTGAGGTCCTGTGTTCAATCCCTGAATTGGCCGAGAAAGTTCATCAGGATTTTTTGGTGTGGTTTCCCCTTGAAAGGGGAAATGTATAGTCCTTCGGATGGTATCGGTATGGAAAACTGAGGTGCTATGTACGCTATAGCGCTGCAGTCTGGGCGGCAAAATTTCCCTGATAGCACACTGCATGGCATATGCCCGTCTTCATTAGCCCAGTCGGTAGGATGTAAAACCCCATTTCGTTTCATTTCTAATCCTGGCTTGGCAGTTGGCATCTTGATTGACTAATGTATATTTTTGTATTGTTATTTTTATCTAATTGGGTCAAGGGCTTATGTCATACTCCGGTTTTTGTCTGTTGTCTAGTATAGCACCACATGTCATATATTACAGTCTGTCCATCATATTTTTTTTATCGTTCTTGGGAGTTTTTATATATTTTATATAAAACTAGATTCTCTAGTTGTTTATCAGTTATTTGCAGAATAATTGCCCTTTGCATTAAAACCTTGTTAGCCCTCTACAGGCCACAGTTTCTGAAATGTTTTTTTTTTTTTTTTTTTTTTAACTCAACTGCTCATAGATATAAATGCAAAATGTATGTGTCATACATCAATTATTTGCAGAGAGTAATTGCCCTTCTGATCGAAACCTTGTATTCGCTCTAAAGGCCAAAGTTTCTGAAAGTTTTTTTTTTTCAAATTCACTAAATTATGTGAATGTCTTGACTAATTTAGATGATGAGAATATTTTGCTGTTTCCGATTAAGTGAGTGATGAAACTTGGTGTATAAACAATTTAATTGCTAGAGGCTTTATAAAATGATAAATGTGTAAGTAATTGTTGAGTGTCATCTATTTCATTTTGGGAATGAGACGGGACATTCAGCCCCATATTTGGCTTGCTCACATATTTATATGTGTGTGATTATTTATTATTTATAGTTGTTTGAAATATTATATACAGTATTATTGGGGGTTTTTCAGGGTATTGATGCCATATGTGAATGTGGTTTTGATTATAAAATGAATTCTGTATCAGAACCCCATGCAGCTGGTGTTATGAGTTTTAGAAGACTATTGGTATCGTTCCGTACAAGGTAATAAAACCTACCTCTATATTTAGTTATCCACGTTAAAGTGGGTATATTGTTGTCACGTCTGTTTGTTTTTCCATCCAGACCTGAACTTGAATTCTTCTTATATTCTGACAGTAGATTTCAGAGTACAAATGAACACTCAAAGCAGTCCTGGTGACACTACTGCGATTTCAAAAACCTATATTCTACTGTCAGTTGGTCATTGCTATATTTTGTATGCAATTGATTGTGAACACACGACAGGTCAGAGTTCTTCTTGTTATAAATATACTAATCAACAATCCCACTGTATTCACATTCACAAGCTGTTATAAGCTGAACATAAACTAGGAGATAACTTTGAAATGTGTTATATCATTGAAAAGTACTTATAAGCTTTATTAATAGGCTTCTTCTTTGATCTTTTGGTCAATCTATCCAAATTTCAAAAAACAAAAAAATATCTGCTTCCGTAATGTGTGAACAGAAAATCAGCTAAAGAATTGTCTTTGAGCTTTTCAAGATGGATCGTGATTGTAACAATAACGATATATGTCTTTTGGAAAGTATTTGAATCTAAATGGATTCACACAATGGAAATGAAATGAAATGAGATGGAGTTTAACGTCCTACTGTTCTGCTCCGAACTGGGCTAATGAAGATAAGCATATGCCATACATTTTGCCCGGACATCAGTGCTACATCCTACTCTTGTATCGAATTCCAACTACCAAGGGAACTTTTACGTACATGCCAATGTGTAAACAGGACCTTTTTGAATATATTGTTTGTAATAAATCAATAATGTAACTAGTATTTTTGGATTTCTGTTAACAAGTTCCATGGGTACAGGAGGTTATATCATTTAATAGTTAAAGGGCTCCAAAGAAACCCGGGGGTCACGGTGGCTAAGTGGGTAAGACACTGGATCGCTAGCCTGGAGGTCGGGTGTTCGATCCCTGCATTGATCGAGAAAGTTCATCCAGATTTTCCGGCATGGTTCCCCCTTGTCAGTGATGCAGGACAGAGCGTCTGACAAGGGCAGCTGTCTAGTCATTCGGATGGGACAAAAAAATGAGGTCCCGTGTACACATTGGTGTGTACGTAAAAGATCCCTTGACAGTTGGAATTCGATATAAGAGTAGGCTGTAATACTGCTGTCTGGGCAAAATTTCCCTAATAGCACACTGTATGGCGTATGCCCGTCTTCCTTCACCCAGTTCGGAGCAGAACAGTAGGACTTTAAACCCCATTTCATTTCATTTCTAAAGAAACCTGGCATTGCAACATTGCTGTTCTAGTTTTCAAGTGGCCAAAAATACTAGGGGGAACAAAACTTCTTGATAAAATGTATTTTTGAAAAACCCAACCAATAAATGCTCCTTTACACATGGCAGAAACGTACAATAAGATAAATATTGATTTTTCCAGGTTGGTTGATATGATCCCTTTCTTCAATAAATTACCATTTAAGGATAATATACAAAGAAGAGAAGATTTGAAGTTCTTCAAGAAAAGTATCAACAATATGATAGCAGAAAAGAAAGCGATTATTAACAACACACAAAAGGAGAAGACAAATAGTAAGTTTGTTTATTAATACAAAAATACAAGTAAAATATGGTTATTAAATTTGTCTGTATGGTTCTGAGATCTGGCACGACATTCTGTGGTTTGGGGATAAATTTTAAAATACATTTTTATGGAGTATAATAAGTAAGATTAGAGTCAATGTATGAAACTTGCACAGAGACTTCAAAATTTTATAATGTGTATACACAAATAGTAAAAAAGCCAACCAAAACATGGACCTCCTCAATTTCAGTATTTGATTCCACCTTATTCCCATATTATCTCTCCTTAGACCACTATTTAAACAACATCTATAATTTAGTATTGGTAAAGGTGTATTTCACTGTTGTTTTTGTTTCAAACAGAAAAAAACGAAGATATACTGAGTATATTATTGAAGGCAAGAGATGAAAATGATAAAGGATTGTCCGATGATTCTCTTTCTGCACAAATTGGTGGCTTTCTGTTTGCTGGATTTGAGGTAAATTGATTTCAGGGATCAGATATTTTTATTTTGTCTCCCTCCTTTACAGATATGGGTTCACCTGTCTGTTTAACAAGTTTTAAAAAATTGCATTGAGAACTTATCGTGTACCACGTTCATAAACTTTAAACGTGAAAAGTAACCAGAAAGATAACTCCATAAAATGCATTTGTAAATTACGATCCATACCCCACTGACAAGGGGAAACAACCCTGGGATATAACAAGATCCACTGTGGTTCTCTTTAAGCATAAACTTAATTCAAAGTTTTTGATACTTTTTAAGACAACAAGTACAGCTTTAACCTGGATATTGTTAAACTTGGCAGAGCATGAAGATGTACAGGATAAAGTACGAGCAGAAATACAACAAGTACTGCCATCTAGTGACCAGCCTTTAACTAGAACAGATTTTGATAAACTGACTTATATGGTTTGTGTTATCAATGAAACATTGAGGTATGAATTTATCATATACAGTATGATATTATGGTTACCATATTTTATTTTTTTCTGAACTCTATCCATATAGAAGTCGAAGTGGTATACAAGACGAATGTTTTTCAATTCCACGGTAGAAATCTATTATCGAATTACGGGACTGTTATCCTACTCTAATACTGTTTCAGTGGTTAGCAAGAAAAGGTTATTCATTCTGATGCAAATGTTTAAATTTTTTGATGGTTCCTTAGTTGTAGTACACCCATTTAATTTGTACTATTGATATCAAATAAATGACAACTGATAATAAATAGCTTTATATCTTTATAGGTTATTTCCACCAGCTACTGTTTACTTCCGTCAATCAGTTAAAGATGATACATTAAACGGATATTTTATACCGGCTAAGACTATTATTGGTGTTAGTGTTAGCGGTTTACACAGGTACAGATACTCTTTTTTATTAGCTCATGCTGATATGTTTTCATATTATTGTATTCAAACATCCGTCCATCAATCAAAATCTTCTTGTGATTACACTAGAGATCATATCATATTAAAATATATTTATTACTAATACAGAGAAATCTATTGAATTTCAATGATAATTTCAATGTTAACTTCCAGATTTATTGATCAAGATCACTTTGTGGAGACTATTTAACACAATAGCAACAAACTTATAATCTCATCTGTTTGAAATTTATATGCATTGTTCAGATTAATGGGAAGAACAAACCAATTGAATTTCAACAGTTGCCATTAACTGCTTCCAGATTTATTGATCAAGATCACTTTGTGGAGACTATTTAACACAATAGCAACAAACTTATAATCTCATCTGTTTGAAATTTATATGCATTGTTCAGATTAATGGGAAGAACAAACCAATTGAATTTCAACAGTTGCCATTAACTGCTTCTACAGTTATCGCCTTTGCTCATTTTATAGAATCTAGCAACAAAAGTTATCATCTGACATGATCTGCTTAAAATATATATATATGCATTGTTCGTAAGAAGCCTATTGAATGCTTCAATAATGAAAATCATCGTCTAGTTTAGTTTAAATTTGATTTCCACCACCTTTCTAAGAAAGCAGGGAACTATTAAAATGACTTTACCGGTAACTATCTATCCATCACACTTATTGGGGCATGATAAATCTCCTTCTAAATGAGCTAGAATGTTCAAACTTGGTTTAGTTGTTCAAAAATCAAAAGGCGAAAAATGTTTTTACTGCATTTGATGATGAACATTTTGTGCCTAGGCTAAGGAGAGATAAGCAGTAAGGTTTTGCTTTTATTATCTAAAAATTCACAATGCACAACATTTATGGACTGTTCGAATAATTTTGCTGCTGTGGACATTTTCATTATCATAATGTGGACATTATGATAGGGCATTATGATAGCCTCCAGATGACTAAGCTGCTATGGGTGATTTCTGGGTTGCTTGGCAACCTGTCTGATGAATTTATCAATTAATTTTCATTTTCATTTCTTGTTACAGACACCCTGACAATTGGGAAAATCCAGATTCTTTCATTCCTGAAAGGTTTCAGGAGGAGTATGACCATTACAAATTTATGCCTTTTGCTCATGGGCCATTGATGTGTATTGGAAAAAGATTTGCTATGACTGAAATTCAAACAGTTCTCACTTTATTGTTAAGATCCTTCAAGTTTCATAAAGCCCCCTCTTATAAATACCGTCGAATTCAAAATCTTACAATGGTGCCTAATCCTCCTCTTGTACTGAGGATTGAAAAGATTTAAATTGTCTTGGTCTTTCAGTATGTTAACAAATAAAAAGGACATATGAAACGCGTCTTGGGTCCTAATGATCTCAGGACATGTCTATTGGACAATAACACCCCTCTAAATGCGAAACAGGAGGTGTTTATCTCCTAAATAATAATCAAAAGTGATTAATTAGATGGTAATAATATGTATCCTTGGTGACATAACAGTGGTATATAGTTATGTGACTGGATAGCTTTCTATTGTTAAAACCATTTACAGATATTGGTCATTTTAAAACTGTGTGACATGCCAGTGTAATTAATTAACAACCATTTATATAAATCATGCCAATTGTATTTATTTCATGACACAACCCTTTCGTGTTTTATAATATACTGTACATTTGTAAATAAATAAATTAGTATAGCATTTTATTTTGCTTATATTAAACTTATATATATATAATAATAATAAAAATAAGAGTTATGTTTTCTTATATTAATATAATACTAAATCTATGAGAGTACAGTTTGATACTGAAAATATATGAGTCTTTTTTTTTGCCATTTCTAACAATTTTGGCATATTTATTCCTTATACCGTAAGGATAGCAACTATATATTTTGGTGAATGTCAATCAAAGGAGGAATGTGGACATATATTGTAGCGGTAACAATGCTTTTGTTTTAAAAATAATTAAACGTAAAAATGGATGATTGAGGCTAGACTAAAATTCAAAAGCTAATATCTTAGTTCAGAATGGAGCAATATAATCCATGAAGGTCAATTATGTCCTCTAGTACAACCTGAAATTTTTCACCTGAAGCTTTATTATCATTATATATTATTTTTCTTTTAGTGAAATAATATAATACTAATTCTAAGATGATTTTTTTTTTTTTTTTTTTTTTGCTGCATAGATGTATGTTCATCATTTGTAATAATTTGGGTATTATGCTTAAAGATGTATTCCCTCAAGGTCATTTAGTGCAACTTGATTTTTTTTTTCTTCTAAACTTAAGCTGTATTAACCATGAATTGTTTCAAGAATTTATATATATATAAAAAAAGTCAATAAAAGTATATTTATAACACTGTTTGGTCACTTAATTACTTTCGTTGTCCCGCCCATTATAAAACTGTAATTGGGTTGATCACTTAATTGCTTTCAATTCATTCCCAGTACCGTCAAAGTGTTTGGAATTCGAGTTTGATAACCCATATCTTGATGTTCGATTCAGCATATTTGAGATGGTCAGACTATTGCCTATCCCAGCAGAGAACATTTTTTGTTACACTGTAGGAATTTTGAAAAACTGCGATCAGATTATCTATGTCCAGTTTTCTGCCAAAGATGGCACCAAGTCAAATGCAACATCAGACAAAATGATAGGGTTTGTTTTCTCATGACCCCATTGCTTCCAATCTTGTTAAAACACAGATCCTATTTCGTTTCGTTTTTATAGTTCAAAATTTCGTTTTACTTGTCTTTACTATACTTGGATCTGGAAGAGTTGTTATTTAACTCGTGTTCTGAATGGTGTCAGAGATAAGCCAATGAAACGGTCTGTTAGGGCGAACTTTAGGGGTTTTTTGCACGGAACTGTGGGTAATCAACTAGTAACATCAATGCTGATTGGTTAATCAAATGTCTGACATCATAGGGTCATAAGTCGGTCTTTTGACCCCTGATGTGACCTTTCGCTATAACTTGTCAGATCTTCATGTAGTGTAGGCCATCGAAAGTATAAAAAAACGAAACGAAATATAGATCTGTATTTTGATCAGATTGCATTGCTTCACACCAAATCTGAAAAAAATCTGATAAAACCGCTGTAAATTATACACAGTGTAATGAGACGAAGAGGCCTACTGATTTTCAACAATCTGATAATTACTGCCAGAGTTATCTTGCTCACTTTGAAAAATATTGTGGATGTTCTAGCTAGAGGCTGCAATTTCCGATAATTACTGCCAGAGTTATGGCCCTTGCTCACTTTGAAAAATATTGCGTGTGGATGCTCTGGAGACTTAAGTTAACATCTGATTGACTTTAAGTTTATACACAGTCATGAGACGAAGAATCCTATTGCTTTTTAACAATTTCCGATAATTACTGCCAGAGTTATGGCCCTTGATCACTTGAGAAATCTTGTAGATCATACTAGCTGTGTTAGCCTGAGGTATCCGATTGACTTTAGATTATACAAAGTAAGGTCATGATACAAAGACGCCTATTGCTTTTCAGGAATTTATGATAATTAAAAAAAAAAAAAATATATGCGACAACCGTTGTTGACTGCCTGGAAGACTTAGCTGCTGTGGGCGTATTTTTCGTTTCCTATGGCAACCTGTCTTCAAAGTTTTATTACGTATGTATTTAAGGCCTAACAAAAAAAAAACAACTAAAATCTACGCAATTTTGTTTCCTATGGGGGTATTAATTCACCTCTGGTTTCATTTATTATTGAAAAACAAATTGGTTGATTATCCTCAGCCTAGGGTTCAGTTAATAATATACGTCATTGATAGAGACCAACAAAACCCAGCTGTCAAACGCACTCGGCAAACCTCAGCATTAGACGCGTAGTATCTGTGGAGGTTTGCCGAATGCTGTCAAACGATGTCAATTGTCACGTGTAAATCACATGATTATAACTAGTGCGCGCGCTGTTTCATTACTGACGTGGCTTTCCTGCAAAACATAGGCTCGATTATTAAGTCGGTTTTGTTATTTGATAATATACATAGTACTGGATGATCGTTACGACCAAAACAATAGTCATTCGTCGTCCTCAATTCTTCACCATTTTCTTGTGTGATTAGGTAAGTTGCATCACTGTATGTTTGCAAACAATGTAGACCTGTAAATAAACTAACTTCATGCTAGCTAGAAGGTAGAGAGCGGTGCGTGGCAGGTTAATGAAAAGCTGGACTAGTTCAGTTGAGTGGTTTGTTTGCTAGGAGTCAAATTCATTTCCGTTCATTGCCATCATCATCATGTAGAGTACCGAATGTATATTGTCGGTATTAAAATATCTCGGCCTATTACAAAGTCAAAGGGAGAGGTATTTTCACCCACGAGTGACTGGTTTCTTTGAAGTTTTTGGTTAGGTTTATGTACTATTGAAAATTAAACAATCAAAAGTGATAGGTATCGTGATATATGTATGTATTAGAACTAGAGATAGAACCCAAATCTTTATTTATTTATTTATTTATTAATAATAATGTCAATGGAGTCCTACCAAGTTCCTAGTTTAAACCTAGGCGAGATATAAAAAAACAACAACCCCAAAACAAAAATAACAACAAAAACAACCAAACCTTCAAAGAATTGACATTAAATATCACATTAATTGAAATATCTGTACTTGATTTTTGATTTCATACCATATTGTAAATTAGGTCTGGCAATTGTAACAATTGTTGCAAATTAGTTAGATCTACTAACATTATGATATAACAATGATTTATTTCCTTTAGTTCTAAGGAAGCAGAATCCCAATATTAATATTTCTGAGGTAACTTTATACAATGTTTGTGTATCCTGTAGTTCTAACACCAATATTAAATTACTGTGGGACACTTTACATGTACATGTATGTATATAATATTTTCTATTCTCAAACATTATAAATATCTGCAATTCTTTAATCTTTAATAACAAATATTTGAGGTGTGAGAAGTTGATTCAGGTAGTAGGATGCAAAATACATGTAGATTGTATCTAGTTATGTTGTTACACCAAAATGACAACCTCTGACATTTCGAGCATAAAAAGTAATGAAAATAACACATCACAGTTGGGTCTTGTTTACCTTTGGAAGGGGGTACAAATAACCTCAAATTATTCCTGTGTTTACACAAATATACTTTAATAGGTCAAAGTTACTCTACATGACTACAGAAATGAAAAGAATATTTGAATGAGTTTGAAAATGTGATCAATGCAGATTTCTCAATATTTTAAGAGCAGCAAACCTATATTTGTTTTGGTTAGGAATGAATTTGAGGCATAGAAGATAGGTATCCTATCGCAGTGGGGAGTATCGCCGTGTATGTAGTACCCTTTTAACCTTCACCCAAAATTGTATTTTTAACTTTAAACTGTTCTATATTTCAGATCCTGTCTGAACAAACGGATTTGTGTGCATTATAATTCTTGGTGCTAAAACAACCCCCACAAAAAAACCCATCAAAAATCAAAGAAACATCAGTTTAAGAATCCATTGCTTTTTTAAAAAAAAAACCCCAAGATGTCTGATTTTGATCCTTGTGAATGTATATGGAATCATGAAACAGCCATGCAGCGTCTGATGAACCTGCTGCGTAATTCACAGGACACTTGTACGGACACACAATGTTATGATTCATTGCCAGGCGAGACTAACATGCCAGGAGCAGGATTTAATACCATGATGATGATGATGATAGGTTGGCTTGTGGTAGCCACTGCTCTCTTTTTACTCCGCCCCTCTAGTCTACGGAATCGTGGTGATGGTAAGCCAAGCAGAAATGACCATAATCAACCACCACCACCACCTCCTGCACCTCCAGCACATTAATACAAATGTTAAAGTTTGGAAGGAGTGATAATTTGTGGAGGGGTAAGAGACTGGAGGACTTGAATCATTTAGTAGACTTTATCTTCATCACTGCACAAGTTATACAATTTTTTACCCAGTGAAATTGTCGGATATTTTATATTTCAAGTTCTTGGATTTGATGTGGTAGCCTGTTAAGACAACTCCTGAATTCATATGCTGTGATTTTACATTCAAGGAAATTTATATATTTGTTTAAATTACCTATTTCTGAGGGAGAGGTCATATTTGTATTTCAATCATAATAAATAATGTGCTTGTACTTATGTCTGATTGCTAACTGTTAAAGCTTTACGGGATGTTCAAAGGTTAGCTAACATCTACTTAGGAAACCACAGAATCATCATGTTGCATGCAGTTTCTAGATCGGTTTATGGTTTACAAACAGATATTTTATCCAGGTTAGGAAATTCAATTTTTGCATTTTAAAATAATGTAATAATGGAGGGAAGGGGAATGTAATAAACAGGAACAATACAAGCCTCATGTTCTCTGTATGATCTATGATAGCGAGTTCTCAGTTGAGAATTGCAGTGTAAGTCTGACATAATTTCAAATGTAAACATAAGTGACTGGAGCTATATTTGGGTGTAGGTGTAGGGGTTTCTATATTTTCATGTAGAAAGACTCTTTTTGATTCTGCCATTCCCTGATTATCTGCTAGTGACTGGCCAATCAAGCACTGTACAGACATGTACATGTAGGGGATTATGAATTTGAACATACTGTAGACCTATACTATCATACAAATTTTATTTGTAAATTTTTGAACTGTGATCTTGTAAATTCTTAAGTGTTTTGTATATTAGTTGCTTTAAACATTTTTATCTATAAGTAATTTATTATCAAAATATATTTTTGTAAATTTGGGATATGGTGAAATGTAGTCTATGAACTACATATATGAATTATGGTTCATCCTGAATTTAATAAGATCAATGGATATATATTGTGCAATTTTTTTCTTGTTATAGTTCAGTAGAATATTCAACCCAGTAGAATATTCAACCAGCAATTCATTATTATTTGATATTTTGATTTTGTTTTTACAGCACAGCTGTGTCTGTGCTCTTTGTCACACTGGTTATTGTACAGATTTATAATTTGTTAATGGATATAGATACATGTAATGCCAAATGACAGGTCTGTTGCTGCACTGTTAATATTTAGTTTTGGCCCCACTGTAAATATAACTTGATTATGTTAGAAATCTAGCATTGTTAATGCATGTACATGTAGGTATATTTGAACTTTTATATTAATACATGTACAATTTGTATTAATCAAAATGTTGTTTTATTTGATGGTTCCATAGTGCTATACTATTCCAATAAGTGAGAGAAACTTATGTAAGCTTATGCTACACATAATGTATGTTCCAATTTAGTTGATCACATGCAAAATGAAAGCAAGTGTATTAAGAAAGAATATTGTAACATGAATGAATTATTTAAATGTAGGGTTTCAAAATACTAAATCATACTTTGATGTTTTAAATAAGACTATTTTCTGCTCATATAGATGATGTATTATTATTTAATGTTTAAAAAATCTCACTGAATAAACTCTTGTTGTTACAGTTATTAACAAATTTATAGTTTATGTATGAAGACAAAATTGCGATTCTGGAAATAATGTAGATATAAGCAGGAAAAACTTATAAATGGTTGAAGCAATAATTGGGGGTGCAGTTCTCTGTGTGTGTATCATTATTTAACTGGTGTCTCATTTATTGAAATGAAATGGGGTTTAACTTCCTACTGTTTTGCTCCGAACTGGGCTAATGATGATGGGCATAAGCCATACAGTGTGCTACGGCCTACTCTTATATTGAATTCCAACTGTCAAGGGATCTTTACGTGCATGTCAATGTGTACACAGGACCTCGTTTTTTTGTTGTCCCATCCAAACGACTAGACAGCTGTTCTTGTCAGCCCTCCTTCCTGCATCACTGACAAAGGGGAACCACGCCGAAAAATCTGGATGGACTTTCTCGGCCAATGCAGGGATCAAATACCCAACCTCCAGACTAGCGAGCCAGCAAGCTCTTTAGACCCAAACAACTACCGGAAGCTCTTCAAAACATCAGTTAGAGCCGGAGACGAGCTTCTTAACTAGCTGTAACCTTTTGACTGGATAAACCCCTCTATAACTCCCGAGTATGCTTAGTAGTGACATCTTCCCATGATACAGCCAGGCTTTTATAAGCTTACATTTAAAGTGTATGTTTAATGTTGTCACCTGTCGATAATTCTTCATAATTGATACATTGACTTTGCTGGTGGGCATGTGTTACTGATCAAGGCAAACTATGTAATTATTGATGAATACATTACATTACAACAGATATATGTGCAGGCGTGGGTTTCTCCAATCGTAATATTTTTCTTAGCCTAATTACCATGAACTGCTAGTCAATTCAAACAGTTCATTATCAAAGTTTCTCGAGTGTATTTATATAACCTCTATAAATTATAGAAGTATCAGAGTAAGTACATGGATATTTTCCCCCAGAGGACCTGACCTAACCTGTACTTAAAACTGAAGTCCAGATAGCAGGAATGTAAACTTTTAACTGGAAGATACACTGGTAAACATACAATACACATGCACCCCCACAGCTAATAAACCCTTACCCTACTCAATGTATGTTAGTGGATACATGTAGGTAGATAAACACTAGTGCATAAACGATAAACCACATTAATATCCAATACACACTTGATAATATAGGTCAGTGGGCATGGGAATATAAACCAGTAAATATACAAGAATATACCTCAGAGAATATGCAATACACACCAGTTAATAAACATTATAAATATAAGATTTATTTTCTTTTATATTTTAAAGCATTTAACAATTTTATAATTAACAAAATTTAACATAAATATTCTACATGACTGTTTTACAATCATATTATCATATGATTCATCTGCCTGAAGCCTAAATACAGCAGGCATACACCTCATTAAATGTCTGAATAAATCATCATCATAAATAGTGACATATGTATGTAATTAGTGTGGTATGGTGCTAAAAAAAGGAATCGCTAGCCTTTAAAAAATTGGAAGGAGTTACTATTATTTTTTAAAGAGTTTTAAAACAAGTACTGTGCCTACACCCTAATTACAATAGTTTATTTATAGGTTAGCATTACCGCAGATTAAACAAAAAGAATTGACACAGTTCAAGAATCTGTCTCATAAACCTTCAGAAGTGGAAATTAAACATTTCACGGATTGTAAATTTTGATTTTCTTGAAATAGTGAGTGAATACTGTCCCCACTCCCAAACAAAGTAAAGGAACTTTGTTACCACAGCACTACACCACAGCATACAACAGATTTGAAATAACTATTTACAGACATACTTTGCTCTTTATTACAATATCTTAATATATTATGTAGATTTCTAACTACCAGCTAAAAGATCTCATCTCAGAAAAGCTTAAATCTAACTTAATGGCTACAGGTTATTTTGATTTGTGACCAAGGAAAGCTCCATACAATTAACTTAAATCTACTGATGTAAAATTATAAATGTAGAGAGATACTAATATTCATTTCACAAAACTTGCAAGTCAACTCATGTGAAAAGGCTGCAAAAATTGTGCAAATTCTGTAGAATACAAATTCAAAAAACACAAAAGGTAATTTTTCTATGGATACAAAATTTTCAAATAGCCTTCACAATATGACACTGTATTTTGTTTTATAGGTGGCCATAAATATATTTTTTACTTTATAAACAAAGGTTGGAAGATAAAATTTTGATTCTCAAATGGAGAGAGAGAGAGAGAAATGGGGTTTAATGTCCACTCGACACAAACTAGGTCATTTCGGGACTAACATGGTTTTTAATTTTATTTCAATAATTCGCTTGCGCATAGGGGTCTTTAGCAGTGGGAGGAAACCGGAGGACCCGGAGAAAACCCACGAGGTTGGACAGGCGACCATACTCCTTGTCACGTACAACAGGGGATACGAAACCACGCCAGTCGACTCAATGAAGGACTTTATGATACAGCGCGTGCACGCTAACCATTCAGCCATCCAACCCCCCGATTCTCAAATGGTGTAAGGTCCTTATAAAGGACTATTGTTCCCTAATTTCATCATTTAAATTTCATCAGATTCTAGTCACACATATGCAACAGTTTTGAATTGATTTTCACATTAATCAGCCACAATATGTTACTATACAGACAGGATATTCACAATAAATAAATCAATATACTTTATTATAAAACATCCTAGAAATGAGTAAAATTAGATACATGTATTTATATGGCATGGAAGAGTCAATATCTTATGGTATGGCATCAATCAAACAATTGATTTTCATTCTTCAAAGAAAAATCATTGTGAACTTGCATTATTTATTGATCAAGAACTCATTGTCACAAATTAATTTTAGAAGTTTAGGTTTTAGATGATTAAATCTACTTCATTCATATAAATCATCATATGGAGAAAAAAAAGGAAACATTCCTGAACAAAGATAAACACTCAGTTTATGGCACACATACCATACAAAAAAGGAAAAACATATTATCCAAATCAATTAGTCTAACTTCATGGCTATGTGAAGTTTGTATATTATATTTTATTGATAAAATGTTGTGATCTTTATCCGAGTTAATAATTAATAATTCTGAAATGTCAAAATTCTTTAACCATGTTGCTTTTCTACCTGCACACTCACTTAAAGCTTAAGTGCCTGAAGGTCAATTAAGCCTATTCCTATTTATATTTGTGGCTCAGTGGCTAAGGCACTGGTTCACTAACCCGGATGGGACTATAAACTGAGGTTCTGTGCACACCTTGACAGTTGGAACATGATCAAGAGTAGGGAGAAATTCCACTGTTAAGACCAATATTTATTTTGTATGGTGTGATAGAATATTTGTTGTTAGTACAAAAAATTGGGGTGTTTAATTAGATTTTTATTGTTTTAAAGTAAAAAAGGCAATATTTTTGATTGTTAAAAAAATACTGATTGGACAAACTAATTGAAAGATATACATTTAACTGTCCTTGATGTAATTTGAATAATATTATGATTATTTTATATGTACTGTTTCAATTGGAATGTGAATTTTTGTTACAAAATCAAATCGTGCAGTCAACCAAAACAGTTTGGTTATGAAATACATTTATTATAAATAATAAATTGAAAAAAATAAGTTATAAAATATCGATTAATGTAGCGTTAACACTGAATGATAACTCTATTGGGACCATTTTATAAATCTAGGATCGGATCTCTTTCAAAAATGTGTTGGCTGGTCAATTTTTGCATTGCTTTAATTGAATCAGTAATTTCCTTTATTTCTAGCGGAAAATATCTAATTTAATGGTATGTAAATTGACTAACATATCAATTTATCACCCAATAATACATTCTACAGTAGATATCGCTTGTGTGATATATTTCATAATCTGATTGGTCAGTTGAAAAGGAACTACTTTTTTTTATTTTCAAAGAACAGTTCATTTCTTATTAAAAGTAACTTTTTTTATTATTAAAAATGAACTATTGTTATTCAATTGACCTTGATGGAAACACTGGGTCAATATAAAGGACTTTGCAATGGTTGAATTGCTGTCAAAAAATGATGTATCACTACGCCGTAATGTTCAGTAAAAGTGAAATCTACAGCAAAGATATATATTTATCTATTTGTGCATGTAAGAAGGGATTGGGTGATAAATAAAATCTCCTACTCGTCTTTTTTTATATCAAAAAATATCAACACTCGTTGATAAAGTAAAAAAAAACTCGGCAGAGCCTCGTTTTTTGTTACTTTAACAACTTGTGTTGATATTTTTTGATATCAAAAAGGACTGGTAGAAGATTCTCTATTTGTCAGCCAGTGAACTTCACTGCCTTTCAGTAACAATACTTTCGCGCAGCTTTACCTATTTTACCTTAGTTTTTTTTGCAGATATCATAAATATTATTCAGAATATGTTACAAGCTACATAAAAATCATCAAGAAATATTTTTCTTTTCTTGAAACATGTTAATGAGAATGGAAGCTTATTGAAACCCAACTGTCAAAATTTTCAAACCGAAACTCTAGTCAGGACTGACCAATATGACTGAAAAGAGTCGCCAAGTTGACTTTTCATTAGTTTTCTTTTTTAATAATAGGAACTCTAAAAGCCTTGGCTGCTGCTGGTGATATAGAACAGTTTAACAGTGACAGTGGACTAGGAGACCCATAAGCCAACAATTTACTGGTTTTCTTTCTTATTAAAGCTTTTCTTTTAGATAGTTCTACATCCTTTTGTGACACATCATCTTGATTCTCAAATGATGTATCCCCTTCTGTCATCGGACTAAAAAACTGTTCAAGATCGACTGGTAAATCACTGTACATCTTCTATAAAATTTAATCACAAATTTAATAATGTACATCATCAAATTACTACATTTAGAATGTACAGTACATCCTCATTTTACATGTCCGATGGTCTGTACACTGTCGTTAGATCCGCAATTGGCTGATCATTTGATGCCGTAGAATATGTTCACACTGTAAGCATTGTCTACTAAACTGACATGACAGATTCTATTTGGAAGAATTCAGATTTACAATGTTCAGATCGGTTCAAAATATTTACCCAACCAATACTCCAGGATGTGTTTTCAATAGAATATAAAAATTATTTGAGTTAACTGATACTGAAATATATATCTGATTGTGGTCCTACTGATCACTGACAAGACCCAACAAGAGTTTTTTTTTTAAATTAATGCCCAAGTCCCAAAATATTGCAAAATATGACCGACAAGGAAGATATGCTGTTTTATGCATATTCTACACATCATTTCCAAATTTTAAAGAATTTCATGGATAATTGAAATTTGACAAAAACAGTCTTACTATAACCACTGACAAGAGGTTTTTCTTTTTGACAATTTTACTTACCGGTAATTTTGTCAATTTTTGTCAACTTATTGATAAAAAAAAGCTCTTGTCGGTGATAAGTAGGAACGCTCCAATTAAAAAGATAAATTTTAATAATTATTAACAATTATATTATACCTCAGGAGTCTTAGCAACAGTTTTCTTCATATGTCTGTCTTGGTATCTTTTTATAGAATTTTCCAGAATGGCAATTTTTTCTTCCTGAATTGCAGATATAAAATTCAAATAGGAACTGATCAAGAGAAAAATTACCCAAACTCGAACTATGAATTAGACCATTCTCAGTCTAGATTAAAATAATCTAAACTATATACAACAATCTGGGTTGATATTCTTAGGAATACATGTCTGTAGATTAACATAAATGTATAAAATCTAATATTCATTATCTGTTAAAGATGCATTATGTAAGATTAAGATAAAGAGCTGGTCGTTTGTGCTATAACAGTTAAAAAAACAGATTAACAAAAATGAATAAATTTAAAATTTCAGTCAAATTATTTTATTCTGAGCGAAGTTATAACTGTTTGAAGCTTTGCTATAACAATAAACAAAGCCCCATTTTAGATTTTTTCATTTACCGATTATATTAAAGCCATCTGATACTGTAGAGAGTTGATTATCGGCTTGTAATGTTAATAAATGTCTAAATAATAATTTAAATAACCTTTGAAATCAGAAAAAAGATCCACAATAGGCAGTTTTAGCTCTTACATAATGCATCTTTAACTAAAGGAGAGAGACAATCTTTTGACATATTATAAATGGGTAATAAAAATACCTGTTTTAATGTAGTAAATTTCTCTAGATATTTTCTATGTAATGGAAGTTTAGAAGATTGTGATATTTGTGTAACTTCCTGTAGAACATCAGCTTGTATAATATTACTGCCATAGTGTGATTTTAATATTAAATTACAAGCTACAAAACACTTGCCCACAACCAATATATCTTTAACACCAAAATTCTGTACAATAAAACAATAGACTATATAATTGTGAGCATGTAATTAATGCAAATATTCTCCATGTCTTAAAGGCAACATTGAATTAGAAAAGTAAACTCTTGTGAATTTCTGAATCTACTTTGAGTGGAATTTAACAATCGAGTTAGAGACACAGACTATATAGCATATAAATATATTTTTGGATATATTTTCCCATTGATGCTGTATGTATTTATGATCACAATTCACAACTGTTGCTAAAATGGGTATTTAAGTATCCTTAAAAGGAGATATAGTTTAGAACTGGATTTTAAGAACTATATTCAAGTATGATATAATCTATACTTTACCTTTAATCCATTCCAAAATGTGATATTCAGAAAACCGCCATCAAAATCAACACAGTGAACAATCTGCATAGTACCTTGTCTGTAATTAGAAATAATGAACTAGACCTGCAACTAGGCATAATACATGTAGGCTTCCAACCCAAAAGGACTTTTACCTCTTCTTCAAGGAAGATTTTTAAAAACAGGGCATCTTGACTAAAAAATGTTAAACACGAATTTCTCACACAATATCAAACTACTATTAATAATGTCAAAGAAAAGAACATCACATGGAGGAATTAATCATCTACCAATAGTTTTTCTATTAAATAGATGTACATATTCTAGATAATATATAAAATATAAATATAAAATTGACTATAAATACCTTCCATTTTCAACATCAAACACTAGACCAACAAAATCAAACTCTTTGAATGCAGGTTGCCTGGCTTTTAAATCTTTTATTCTCCATACCTTAAACAAATTGTTATATAGAAACACAAAATTATATCTAAAAATTTCTCATTTTGGAAAAAACAGCATTCAGTTTCAACCATTCTAGGAATTTTGTGACTATTAATAAATACAAAGTACATTCAATTTCAATGAATTGGAGAGAGGGCCAAAAATAAATTCATATGGTTGAGGGCATTTAGTGACAATAAGCAGACAAGAGGATACAACTATATGATAATGTGAATAATAATATGTTAATTTATCATGATCAATAGCCTGAGGTCTACAAGTAGTAAGTCATTATCAACAAGATCATGTTATGTTTTAATGATAAAGATTAAAGATTGTAATATCGATTTGTTACAATTTAACCCTTTTGACTGGTTCTTTGGTCATGATCTCCACTTGTTTACGCCCAGACAACAACTGTTGGTACGATGCACCAAGATATACCAACAAAATTATACTGAACATAATACTAGGGGAAATGTTTATATCATGCATCTTGGTCTTAGCAATCAGGTGTATGATAGCTACCATACACTAGGGTCTTGCTAAAATTTACATTTGATGAAAAAACACAGAGAAAATGCTCTTACTATCAAAAATCTAATACACATATTCAGTTAAGAGACTGATATCCAGAAAGTCTTAAAAGCCATCAAGATTTATAAAAAAAAACGTCTAGTTTGTGTGCTACTGGTTAAACAAGTTTTTCTCCCTAGAATTACACAAATTGTATAATGTTATTCTCAACATGATTTAAATATTATGTTGATGAGACATTAAACATTCCTTTGTTTTATATTTCCTAATACATATCTAAGTGCATTTTTTTTTTAATAGGCATTAAAAAATAAATCACCTCTCTAGGATCATATATAACATCAAGTAGATTTTCATCTATATGTAAATGTTGTATTCTAGATTGTCTTGTTGATGTTACATGCACGGGTAAACTTTCTAATCTAGATCTAAAAAATAAAATTATACGATTTCTCTTCTATACAACATACATAGATAAATCGATTATAATCTTCTCTACGTCCTTAAGTGAGGTCATCTCTTTAGCCAAGTATTATCCCACACTAGATGTTCATTTGAACTGTTTAACTTAAAAAAGTGAGAGAGAGAGAGAAATGAGGTTTAACGTCCACTCGACACAGACTAGCCCAACCTGGTGGGTTTTCTTCAGGGCCTCCAAATGACCTAGTTTGTGTCGAGTGGAAGTTAAACTCCATTTCTCTCTCTCTCTTATTAGTGTTAGATGGAGATATCAAAAAAATATTTACTTAGAAAATGAAGCTTGTAAGTTGTAAAGTTTATAACGTTTAGATTCTTGTAGTTGACACCATTCTGGACTAGGTCTCCATACTGTTAGTATAGTAGCTACAATAATATAAACCAAAATGTATTTAACTTAAGAATGTAAGATGTGTAATTAACTCAAAAATATAGAACATGTAATCATTCCAAAAATATAAAATATGTAATCAATCCAAGAATATAAAACATAATCCATGAAGTTACGGTCCGATATGCACAAATATCAAAAGGAACCAAGATCCTTGGGTTATAGACATGCATTTCAAGTTTCATCAAAATCAGTTGAAAATTGTGACCTCTACAGTGTCCACAAGCCAAAAACAGGATTTTTTGAACAATCAGCGGCCATAATCCATGAAGTTATGGTCCGATACATGCCAACATTGAAAGGAACCGAGATTTTGGGGAGATAGACCTATATTTAAGTTTCGTCAAAATCAGATAAAAATTGTGACCTGTAGAGTGTCCACAAACAAATGTTGGACAGACGGACGGACAGACAGGGGTGGCAGCATAATACGTCCGCATGAAAGTATGAGCATATATCTTAAGTAATATAATAAACAAATCAATACATTAGATTTCAATAAAAGGTTATGTCATTATAATTATAATGACTTCTTCATGTTTTCCCTTTTATTTGCTGTATTATATCAAATAGTTCAATATGACCCAGAATAATAAACATCAAACTTTCTACTTTTCATTTCTATTATTATTAGTCATGTGTGAAGATAACACACATGGTCGTATCAATGATCAATAAGAAGAAATGAATGATTAAAACATTATAATATAGTTTAATCAAGTAGAAAGATATATACCAGCTTTATTATCTATATCTTTTCTACCGCAACCAATTAATCTTATCTTTAATAATGGTGTCACCTTCCTTTCCAATGTCGACTACAATAAATATACAAAAAGTACAATATAAATCACAACAAAACACATAATATTGCATTGATGCCAATAACAAATCCAAATGTCAAAGTGATTCTAAAATAAAATAACTAAATGATGATATTGTTTATACATGTAACACCCACCACAATGAGTCCCTAAGAGTATAAAATTGAACATAGCTTAAGGACCCAATGGGGGGTTGTGGTTTCAATCCCTGTTGTGAGTGTATGTGGCTTGGAGATAGGGGCGCCTTCTCAACCTCGTGGGTTTACCCCGGGTAGTCCGGTTTCCTCCCACAGGAAAGACCCCTGCACGTGCACTAAGATAACAAAAAATTAAAATAAGACAACTTGTTTGCGATATCACCTTCGGTGGAAGTGGACGTTAAACACTAAAAACAACAACATGGACCCAATGAAAATTAAAATTTTCTACATGGAGACATTTGACTCAGATCTAATGGACCATGCAGGAAACAAGCCAACCTTCACCTAATGAACATCTATACCAAGTTTGAACAGTCTATGTCAATTAGAAGCAGAGTTATTGTGTCCGGAAATGTTTGACCGACAGAGACAGACAAACCCATTTTAATAAATCCATAAAAATAAATATATGATTCATCAACTATTAAAGATCAAAGAAGTTTAACTGTCGTACTTCGATTTATTTTTGTACCCTTTGATAGGTTTCTAATATTATAAATAAATAAATAAATTTTTACCTGTTGATTATCAGACAAAGATTGTTGTATTTCTTGTTGTAATCTACGTTGTTTGTCATCATGTTGTTGTTGTTGATAATCTCTCATTTCATCAATCTGATGATTACTTAACCAACTCTAAATAAATAATGAATAATGTGTAAAGTCGACTTCACACGCTGCAATGTTCCCTGTGATACCCCCATACCCATATCTGGATATATACCCATCCATATAATTATGTAGTAGCTAATCGTAGCATATTGTAATGAAATTCGCACTGTGTGACACAAGCTTTAAAATGTTTCTTTATAAAAGAGGAATGAGATCTAACATTCACTCAACACAAACTAGGTCATTTTGAAACTAACATGTGGTTCAATTTTATTTCAATTTTATTTCGCTTGCACGAAGGGTTCTTTTAGCAGTGGGAGGAAACCTGAGGACCCGGAGAAACCAACATGGTTTGACAGGTGACCCTCCTCCTTGTCATGTACAAGCGAGGAATAGAAACCATCTGTCTTGACTCAGTGACAGTTATGATCTAACTCGCATACATCAGACCACTAGACCACCGAACTCCCCTTTTTATTTTTATAAAGGTTAAATTATTTTATTTCTAATGCATTGTGTTTGATACATTAAAATTTCATATCACACCCTACATCTTCTAAATTATCACACTAATCGTAGCTAGGTTGTTATAGGTAATTGTAGTTAAATGCACACAGTGGGAAACATTTCTTTATATGTCAATGTAATTATTTCTAATGTCTCATCAATTTTCAAACACCACAGTGATGATTCTGCACTGAAGTATTGTAAAAGGAAAGTGCATAAGACATTCACAAAATATTCATAGATCAACCAATAAAGTGGGTAAATACATATCAGAATTTGTTTCATATTTTTATACATTCGATAGCCTCTACATCATACAGATTTGACTTTTGTTATGATTTATTCTCAGAAGACTCCCAGGATTTGATGCACTAACTAACCAGATTATTTCTCATAAAAATATGGACAGTTTATTTAAAAACTCTTTCCGATCTTACTGTTTAAGAAAATGAAATTTGAACTATAAAATAACAAAACAAAATAGGATCAGTGTTTTAATTAAACCACCTATAAGGCATTCCATTAAATCACAAAATTGAAACTCAATGATACATTGCTCAATAAAACGTTTGTGTCAACTTTATTTTTCAGAATGATATGAGGCTATCTAACGTTTGTGTCAACTTTATTTTTCAGAATGATACTGGGCAATAAATTTTCTTACTGGTCTTTTTTATGTTAAGAATTACAGCTTCAGTTTTTTTACTATCTATTTAATTCAATATTATTTAATAAACATAATATTAATATCTTACATGACTGAATTTCTTAATTGTTTAATACTTGTAATATATCTTGTAAACTTGTATTTCTTCATTGTTTAATATTTGTAATATAATATCTTACATGTATTTCTTCAGGTTGTAGAGAATTTTCTACAGCTTCCAGTATATCTTGTCCATTTGTTAATTCTTCTATTTCACTTTTCTTCCACCTTTTATTTGATTTTCTTCTACACATATCTAATTGTATATTAATATAATCACACAAAATAGAATACATTTCATAAATAATTTTGATTTATCAAAAAAATAAACAACAAAAGTGGCTAGATAACGAAACATGCACCCACTACAAGCTTAGATGAATAAGCCCAGTTTATTTGCAAAATACCTAAATGTCTTCAACTCCAAAAACTGTGAAGTGGTTACAAAAAAAGCAAAGTCATTGGGAGACTCCAAATATGGCGGATGTTTTAGCGCCAAAAAAGATGATCTGGCTACAATAAGACTCTATTTACTGAGACCATTTACCTTACCAGTATTACTAGTTTTGAAAAGCATAATAACTTTGAGTAACATATAGAGATATGGAACTGAACAAAAATTCCATGATAATGCAAGACGCATGCTTTTGCTGCATATTTGCCTTTAAAGTAACTAAGTCTTTAACTCAATATCATCCAGAGTCTTCGACATTAAAAACACAAATTATTTGTCAATTTAAATCAACATTGATGTTGTGATATTATGGAGAAAAGATGGGCGCTATTTGTAACAAGGGACTTGAAGAATGAGGCTAGACATATTCCACAAGTCAAGTCAAACGGTGACCCATATTCTTCTTATCTGAAAAGCATGTGTAATAAACACTACCGGTGTAGACTGGAATAACCAGACACTAGAGATTGCCATTTGACTGAAATTCTTGCATATTTTGCCGAACATAACTGATTTGAAATTAGAGTAAAAACGGAAACAATGGAATATAAATCAGTTTATGTACATTCATCATATTACATTACTGTATGCGTTGCAACCCATTTGTGTCAATCTCTAGGCCTCAAATATTAGCAATTTAGCTCGTTTAACCCTTCACTTACTGTTTTGTTCACTGGATTCTAATTGTTTTTCTAGTTTACTGTACATTTTTTCCATCAGTTCCTGTTTACGACACTCATGATGACGCGATTCCTTTTCCTCCATATCTGATGTTCTGAAGACACAGCCACCATCTGGCATTTTCTCCATGTACTGGTCAAAAGAAATAAAAGAGCTCAAACCTACATGTAATAAAAGCGTAACATAGAAACAAGATATTTTATGTATTATGTGCTGTAATTTATAGCTTATTTACTCCTTATTATTGCAATGATATATACTGCATGATATTAGTTACCAATAGAATATTTGTACTCTAGATAACATTTATTACCACTTTCCATCATAGGATATACTTTACAACCAATATTACCACCATCAATATATAATGTTGACAACACTAATTACCACTTACCATCATAGGATATACTCTAGAAACTATAACATCTATAGAACCAATATTACCACCATCACTATGTAATGTTGACAACGGTACACATAATGGTCTCGGATCAGATTGGAAACCTAGTTTGCTACACCAACTTGCTGGTCGAGTTGAATTATAGCAAAGTTTCAGTTTCAAAGATTCTGGAATCTATAAGAAATATCATAAATCCAATCAAAATCAGATCTAGTGTTTTCAAAACAAGTCCATTCCAAACACTTGTCTTTTAACAAGACATTCCTATGGATAACAATTACTGGTTTATTATACTAGTGACGTTTCGACAATAGTACTCTCATCTTTAACAGTCAACAAATAGTAGATCTGAAATAACCCAGTCACTGTATATAAGTAGGATGGCTATCGGTTTTTTTAGTGACTGGCATCACCTGTGTACGTTATATATTTATATAATAAAACTTACATCTAATGGAGAACAGGCATCTTGTGAACCAACTAATTCAGCTCCACTAACTACTATTTTTTGTCCTATAACCAGTTTTTGTTTGTTGATTAGATCTAGTAATGGTATATCTAAACATGCCCATATAGAGTACCATGAATCTGTAAGTTGTACACTAGTATCTGTAACTGATTTTTTTATATCACATATACATAATACCATACGTTTACAAGCTGTATCATCTCTCTCTACTATCTTCTTTATAGCAGACCTATAACAAATACAAACATTCATAAATAAATAAGTAGTAAGATTTTGAATTTTAAATAAGTAGAAGTGTGATTACCATTTCTATCCTATTTTAAGTCATCATATTTAAAATAATTATGACTTCAAGTCAATAGGTTGCCAAGCAAAGAATATGCCCACTGCAGCCAAATCGTCTGAGCAGTCCACAATGGTTGTATACAAAACTGATCAAGAGTAACAACCCATGAAGTAATTAACACAATTAAAGTTTGATTTTTGGCTTTTAGTTCTTCCTTATGGTATAATGGTGATATAGTTAAAAGGTTTTTAAAATCGGATAAAAATTGTGACCTCTAGAGGGACAACAAGCTAATATCAAAAGGAACCGAGATCGTTGGGTTATTAACATACATTTCAAGTTTCATCAAAATCGAATAAAAATTATGACCTCTAAAGTGTCCACAAGCTAAAAACGTGATTTTTCGTAAAAACAGGGGCCATAATCCATGAAGGAACCAAGATCTTTGGGATATAAAACTATAGTTCAAGTTTCGTCAAAATTGGATAAAAATTGTGACCTGTAGAGTGTCCACAAACAAATTGTGGACGGACAGATAGACGTCCTGACGGACAGGGGTGACAACAATATACGTTCACATGAAAATGTGGGCGTATAAAAATCTATAGAATTCTACGTCTAATGAACGTAAACACTGTGTATACATTTCAAGTTAATCAGATGACAAGTATACATGAACCACAAGGTAATTGTCGATAATTGTAAGAACATAACCACTGTGTATAAATTCATGTTATTGTTCATGGATGGACCAAGAGACAGGGTCAAAGACAATAAATGTCCACATTGAAATAAAATGATACAGAAAAATAAATAGCAAAATTTAACTTCTACCTTTGACACTGATCAATCTCCTTGTCATATCTATATTTTAGTTGTAACATGACATTATTCGGTGTTAAACATCTGAAAATAATGATGGCAAATTATCATCAGACTAATAAGATAATTTGAAAGCATTCCTTATTCAAGACTTGCTCAAGAATTTACATACTGTTGAAAATTGAGTTAAATTCAATTAAAAATTAAACATACATTATGCTATTTAAATTATTAATTAGACATTAATTAACTTATCCAAACCATAATCAACTGTTGATGCTATCGGTAGCCTGTGATATTTACTGGATTTGAATACATTTTGTGATGGATGATTTAACGTCAAAATGGATAATCAAGACTTTGTTTTTTATTGTACCGACTTTAGTGATGATGATCAACGCTAGGCCTAAAACTCAATTGCTAATGTCTCACTTCTGAGTGGAGCAATTTGACTGAAATTTTCAGCAGATTCTCTTTACGTGATCTATTTTTTAACTATTATAGCGAGAACTGTCAGCTCATTAATCTCCCATAATTCCACTTTAATTAGGCCCAACATAGGAATCATTAACATGCTTATATCCAAAAGTAAAAGAGATGGAGTTTATTTAAAGAGTGGGAGAGAGAAATGGGGTTTATTGTCCACTCAACACAAACTAGGTCATTTCGGGACTAACATATAGTTCAATTTTATTTCAATAGTTCGCTTGTGCATAGGGATCTTTAGCAGTGTGAGGAAACCAGAGGACCGGGTGAAAAGTTAATTTAAAGTCACAACCTTACAATGACTGATAAATTATTACCTTCCAGCAAAGTGAGATGATAACGTTACTTCATAGGCGGCCAATTTCCATAAAATCCATCTATAATGGTTATACAGCCATTCTTCTGTTATAAGATTGATATCTACTCCTTCCATTGTCAAAAAACTTCTATAATAAAATAAGATAAATGGCTTTTGGACATTCATTAAATGTGATAAGCAGACATGAGCAGTATATTAGAAATAATAGATTTTGGCATCTGTACTATGAATAGAATATCAAGATGCTCCTTTTATCAACAATCACAAGTCACTGGCAATAACTTTGGAGCTACTTTTTTGAAAAAAATTAAAATGTATCATTTTATATCCAATAAGTATTCCTGAAAATCATATGAAAATCGGAACTACTTTTTGAAAAAAAAACCCCACTCCAGATTGAAAAGGACCATCTTTCCCCCCGCCACCCCCTAACAAACAATCACATAGACTTTTAAAAAATTCCATTAAGAAATATGTTTTGTATCTCATCTGTAAGTGCAAAGGTAACATTCGTAGGTGACAAGTTTAAAATACCTATAAAATTCTTCTTTTCCAGCAAATCCCTGATTATCAGCAACCAGTTTGGCACCATCACCTACCAGTATATCTGTATTTAGATTAGGATAGAAATCTGTCAGATTAAATCTATGATCTTCAGCCGACGTTGATCTGATACCTAACGTTGATTGTAAGCAACCTTGCTTTATTAACTGAAAAATAAAATAATTACATATCTTGAATGAACATAACTAAATAATAAAATAATTACATGTCTTAAATGACTGTAACTAAAAAATGACAATAGCTAGTCTCAAATCAAATAGTAGTGGCATCATCTATAATGTTTGCATTTTGACTGACTCTCAAATTCTAAATATCAGGTCTTCTTGTGCATTCAAGACCTCAATATCATATGTATACACACAGAATTTCTATCGGTTACATGTACAGTTAGTATATATAAATTGATGGATTACGGTACATTAAATACACCATGAGCTAAAAGTTTTTATCAGTTAAGACAACTTTAGGACAAAATCTTATTTAATACATACCTCACGCCTGTTTAAATTTTGTCTAGATAAATGTTCATAATGAATTTTCGATTCAGACCTTTCACCCTTCATACAGCTCAGTTGACCAGGTAAGGGTCGAATTTTTTGCTTCTTTTTACAACGTATGATCTTGTCTTGTTGCATTCTAGCAGCTTCTATATGACACATAAAATCATCTCTGCTGATGTTGGTATCGTCATTCTTAGTTGCAATGACAGAATCACTGATTGAAGAGTTTTCCGTTTCCAAGGAATTTTCCATCAGCCACTCTGCTTTTGTTTTTGTTGATGTTGCCAACTTCAGACATCGTTTTGCTATAAAGGGATTTGATTTATTTATTTTATGATTTTGAGTCTCAGTTGATGATACAGTAGAAGATGGAGTTGTTTTTTTATATGGTGTAATAAACTTAGATTTATCTTGCTGTCTCTGTGGTACCAAAAGACTTTCCAACTGGTCTTCATAACTTGCTTTGCTGAAATAAAATGTGGTACCTTAAATCACCTTAAAGTCAAATTTTAGAGTTTTCAGTTTCTATTACAAAACTTAACAAGAGTGTCCACTACATGCTTAAATGTCTTTATATCAATTCTTGACAATTGAGGAAGCCAAAAATTACACATTAAGCACCAAGCAATCACAGAGTCCGAATACAGCATTTTGTCTATAAAGTTAATACTATGTATGAAATAGATACACAAAACTCTAACCAATTATTTTGATAATCAAGCTACCTTTGTTGAAGAGTTTTAGCTTCTAATGGTAAAAAATGTCTTCCATCTGTTTGTCGTCTATCAAAATAACGCTGCTCTGGGCGACTGTATACAGGTCTCCTTTCATCATTTGACACCAAATCTAATGATTTCCCTAAATAAATACCATATAATTACTGAATACATACTTTCATTAGCTACGTTATCTACAGACACGTGAGTAGTAGCGTCCAATCAGAGGTTGTGACATCGCAACCTCCACGGAAACCTTGACATCGAAGGAACCTTGAACTTTGCAAGTCGATTATCACAGGTAGACATTTTAGCTTGAAAGCGCGAGACTTGGTATTCGCGGCGACCGAGGAATCTGATAGGCTCACAGGCTGGGCATATACCCAATCGAAATTAGTGCCGAAATATGCAGTGTATTACGTGAAGGCCTTGATAACATGTACGTAGTTAAAGCGAGATCAAGCCTTATATTGAAGATGTGGTTTAATTAAACTGACTGATTAATTATCATTTTGAAAATCTTGTGATTTTATGCCACAATATGGGAATAGGATGGAGTATACATACTTGAATTATTGTGGTTGTATCTTGATACAGGAGTGGTTTGAAGCTTCTCATCATTTTCTTTTAAACTATCTCCATTTCTCAAACCTGGTGTTTGTAATGTTGTACTCTCTCTCCTGCAGGATTCAACAAAACTGTTGGCAACAAGTTTTTGGATGGACTCCAGATTTGGTACCAAGGAAGATGATTCTTCTAGAATGTGAGATACATTTTGAAGTGATTTAGAACTAACAGTCACGTTTTTTCCTGAAGCTGTTTGGAAAAGATTGTTTCTTTTTGAACATGGCATGAGGTGAGGTTGGTCATGAAAAATATCGGACACATCTTGGACAGATTTAGCACTAACATTCACATTTTCCCCAGAAGCTGTCTGGAATAGACTGCTTGTCTTTGAATCTGGCACGAGGGAAGATTCTTTATCAAAAATGTTTAACACATTCTCAACAGACATTACACTAACACCCACATTTTTCCCAGAAGCCGTTTGGAAAAAACTGTTTGTCTTTGAATTTGGCACAAGAGAAGATTCTTTGTCAAAAATGTTTAATACATCCTCGGCAGACTTTGCACTCACACTCACATTTTTCCCAGATGCAGTTTGGAAAAGATTTTTTGTTTTTGACTCCTCATTAAAAATGTGGGACACATTTTGAAGTGATTTAGCACTAACATTTACATTTTTTCCAGAAGCTGTTTGGAAAAGATTGTTTGTTTTTGAATCTTGCTCAAGAGACGCATCTTCGATAAATATATTGGAAACACTTTGAAGTGATTTAGCACTAACATTCACTTTTTTCCCAGAAGCCGTTTTGAAGAGATTGTTTGTTATTGAATCTCTCTCAGTAGCATCCTCTACAAAAATGTTGGAAACGCTTTGAAGAGATTTAGCACTAACACTCACATTTTTCCCAGATGCTGTTTGGAAAAGATTATCCATTTTACAGTTGGACTGGAGCAAAGGTTTTTCATTAAAAACACCTCTTACACTCTCAACAGATTTAGCACTAACAGTCACATTTTTGCCTGAAGCAGTTTGAAAAAGATTGTTCATCTCTGAGTCAGACGTGAGAGTAGCATCCTCATTGAGACATTTACCAGATTTAGCACTAACACTGACATTTTTACCATAAGTATGACTGTTTGGTTTGGAATGTTCCTCATTGAAAAACTCTGACACTAGTTGTAGTGATTTAGCACTTACATTGACACTTTTGCCAGAAGCTGTTTGAAATAAATTATTTGTTTTTGACACTGGCAAAAATGATGGTTCTTCAATAAAAAGTTTGCTTACATTTTGAAGTGATTTAACACTAACACTGACATTTTTACCAGAAGCAGTTTGAAAGGCATTTTTGGAATCGAAGTCAGGAACATTGGATTCGACACAAATTTTTGCTTCATCATTACCAAAGTTTGTATCATTATTTTCTGAATGTAGAAGAGTTTGAGCATGTGATTGAGCATCTTCAGTTGTGTCAATAGATTTTCCAGAAGCTGTCTGGAAACCTAGAAAACAGTTATCAGAATTTAGGTTATTTGGCACACTTTGTTCACCCTTACAATCGCAATGCTCCTCTCCAATCTTTCCTGTAAATTTACCAGATTCATGTTCAAAGGAATGAGGGACTTTTGTATCATCATCATCATCATCATCATCAAAATCTAACATTTCTTTAATATGCTGCCTAGATTCTTCTTTCACATCTACACTTTTACCAGATGCAGTTTGAAACATCGGAAATGTCTGGTTACTAGAACCTAGCAAAACTGGATTGTCTGATTTTAGACTCCCATCTAAATCAAACCCGTTTCTTACAGTTCGTAAAGATGTTTCTTTGACATTAACAGAGGTGCCATTAGCAGTCTGAAACATTGGATAACCTGCATGTGATGTAGCACCAGTTTCCATTGGTTTATCTCTATCTGACTGCATCACTTCTAAGTTGGTAGTAGAATTTGCTTCTGTGATACAAGCATGCCTTTGTGCAGACGAAGACAAGCTTTGAGATGTTTTGGTAACCTCTTCCAGCAGTTTTTGAACATGTTTTAATGAACTTTCCTTTACTACAACATTACAACCGGATGCAGTCTGGAAACCTGCTGTGGTAGATAGCATGCACTGAATGTCATGAAAAGGAGGAATTTGTTCTCTTTCAGCAGTTTCATTCAACTGGACATCTGTTTGACTAGAATTTGGAGACTTAGTATTCATCTTATCTTTACTAAATTCTTCTGAAAGAAATATTTTACGACCACCATTATTCAGTTTCAGAGCTGGACCGATCAAAGGAGGTGTATCAAAATTCAAATCTTGGGAGTTTTGACAGTTTTGTGAATTTTGTGAGTTTCTCTCTTTACACATTTTGGATAGTTTATTCATCTTGAAGAAAGATTTGACGTTTTCTTCAAGCTTTGAGGTTTTTTTCGCACACCTTGACAATACATTTACTGTGTTTTCTTGAGAATTGGTCTGATTTTGATCCATTTTTTCTTCTACTGTCGAGATTTCACTACCAACATTAGACTGACTATCTAATTCCTGAATCATCATAATGGATACTTGTGTGTCAAATGCTTCCTCATCTAAACTAGTCTGATTTGAGCTAACACCCTTTGATGAAGGAATCTGTTTTGAAGGCAGTAATTTACATGAAGTAGTCTTTCGTAATTCCCGATCCTCCAGAGCACAAGAAGTGTTCTCTGACATCTTTTTTATTATTTTGGGAGCTTTAAACGGATTGAAACCCTTGTGGCGAATAGGTGCTTGTTTCGATTTGGAATTGGGGGTTTTGTTAGCTGATGATGAATTATTTATGTTTAGATTTGAAGTTTCTGAAAATGACATCTTTAATTCAGTACTTGGTGCTTCAAAAGTGGTTGATAACTCTTTAGTAAAATCATCAATTATACTAATAGATGGCTTCACACGAGATGGATCGAATCTTATCATATGCCCACTTGCTGTGGCAAAACCACTTTTAAAACTAGGTTCACTTAAAACTGTGTTATTGTTAAGACTTATTGTACTTTCTTTGCCTTCACTTCTGCTTGAAAGAGTTTTTTGTTTCAAGTTAATGAGATCAGAAAGAACAGATTCCATATCTTCAGCATAACTTTCTCCTGATAATTCATCCAAATGTACTGATTTCGAAACTGCAGAGGTATAACCATCATGGGATGGAACACTTTTACAAGTACTATTTAATGGAAAACCAATGTCTTTTGAGGAGATTTCATTACCAATATATGATGTCTTTTTTTGAGATTTATTTTCATTTAGTTTAGAACAGTTTTGATTCTGAATGCTTCCTTTCTTGCAACTAATTAAATCATCCAGTTGATTTTCTAAGTCATCAATAGCATTTTGTGGAGGAATACTTACTCGCTTGAAAGAAACCGGTCCATCAATATGTACGAAAGATGAATCATTTTTATTTTCACCAAAAGTCTGTATTGATTCTAAATTATCTTTTTCTAATAATGTCTGAGCTTTTTCAACAGAGATCTTATTTACCACAAGTGACTTTCCACTTGCTGTAGAAAAATCTCCCAAATTTTCGAGAATAATCTTTGAATTTTGTAATTCCTTGACACTGGATTTTCTTGGAATCTGAGATATTTCCATTTCATCCAGAAATTCATATTCTAAGTCATTACATAAATTATCAATAGCTGTTTTAGTCTTCTGTGATAAAAAGAAGTTGTTTCTAGTTTCAGGGCTTGTGTTTGTTTTGATTTCTTTAGATATGTCTACCACTAATGCTGTTGAAGCTCTGTCTGAAGTACTGGCTCTGTTTTTAGAATCAGCAACCTATAAGAATATATGTATATAAATTAAATACATACAAATAACATACATGCAGTTATTATATGGCTATACATACTCTAATATCTTGGTTGTTTATTTCTTGGATATCATCATAAAGGTTCATTTTTAATACCAAAAAATACAAAGCTCTTAATTATTATTTGGCAATGACAGAATACGAAAACAACCTAAAAATGAATGAGATTGGAGTTGAAACATTGGTGGATACGATTTATAATGATTGATATGCTACCCAACTGTGGCAGAATGTGATTTTGGGTCAACCCATTGTAATTCTTTTGATTCAGGCCATCAGGACGTTCGAACTGAGCATCCCTACATCATTGACTTAGGTCAAAATCAGATTTTTGATTGAATTGATTTAATTAGTGATCCGACAAGCTCAGATCAAATTTTTGTTTCAAATATTTACTTTAGAAAGTTAAATCTATAACAATTTTTATACTATACCTCATTGCCAGCAGCTTTAATGTCTGAAAATTTCACAATATCTGGAGAAAAAAAAAAGAAGGAAAACAAAATTAGTATTAGATAATAATACCAGCAGTATCTGATAAATCAAAATTTATCAAAATCTGATAAAAATTGTGACTTCTATAAGAGAGTCCACCACAACCTTGGTCTTTTACACTATTTGCGTACAAGGAGCGGCCATTTGTTCCGGCAGTTTGGGTCAGATTTTTACGAAATATGAAGTCTACCTTCATTGATGTGTAACAGTGATATATTAACGTTTTTTAAAACTAAATACAAATTGTGACTTATAGCGGGTCCACGAGCTAATAATGCGGTTTTTCAAACAAACGGCGGTCATAATCCATGATACCGCTATGACCTCTTCACAACCACAGACGCACAATGTATTGTTAAAGTAGCCAAGTCTCTAACTCAATATCATCCTCTTCGACATTGAAAACACAAATTATTTGTCAATTTAAATCAACATTGATGATGTGATCTTATTGGGAAAATATGGGCTTCTGATATCCAATATTTAATAAACATTTTACCATTGGTACACGAATCGTGTACCATAATGCATTTCAGTGCCATTTCTAACAAGGGACTTGAAGAACAAGGCTAGGCATATTCCACAAGTTATGTCAAACGGTGACGCCATATTCTTATCTGGAGAGCATGCGCAAGAAATACTATCGGTATAGACCGGAATAACTAGATGCTAGAGATTGCCATTCGATTAGTCTCTATCATCCAGAAAAATATTCTATGAAGTAGGAGGTTCTGGATAACAGACTACAGATTGAAACTTCTGGCGTATTTTGCCGAACATAACTGTTTAGAAATTACAGTAAAAACAGAAACGATTGAATGTAAATCAGTTTATATACATTCATATTACATTATTATATGCGTTGCGGCCCATTTGTGTAAATTTCTAGGTCCAAATATTAGCGATTTAGCTCCTTTAACAGGATACAGCCTTAGTGGTAAACATTCAAATTAAAAGACTATACAACTTACCAGTGCTGCTTACTGTTTCTAATTTCATTTCTAGTGAAGATGGCTTTAAGAGTGATGACTGAATAGTTTCTTTTTTATCTTCTAATTTTCTGTCGTTTTTATCTGTCTTGATTTTCACCTCATCTGTGACACCTTTTGATTTGGTATCAAAACCGTAAACATTTTGTGGTGAGCTTTTAGTTATTTGATTTAAAGAAGGATAAAGAAACCGTCGTGCTTTTGATTTAATTGAGAATTTCGAAATCTTTTCTTTTTGGCCTCCACATTCGTTATTTTTTGAATCACACTCAGAAATACTAGGACCAGAAGTTTTAGAGAACTCTTTCTCATCAACAGTAGATTTTTCAACAGACATATCTTCCTTTTTAACATTTAATTCCTCAACATTAATGCATGAAGCTTCATTTGTGGAATCTTTGGGTGATACACACATAGCGTGAAGACTAGAAGGTGAAATTTGTGAAAAGAGTTCATCGGGGTGCCCACCGGTAGTTGGGGGAGAGGTTTTACTTTTTTGGTCAATGGGATGTTTTTCAAGAGTTGACCACTCTTCCACTGAACTCTTGGGTCCATTTTTGGCATTAATGTGCATATTTTCAACATCAGATACCTCAATTTCACCGATTAAATCACTTAACTGTTCCTGAATGATCAATTTTGATGCACAATCACTTCTTAAGGACGGCATAGTCGACTCATCAAATCTTACTCGTTTACGATTGCCTTCAGTATTGGAATTTCTACGCTTTAGAATCGAAGGTGTTGATGATTGAGAACATGGATTTGAATTCAGATCATCTGACACTTTTCTCTTCCTGGAATTCCTTGATGATGTTTTAGACGTTTCAAAAAATTCTGATAACACAGATAAGACAGCATTTTTTGACAGGTCTTGTTTTGTTGTTTCTACAATAGGTGTTGAAGAGTCAGCTACTGGGGAGATGTCATCCTCGAGAGTTTCTCTCTTGATGTCTTGACTGATTATCAATGAATCATTTTTGGGTGAATCAAACTTTGTAATTTTATCGCTGTGTTTTTGCTTATCATCAACATAATGTACAGAGGATTCAACTACAACTTTTGTTTTAGTCTCAACAGAATGTGATGAAACTGGAGAATGTGGAGATTTATCAAGACCAGTATTAAATTCATCACAACTTAATTCTAAGAGAGCTGGATGAAGTAGTTTATCAGATTTCGTCTTTCCAAATGCTTTAGAGTTTTGACTTTGTTTTTCTTGAGAAAATTCTCTAATTGTTTCTTGAGAAAATTCTCTAATTGTTTCTTGAGATGCTCTCTTGACATCATGATTACTATTAATGGAAACGCATGGTTGAGATGACCTCAATAATGTTCTGTCTTCTTCAACAGTGGAATTTAAATGAAATCCAAGTTCATCATTATCTATATGAGTAGGTCCTGGGGAAAACAATACACGGGGAAAACCCTGAAATGTACAAAGAATTGTTATAATCCATCAACAAAAAATGTGTTAATTTCATAGTTCTATTTTGTGTAAGAAATTAGATAAGTGATCACTAGCAGATCCATGAAAACAAATTCCACATAAAACTACAATAAAATTAAATGTATTTTTTGATCATAATTAAAATAATAGAACAAACTGAAATGGAATCTGACCTTGTTTTTTATGACACTATCAACACTATTACATAGCGTAGACTCTGAAATGAAATAAACAGGCTACTTGTATGCTATTTAGTAACGTTCTGAACTAAAATTCAAATCTATAGCACTGTAATTAATTTAAAACATATGGCTGTATAATTGTACTTTGGATTAGATTCAGAATCATTATGTATTTAGTCAGCAATGAGTATATAAATTTTGAATATCACCAGTTCATTAATTTTCAATTGATAATTGATAAATGCATTTCATATGGTATTGGTTGTAATCATTACTAACCTTGAGATGACTGATCTATATTAGCTTTAGGTGTAGCCATAGAACTTGACCAGGTCATATTTAAATCTTGATTTACCATTTGTCTAACATGGTATGGTATAATTTTATCTTTCATACATGAAGGTGGTTCATTTAAACTGAAGATTGAAAAAGAAAAACGTTTTACCAGATATTCAACATTATCATTTCTCATTTTGTAATCTAAGGTGGGTGAAAGAAAACACTAGGTAAATCTTTCTATGAAGGATGGTATTAAGCACAAACTGTTCAATAAATTAAACAAGCCAACAGTGAGGCTGATGTCCCCCACCAAAATACCAAAATAAATAGATGACACATTAATTTATCGCACATTTATTTTTTTTAAAGTATCAAGCAATCAAACTGATTATCAACTATACACTTAAGTTTCATCACTCTCTATCAAAGTTATCTTGTCCTAAAGCATCAACCAACAAGGCATTGACCTAATCAACACATACACCAAGTTTGAACATTCTAGCTCAATTAGGAAGAGAGTTATCGTGCCCCAAAGTATCAACCAATCAAATTGCTTATCTCTGCTTACCCTAAGCGGAAAATGCTCATCTAATCAAATTGCTTATCTCTGCTTACCCTAAGCGGAAAATGCTCATCTTCGAACTCCATCAAGGCATTGACCTAATCAACACATACACCAAGTTTGAACATTCTAGCTCAATTAGGAAGAGAGTTATCGTGCCCCAAAGTATCAACCAATCAAATTGCTTATCTCTGCTTACCCTAAGCGGAAAATGCTCATCTTCGAACTCCATCAAGGCATTGACCTAATAAACACATACACCAAGTTTGAACATTCTAGCTCAATTAAAAGTTATCGTGTCCCAAAGCATCAACCAATCAAATTGCTTATCTCTGCTTACCCTAAGCGGAAAATGCTCATCTTCGAACTCCATCAAGGCATTGACCTAATCAACACATACACCAAGTTTGAACATTCTAGCCCAATTAGGAAGAGAGTTATCGTGTCTCAAAGCATCAACCAATCAAATTGCTTATCTCTGCTTACCCTAAGCGGAAAATGCTCATCTTCGAACTCCATCAAGGCATTGACCTAATAAACACATACACCAAGTTTGAACATTCTAGCTCAATTAGGAAGAGAGTTACTGTGTCCCAAAAAGTGTGACGGACAGACAGACGGACAGACAGACAGACGGACAGACAGACGGACGAACCCATTTTAATAGTCCCCTGCTTTCTTCGAAAGGCGGGGGACAATAAAATTTACATGTAGAGCACAACTACATTCAACGTCATCTTCCGTATCCTTTGCATAACCGGTAAATCCTTTGCCAATCAAAAGTAGATTTCAGGGGAGGAACAGAATAAAAAATAATTATTATATATACATATACTGTACATAGCAATTTTGTATTGAGTATGTGTTTCCATTTCAAATATTTGATTGAAGCCAGTATTCTATGATTGTCTATGAATGATTGGCCTATTCCCTGTACAAATATCCCACTGATTTACTTCAATCATAACCACAACATTACACAGCATGTGAATGTATGAAAAACATTTAAAGCCCAGCAGCTTTAGTGATGAGTCAGTTCAATATTCGTGTAAGATCAGATTGTATTTAAGTCAATGTACTGAAAACAATGTCCTTTCTGAGGAATAAATTTCAATTCTACCTGTTATCTTTTAGGTTTTCTAAATAAGTTATAGGAGAACTCAATCCAGATTCTTCAGAATTAACCTTGGCCCATGCACTCATTGGTGTCAACTGGCAATGTCCAGGAGTAGAAGCTGTAAAAACAGATTAATTGAATAATTGTAGTAAATAGGCCTCAAGTCAATATATAACGGTAATATCAATCACTCAGATGGTGAGTTCTAATCTCGATGACAGAAAGAAGAAACATAATAAGTTTGATGCAAAAAAACACCCCAAAATAAATCAATGGAATTATGGATAATATATTATACTGCTACCAAAAACTTGATCATCCAGTCCAATAAAAATTGAATTGGACCTGTCTGCAAGATATCTGTTTATTAATAGCCACAGGCCCATTTTCATTAGCCCCAGTTAGTGTAGAACAGTAGGATGTCGAACCCTATTTCATTTCAAATCAATCGCCACAGCAAGAAGCAGATATTTGAGACTTTGTGTTCATCTGTTTATATTTTGGGGGATACAATCTTCTAAACCATTTATTCTACATGAACAAAAGTACATTAAAACATCAGTAATTATATTACCATATATAGATCTGTCATCTCTAGTTGATGGTGTAGATGATGTTACATCAGTTTCTATAGTAACTTTACCATACAGTTTATTTGATACATTATCTTTCTTATCTATTTTTTCTTTACTAATGTCATCAAACCAACTTTCACTTGATGGCCCCAAAACTAAAAAAGCAAGAGCATCACTAATGCTGCAATATATGTCCACATTTCTGCTTTGATTGATATGGTACTTTTATAAATGAAGAGAATGAAATATTAAATGGCTGTAAGGCAAAGAAGGCTAGGCGTTAGGTTTGTTTTGCCAAATTCACAGACAAAATATTAACAAAAAAGTGGGTGTGACACCGACCCAGGACGTTGGATATAGAAGAATATAAATAGTTGCTGTCTTTACAGTATAAGGAATAAATATAAGGAATAAATATACCAAGTTTCAAGATGATCCATTCAGAATTCCAGCCTGTAGGCAAAAAACCCACAAAAATTGGGCGTGGCTCTGCCCCTGGGGGTTGGACATGAGCCAATATAATTTATATTATAAATAGGTACAATCTTATGATGGAACATTCCGAATTGGATCCAAATCTGTTAATAATTGCAACCTGTATATCATTTACAGACAAAAGGGTGTGTGTGTGTGTGTTGGGGGGGGGGGGGGAATCATGCACCAAAATCAATAGTTGCTGTCCTTCGGGTATAAGGAATAAGTATACCAAGTTCCAAGATAATCCATTCAGAATTGTGGCCTTCAGGCACTAACCACAAAAATTGTGAGTGGCTCTGCCCCTGGGGGTTGGGACATGCACTAATATCAATCAATTAAGCTATAAGGAAAACATATGCCAAGTTCCAAGCTGATCCATTCAGAATTGCGACCTGTATAGGATAAACATAAAAGACAGGTTGCCAGGCAACGAAACATACGCCCACAGCAGCTATATTGTAGGGGCAGTCAACAAGAGTTGTCGCATATTTTTACTTTTTTCGGTAATGAAACATTTATAATACATTAAAATCTGATTAAGAGTAACAACTCATTAAGTAATTATCAGAAAACCATTAGAATTTGTTTGGTTTTTATAAAGTTCTGCCCCATGCTAACGTTTAGTATACGAAACTTTTAACATCATGGATTTAGCTGTTCAAGTCATAAAGATTCATTGAAAATCAATATACTTGTTCGTCTCAAGACCTTAAACTCTATGTATCAATCTGAAGTCAATCGGTTGATAACTTTAGCCTCTAGAGCGTCACAAGATTTTTCAAAGTGATCAAGGGCCATAACTCTGGCAGTAATTATTCGAAATCGTTGAAAATCAATATGTTTCTTCGTCTCATGGCCTCAAATACTGTGTATAAATTTAAAAGTCAATCGGATATTAACTTTAGCCTCTAGAATGTCCACAAGATTTTTTTAAAGTGATCAAGGGCCATAACTCTGACAGTAATTATCGGAAATCCCTGAAAATCGATACGCTTCTTCGTCTCATGACCTTAAACACTGTGTATAAATTTAAAGTCAATGGGATATTAACTGTAGCCTCTCGAGCATCCAAAAGCATTTCAATGTGGGTGTATAAAAATTGCGCATTGCTCTGCCCCTGGGGGAGGGGACAAACACCAAAAAACAATAGGGATCATCCTTAGGGTATAACTTATAAGGAATAGGCCTGCACCAAAAAAATCCTGATGAACTTTCTCGGCAAACACCAGGATCAAACCCACAAATGAAGGTTAATAGTATAGAGGAGAATAGGGTTATAGATGGTATGCTTGGAAGGAGATTTTATCTAATAACTAGACACACTTGTCTTTGCTTGTCAACCTCATAGTTGCTACCCCTGACAAGTGGGAACCGGACATAAAAAAAATCAAAAATTTATATTTCCATTGATCTGTACCCAGGACATTCTAGTTGTGTTTTAAATAGTTTACTAATAGAATATCAAAGATTAAAAAGTCATCATATTTAACAGTACACGATATTGTACTCTTTCTTATTTTTACCTTTCTTTATATGCGAAATGTTGATGTTTTTCTTTCTTGTAGTGGGATAAACTTTTATTTTGCGAAGAGGTTCTCTACAGCTTTTACATTGGTCAAGATCCATCTTTCCTAGCATGTTGTCATACCTGGGCAACATTAAATAGTAGGTTTATAGCTTAAGTAAACAAATATGTGTTACATTATTAATTGATAATTAGGCATGCATACTGCTAGTGCTGGGTGATATTTGTGACCCGTGCTGGCTAAATGAGTCCGAATGCGCAAAATCTAATATTGAGCTACAGATAAAACAAGTGAAAATATTAATTTTGGTCGAAATTGAGATTTTCACAAAAATATACTCTATATCAAACTTAAAGATCAAAATAGCAATAAAACATTATAAAACACCTTTATTTTGGACGTTTTGTGAGAGTACCGTATTCATAAATCTTTCTTTCTTCTTAAAATTCTCAGCGAATTAGTTATTTTTTTTCACTTGCTGTGGGACGATCACATAATCCCCTTGTGAAGCGTTACATCTCTAGTTTATAAATATAATCAAAGTATTACCAATGATATCATTTTCTTCCAGTACAAACAAGTTTAAAAACGTAAATAACCTAAGCCTGTGTCAAGTCAGCGCAGCGTAACATGTTCGCTGATTGGACCAGACATCCCACGTCGCATATCATAAATTAATCAACTGGGTTAAACCAGAAACTTGTCATTGAAAAATACTTATCAATTGTCATGAATTAATGAGTCGTTCATTGATAATTGTCAATGATATGAAACATTTCCCAAGTCATTATTTACCCCACACAATTAATTCAAGCGGTTATTATTTGATATTTCGTTTCGTCTTTTAAAAAAACAATCATAAATTTATATTGATAGTTGAATTTTTTCGTTGACTGTGGCTTCATACAGCATATAAAATGTACAAGCATGCCTAACTGGATATTACTGTTTCAAATTTTAAAGAAAATTCTCCCTCAAATAGCAAATAAATTGCCTGGTTGCTATGTGATTTTGTTTTCGAAGATACCAACATCTTTAACTTGCTTTTTCTCAAAACTTACTTTCCTGACTTGGGCAGCTTTAAACAGACACAGCTCAGCTAATTTTGCCCGAATCAAACAAACCATACAACATTTTGAAGGTATTGAATTGCAGAATGTCAAAACAACAATAACGCAATTTTCAAAATTTCCTCATTGCGACTCATTATGCCACCACGGGTCACATTTATGTTTTTCTGTCATAAAAATAATATTTGTAACTTATATCGATATGAAAACATTGATTAGGTACCAGGGTGTAATTGTCTGTCATAGAACTAAAATTACAGAGAGAGAGAAATGGGGTTTAATTCTCACTCGACACAAACCCAGTCATTTCGGGACTAGCACATGGTTCAATTTTATTTCAATATTTCGCTTGCACGTGGGGGTCTTTAACAGTAGGAAAAAAAACGGAGGACCCAAAGAAAACCCATGAGGTTGCCACGTACAAGTGGGGAATCGAAACCATGTCACTTGACTCAATGACAGAACTTGTGATTTCACAAGCATGTTTTAAACCACTGGCACTAGACCACCCAACCCCCCTGTGGTAAAAATTTATAGTTTTTGCTCAGTTAATGTCAGCGTGACGCACTATTGTAATGGCCAGATAGAAATTATAGTACCCTTCCTTATCTCAACATTGAATGGTAATATTAATATTATTATTATAATAAAAAAATATTAGACTATTTATTTTACTATTAGCCTAGCCTACATGTAGATCAGTAAATGAACTATTTTTTAGTCTATGCTAGCCTACAAGGGCATGGATTCGTCATAACTTTTGGGGAGGATGGACCAAAAAAAATAACCTGGAACATTTCATTACTAAACCAAATAATAATTACGGACAGTTTACTGTACCAGTGTTATTTTGATGAAATTTGTAACTAGGGATGATATGATGACAATATGGAAACTTGACTTAACTACATCAAAGCTGCACAAACATTATTTTGTTCATGAAGTTAAGACGTTCATTCTACGATCAGGACTGCAACTATGAAATATCTTGGCTAGCTTTGGATCCTGAACATGAAGGAGGTCATTATGCACCACACACACCATCTTGTTGCACATGGAGTTGCACATGTAAGTTTTGATACGGGCAGAGTGGTGAAGGCAGTGAAGGGTTGCACAGCTGAGCAGGAACTAACAGGGTTCAGCAGTGTGAGACGGACATGAGCTTTAACAGAAGGGAACTACATCTGCCTCACCTCAGGTGACATACTGAGGAACGTTTCGTGCACAAGTGAAATAGATCTGGCCGCAAATTGGCACTTGAAGAATGGCAATTCTTGCTCCAAGTCCTGATTCAGTTCCGGTAGATATCGTGAAGATCAGTATAGTGATAAGACCCACTTCAGTGGTTAGTTTGCCTTCAGAACGGGCATTCATGTGAATATAAACCTGAAAATCTGTCCTTGGGGGGGGGGGGGGGATCTATAATTCGCCCCCCCCCTTCGGATTCTAAGAGGGGGGGGGGGGGTCCCGCCTAAATCCACGATCATGCTAGCCTATAGGCCTAGATAGTTGAGCTTATATTAGGCTATATATTAGATAACAAACCTCATCTCTCAACCCTCATCTCAACATTTTTAGTTACGTTCTCGTAGCTAATATAGGTATATTTACTTTCCACATAAACCGGGATAACCAATGCGTGTGGATTTTATGTAGTATTGTCACCATTATGTAAATCTAATAAACATTATTATAATGTCATGGTGAATATATTTTATTTTTATCGAAGTTATTTTGGTTACCGAATACTTCAACCTGAAATAACATTCTTGAATTCGGCGCCACCGGTCTTGTCAATATTCTAGCTTAAAAATTACACGAAACGAAATAGACGATGGTTTCATTCACTTACTTGAAAGGGCCCCGAACTGTAATATAATTTCGCAGTGCAGTATTAAAAATTGCTTAAATGTTCAGAAATAGTAAATCTATTCCAAGATTATTGCAGTTCAGAGCTAGACCATACAGGCAGTCAGGGGAAAAGGATTAATAATACTTATAGTAGCTAAGTCTCTAACTCAATATCATCCAAAATCTTCAACATTGAAAACACGATTTATTTGTCAAATTAAATCAACATTGATGTTGTGATCTTACCGGAAAAAGATGGACTTTTGATATCCAATATGTAAGACAAAATAAACATTTTACCATTGGTACACGAATCGTGTACCATAATGCGCTTCAGCCCCAGTTGTAACAAGAGACTCGAGGGACGAGGCTAGACACATTGCACCAAATCAAACGGCGTATGTAGACTGGAATAACCAGACGCTAGAAATTTGCACTCGATTGGGACTGATGGCTTATTTCGCCGAACATAACTGATTTGAAATTGGAGTAAAAACGGAAACCATTGAATGTAAATCAGTTCATATACATTCATATTACAGTATTATATGCGTTGCGACCCACCTTTGTCAATTTATAGGTCCCAAATGTTAGCAATTTAGCTCCTTTAATATTAAACATGATTTTGTATTCAAGACTGTTATAAATCCGTTTTAATTCACAAATAGCCTAATCATGTCAAAATTTCAAAAAAACAGTCAGAACTGGGTAATTCTCGGAATTACTGATTGCTATTGAAATAATAATTGGATGTATTTTAGGTATATTATATTATCTGCTGGTTTTTGGTAATGTTGGCACTGCTGGGTATATCATTCCATGGCTCTTATAATAATATTATAAGGTCCATGATCATTGCCCTGGTGGACACCCATACAGCTTTCAGAGGAAGGAATGTGCACAGACACGCATTTACAGATGGAATTAATATCAGGTCTCATAAAAAATATATATGTAGATAGCTTTTGACCATGGAATTTATATTGTAGATGGATATAATGAAGATTTATCTCAAGTATTGTTAACCAGCGGTTGGTTGCCAGGCAAGATACACCCACATTTTGCAAGAGATGGATAGAGAACAAGCTAAAAACAAAAGCGATTTTTTTGTACAATCAGGGGCCATAATCCAGACAGTTATGGTCTGAAATGTGCATATATCGAAAGGGACCGAGATCTTTGGGATATAAAGATTTTTTTGTACAATCAGGGGCCATAATCCATGAAGTTATATTTCAAGTTTCGAAAAATCAGATAAAAATTGTGACCTGTGGAGTGTATACAAATTGTGAACGTCCACAGGGGCGACGGCATAATACATTCACATGAAATGTGGGCGTTTAAAAAAATCAGTCAAGAAATGCAGGAGACAAAAAAATTACCCTCTAAATAATTTTCAGCTGAGATAATTATCTCAATGACTGGAAACTGTACAACAATTTTTATAGATGTGATATATCAAGATGCCTACATACATGCGTAAAATTATTGAATTGTATGCATTAAAAATAAATATGACACTCAAGGGGCCATAATCAGCCATTGGTTAAAAGAGTATGTGTGCATTGAAGATTTCACTGAGCACTTTGGGCTGATGGGTTAAATAAACTTTAAATTGAATTAATCAGTTGTACATATCTACAAATGGCTGTGATGTGTTGATTTTCTGTTGAGAATACATGGTTGGCTGTGAAATTTTATATATGCAACTAATGTTTGTTGGGCCTGAAAAACATGAGCAACAATCCATCATCGCTGGCTTTCACGGTGTATCTATATCATAGAAAAAGTAGTATATCTTTAAATAAATGTGAGACAACACTTTATATTAAGGTGAAGACAGTTTTTATTACTTCTCTTTAGAATTAACATCTTAAATGACTAGAATTAACATTAATTCAGAAGTAGATTATAATTCCTGACTGTCTATTCTATTGTACATGCTGATATAAATTAAAAGAATAAGCCTGTAAATCTGATCAGCAGAATTTGAGATTCTTTTTTTTTTTACAATAAATAATTCTAGCAATAGTAAAAAATATCACAAAGTATCGTAACTAATATAATAATAAGATGTAGACTAAGCTTGGAACACAAGTTCCAGTTTGAAGCTACGGAATGGAAAAAATAAGTCACAACTAGAATTCCTAAATTAATTTAATTATACAAGAATCATCTAATATCAATATTATTTTTTAATATTCTTTAAAAATAAAAAAAAAATGAATAATTAAAAAAAAAGAAGTTATAAATGTGTAAATAAGGTTAGAATGTGTAAGCTAAATATACACAATTAAACATAAATTACTTAAAAGTAAAATAGGATATAGAATATAGTCAGTTAGATACATAGGCCCAGCATTCACTAATTGAAGAGTAGACTTAGTATAACATGGGGGATAGTATAATATATTACCCCTAAACTTGTTGCAGTGACACCCATTTTGTGATATGATGCAGGTGTAGTCAGAAGCACACCAAAGGGCAATTTTAGTAAAGATTTAGTGTAGTAATGCCACATTCTGATAATCAATAATTTCATTTAGAATGCTTTACAACCTACTCTTAAATCCAGAAGGTCAAAGTCATTTGAAATAGACCAGCATAAATACTGCTACAATAATCCATGGCTAAAAAATGAAATATACATTATAAGCAACTTTATATAATATGAAACAAAAAGGCCAATGAAGTGTCTTTACTGTACTTTCTGAGCAAAAATAGGAAAAAGGTCAATCCAATTAATATCAATTTTTCAAATAATTATAGTAAAGTGATGAGTTGATACAGACTGTACATGGACCATGATCTTAGCAATTATTATTACTGAATATGAAAATGTTCTTTTTATTCGATGCACCTCAAGATAAAGTTGATTATGACAAAAAATATCTGAATATACTGGAATAATTCAGTTGACATAGTGGAGTCATTATATTAATATTTTATTATAAAATTAAACATAAATTTATTGATGATGTAAATGATAATTTATTTAAAAGTGAGACTTTTTGAGACAAAGATGTAAAACAAATACTATGGAAAATAAAAGAGAGATCATTTATAGTAAGTTAAAATTTATTAAGATAAGAAAAATATCAGATCTAAATGTGTGGAACTTTTGGAAGTAATACAAATTAGTATAGTGCTTTTGAATTAATAAACTAATTTGGGAGTAATTAAAGTGTACTTTATATTGCTTTGGCACAATAATTCTTTATATTAGCACTTTTTCCACCAATAAACTTTCCATTTAAGTTCAGATATATATTTACAAAGCTAACATTGTACAATACAGAATATCAAATAGGGTTATTCAAAAACAAAACATTTCAACTTTTTAATATTAAAAGTTATACATGTATGTACAGTTCTGAATTGTGTTACTTTGTTTTGTCAGAAACAAACATATTTCAAACTAAGCATTATTTATTTTCAAACATGCTGTTACTGGTAGTGGTACACATATTTTATAAAGTACTTCAAATTGGTTTTAAAAATACATGCAATTAAAATTAAATAAAGCAACTTTCCAAATATTATGTCATCTCATCCATTAGAAATACAAATTCCAAACTGTGTCAATCATTGCATTACACATTGATCAACCAAGTATTTATAATTCCTGTTAAAAACACCAGCATACAAAAAGAAATACAATTTAACAATACTGTAAAGCTGAGAATGACTTATTATGTTTATCATTGCAAAAAAATGCAAATGATAATTGAATTTTAATACCTAAATACTGGTAGTTGCTGTTGTATGTTTAATTTTACATTATTTTACGTCAATATACGAGGTTATGCAAGTACATAATACATTGTTTATAAATACTGTAAACTTATATACTCATAAATTAACAAGGTATATATCTAGTTATATCTCACAAAAAATCAGCTATATTATAGTGGGTTATTATTTATATTCAATACAATCTTTGACAATAAAACTGACAAATTCTTAGGTAACTAAAATGATTCCTCTTCAACTTTGCTATAAATATATCCAAATTTAGGATATGAACTATGACTTTGTCTTTCCACTGCCTTTTATTACTGGAATATTGTCCAAAGCTATATATACAAATACACTGATATCACAAAAGCAAAGTCCACATAAAATCACTAACTACATCATATGCCTGACAGTAACTTTAATAAAACACATCGGGCCAGATGCTTAACCCATACATTAGGTTAAGTTTTAGATTTTTATTTTATAAATTGTGTTATTTTCAAATATTAAAATATTTTTTCAATCTGATCCTTAACTGGACAATATTTTAAGTAAAGGCTGAGTTAAGCATATGGCCCATACATAATAATAACAATCCTGTTATGTTCACATATTATTAAAGGTATTTTATAATATCTCTCTTTGCTATACAATCAGTGGTACGAAGCTAAAAGAGGTGAATACGTTATACAACATCCATTATACAGACATACACACAGGCTAAAATAATTTAAATTTCACTAACACAACACTACGAACAACTCTTGGTACAACATGACATACAATAAATATAACTATATTTGACTTGAGGATGAAAATAAATGAAAGGAATTTGGTACATTGTCATCAAAACAGTATCAAATGTTTTCACGATTCCATAATTATGTAGAGAATGATAAAATAATACATAAAGATGAGAATAAAGAACAGATCTGAGGTAATAATTTTAGATGAAATAATTTCAACTTCAGATATTTTATATAGTAATACACATATCTATAGACAATACTTCAATTATCAGACTTAATAAGTTAACAAATAACAACACTCATCAAGATATCCTTTATACAGAACTTTCATTTTATTCAAAGTCGTTATCTAATGCACGGTTTACTATGGAAGAGATGTTTCCGACCAAGAAACTCATCAATTTTCCTCTGTTAATTGTCAATCAAACCGAAACTCGAAAGCAAAATTTAATATCATAATATTTATTGATCTGTTACAGTAATAGGATTTAGATAGTTAGTGCTGGTTCCAGAATACCAATTAAAACATGTAGGGCAGACATTCCAATCAACTAAATCATTCATATAATTTATAGATCAACTTGTGACAAAGCCACAGTTTTTGACATTTACTGTAGAAATGAAAATCTCTAATTTCTGTTAGCACAAACATCTTGCATGCTGCACATATGAAACTTTGTCTAGACTACAGGCAAGGCCCAACAGTTGACTGTTCTGTCCGCACTACATGTAATAAACGCAAGTTGTGATGGATGCCAGCGACACTGGATGACTTTATCCTTGTGTTCACCAATAACAACACTTGGTAACGGTCGTAATAAATCTCCTACAAAACAAAAATATTATAGAAATAGAATTCATTTATACCAAATATTGAGTCAAATGTAGAATTAGTTAAATTACGAAAGTAAATGAAATCTAAGGCAGAAATTATATATTTGATTTTATATTTTAAATGTATCAGTGCATTGATGAAGGTATTACTCATTTATAAGAAGCCTGTATTCTGATGAAATTTACCAACCAAATTGTTATTGTTAAGAGCACCTGATAGACATTTGCTTACCATGTAAATCTGTAAGAACGACCCTTTGATCATAAGAACTTGATAATAAGTAGTAAGCATTCATAGAGAATCGTGCAGATCGACATTCTCCACTATGTGGTTTAAAATTCTGTATAACCCTTCCTCCTCTAATATCATACAACATGACCACACCATCTTCATGTCCCGATGCCAATAATCGTCCTGATGGGTCTACACAAACAGATGCAAAAGCACTCCCTACAAGAAAAAAAAAATTAAGATTTAAATTATAAAGACTGAACAAAAAATTCATGAAAGAAAACTACAGCTAGCAATATTGGATAATCGCAGACTTGTGGTCTAAGGGGAGGTAATATGACATCAACGACATAATACATGAGTTACCTCCCCTTATAATACATTTGATCATCTTTTCATTTTTAACCAGTTCAAGTTTTCTTATTTGGTTAGAATGAACATTTTCTATAAAATACATCATTGTAGAGAGAGAATCAACAAGATATAAAATGGACATTTTCTGTAACCAACAATTATTAATTTGTATTAGATTGAAAATAGTCAATTTTTCTGTGATATAAAACTGTAACTTACCACAGGGGCTAGGAACTACTGTAATAGCAGTAGACGCTCTTAAATCCCAAAATCTAGCTGTTTTATCTTGTGATCCACTAACAAACATACAACCGCCCCATGTATGTAAAGAATAGATATGTCCTGTAATAAAATATGTACAAATATTAAAGATTCATCAACCTGAAAAGCTATGTCTGCTGTTCCAGGGGAAAAACATCATACAGAAAAAGAAAAGAGATTTGAGACAAAGACTGAGGAGAGCTAAAAACATATGAAAAGATCAGTATTTAAATTTATTTATCATACTAAGCATGGCTCGAAATGTTCGCCTGTCTACTTGTCGCCGACAGGCGATTTTTTCGTCTGACAGGTAGCAAATAGAACTACCTGTCGCTTGCGACAGGTGGACTAAATTTTACTTGATGTACAGTAAATTGACCACAATACTCATGTCCACGTCACATACATTTAATTATTTGTTTCTAAATGCAAGAATTAAGCACGGAAATACCGCGAAAAGCCGCCATTTGCACTGTTTACATTTCGCTCTGTCGTAGGCTACAGTTACTCACACAGTTTGGAAGTAGACAATTTTATATCAATGAATTTCACACCATCTACGCTTTTTTTTATCTGTTTGACACTAGTTTATAGCATTATGGAGTATTATAATATCTAAATAAATTAAATCGCACCCCCAAGTCACCTGAAATAATTCTACCGTAACAACACCACAGTAAATATAGTAGTGGTTGGAATGGAAATGCACACGGCTCGTTGCTTGGTGTATTTAATCATTTAAAAAGTTTTAAACAATTTCAATAAATAAAGGCGATGAATAATTTATAAGACAATTTGACAAAATCAAAAAATCAGGTCGGAAAAATATTTGATATATAAATATAATTTGTAGCAAAAATATAGTCCGGATATGTGAGAAGGGAATTCCAGGTGGCGTTACCTGTCCTTCGCACGCGGTACAGGTGTGATTTGTGTTTTGATATTCAATTTATTATGGATATTTTAAAATCTGAATTCTACAACTCAACTGTGAAGTATTCGATTTAGTACGGAAGTGTGGTACCATGATACTTTGCGGAATTCATGTGGATACAGATGATAGAATTGTATGAATCTTCGAGTCGCTGAGCCAAAGCAGATTCGCCGACTTTCAAGAACTTTTAGGCAATCCGATGTCGAAGAAATAAAAAGTTTTCATATTACGATATTTATATAGAGCAATGTACGTCAAACTCAAAGACCTAACCACGTGTGTGTGTACCTACATGTATGGATATGTGTGATGTGATTGGTCTTTGAGTTTGATAATTGAGAGTGACAGGTTATTTACTGAAGCGACAGGTATGAAGAAAAGCTACCTGTCGCTTGCGACAGGTAGCTTTTTTTAAACATTTCGAGGCCTGCTAAGTCTAATATTAAAGACGCCTTCCCAGTACAAACTGTTTGATTTGATGATATATTTGGACTAAAAACATATCAGACTAATTTATCTATCAAAAGTTTGCTTCAATTCCTTTCAAAACATTATAATTTGAAGACAACTACCCCATTCCCCAGGAATATTTTTTAAGACACCTTGTTTGTCACGTGACATGATTGAGGAATAATCCATTTTTAGATTGTATTTGTTGTTAGTCGCTGTCCATTTACGATACATGTACATATCAAAGCCTAAGTAAATTCTTAGACTATCCTCTGCCAACTTCTTTTTGTACGTTTAATTGCAGAGCCTACATGACATTAAAGTCCCTCAACCATTAAGCCATTACATCACTCGAGGAGACAAGATGCCAGTTTGTGACATCCTATCACTTTTATCCTGTGGCTGCCCCATGGTTGTTTTTGAGGGAATCCAGTATTTTTCTAGTAAGAACATGTGTCTCTACATTCCATAATATATACTAAATATGCCTTAGTTTTATTGGAAAAACTACCATATAAATACTTTTGTAGGAATGAATCTTTTGGGATAAACAATATACCTGTATGACCAGCCATTGCTCTAATAGGTGTACCAGTTTCACAATCTGTAACATAGTTTTTACAATCACCAGCTCCACCACTGATTAATATAGATGTTTTATTGGTAGCATCCTGCATAAATACAAGATCTCTTATTGTACCATCATGAAAAGCCAACTCCATATCTTTTCCTGAAATAATTTATGTATTAATATGATAAAATTATCACTAGCATTTTATAAATGTTACATAGCAGAGTATATTGTGTTGACAAGAGGCAGTAATTCCTACTCCTATTTTGAATACCAACTTTCAAGGTTTTTTTAACGTGCACACCAATGTGTACACAGGAACTCAGATTTTCATCCCAACCGAACTAGAGCTGATTAGATATCTGCTAATTGATTGGTAATTGATGATCAGCATAACACTATGTGAAGTTGTAATCAATGATGTTTGTAATTGATCAGTTAACACAATGTGATGCTTGTAATTGATCAACACATCACTATGTGTAGTTTGTAATAATGTTTTTATTGATATACTATTCAAAAAAAGTAGGGGATATTTGATTTTTAAGTGTTATTAAAGTCACCTAATGAAACTGACGAAGAAACAAATGACAAAATGAAATGAAGTTCACATTCATCGATTTATTCCAAATGATCGTTAGACTAAGTAAGGCACAGACTGACCATTATAAGGGTAAAATGATACCTGGGGTCAAACAGCAAAGTTACCACAGCATCACAACCAAGTCAGTAACGGGTAAATCCTCCTCTGTTTGCCAAACAAGCATTGATCTGACGTGGCATACTCCTAATGAGACGTCTAAGGTCATTTTGGTCCAGATTGTCCCATTCCTGTTGCAACGCAGCAGCAAGTTCTTGGACATTGGCAGGACGTTGTTGACGTTGACGTAACCTCTGTCCAAGCATGTCCCAGACATGCTCGATGGGGGAGAGGTCGGGACTCAGTGCTGGCCAAGGTAATGTGGTGATGTTCTGTTGTTGGAGGTAACCGGTAACGATCCTGGCCCTGTGACATCTTGCGTTGTCATCCTGGAAGATGAAACGGCGGCCATGACGTCGTGCGAACGGCACAACATGGACTGCCAAGATGTTGTCCCGGTAGTACTGGCCTGTAACACGCCCTGCAACAACATGTAAAGCCGTTCTTCCAGCAACAGTGATGCCTCCCCACACCATAACAGAACCACCCCCAAATCGATCATGTCTGATGGCGTTAACGTCTTGGAAGCGCTCGTTTCGACGACGCCACACCCTCCTACGTCTGTCCAAAAAATCAACAGTGAACCTTGACTCATCTGAAAACATCACATTGCTCCAGCGTCGATTATCCCAGTGTTGACGATCCCTACACCAACGACGTCTTGCCTGAATGTGATGATCTCTCAAACAAGGGATCACACGAGGACGTCGGGCGCGAAGGTAACCCCTATGCAGTCGATTCCGAATCGTCTGGCCACTCACTCTCACACCAGTGTCTGTTTGAAGACGAGCGCTGATCTGATTTGCTGTGATGACACGATTTCTCAAGGCCAAGGTACGGATAAATCGATCCTGGGTTTGAGTTGTCGCCCTTGGTCGACCTGAGCGTGGTCTGTCCTGTACAGATTGTGTATCACGGTATCTGGACCATAGCCTGCTTATGACAGACTGAGAAACATTCATCGTCCGCGCCACAACCGCCTGTGTTGTGCCGATCTGTAGCATGCCAAGGGCACGTAACCTTTCATTTTGGGTAAGCCGACGCATATCAAAATTTGTTTTCTGGTCACTAAAACAATTAAACTGATGTTTCCACCCTGGAATTCAATGCCACAATGACTGTAACATTCAAAGTCAGAGTCGTGCAAATCTTGGGTTGGACCCCCATGATGATCCCAAGCATCACCTGCATTCCATGCGGTAGCTATTGGTGCGTTTGGGCGTCACATGTAACTGGAAATGTTTCTTCTGTTAGGTTCTATAGTGACTTTTTTCGTAGTCATTTGCATATTTTAGTATTATGCCCCCAAAATCAAATATCCCCTACTTTTTTTGAATAGTATATATCATATTCAGTTGGTGCTTGATAAATACAAAATAGAAATACAAAGAATTTACCTTCAGCTCTCATTAAACCAGTATTAAATTTAGTGAGTTTAATGACTTTATCATTAGAACCAGTAGCTATAAGATCTCCAGTAGGGTTCCATGCACTACAGTATATAGAACCTTTATGATGTTTGGCTTGTTTAAACACAACATCAGCTTCTTCTGTTGGTTGATCTTCTCTAAAATACACAAATCAATGGCAATATTCAAAAATAACATATTATACAATAATATATACATTGTGATAATTTGTATTTAACAAAGTCTGTGACAGGTGCCTTATGTCCAGGCTTGACAATAACAGTATTACAATTCTTTATTAAGATTCAAATTTAGACAAAAACATATTTACAGGAAGTAAAACTTACAGAACTGCAATAATTGCAATTAGAAGTAACATGGATATGTCACAACTTTCAATTTGTTTTCCCGAACATTTTGATTTTATTAAAACATCTTAATTGATATAAGCTTATTACTATTAGCTGACTTTGTGCAGTAAGTTAGGGCTGCAATTGTCCAACAAAAATACAATTTTGAGGCCATACTCGACACAGCATTCCAAATCATAAAGGCCCAGAAGATTTCCACAACTCACCTAACTTCTGATATATCGGGGAAAGCACAGATTCGCAACATTTTAGAGTTGGATCCAATAGCATAATAATTCCCTGTAGGGTGAAAAGCCACTGTTCTAATAGCTTGAGCATCTTCAAGCACATTGATAGCCACAAATCTTTGTCTATTTAATCCCTGAAAAAAGAAAAGACATTTTAATTTCGAGGAAAGCATAAATATTAACAGCTTTAGAACTATAATCTCAAGTAAATGGCTTGAATATATACTTGTACCATAGCACAGGTATTAGCAATTTAGTAGGAAAAATTTGCAATATCAATGTTTCCTTGAAATACCAAACTCAAATTGCATCTTACACACACATCAGAAATACAGAACGGTAGTTTTATTGATGTAGGTAATTGGAATGAGAAGGTAGGTATATTCTGTTCCAAATTCCAACTTCCATACCATTGAATCTTTTATGAGTGAGGATCATGTTTTGGTTTTTTTTTTGGTTTTTTTCATACCATCCTAACAACTGTATACACAGTTCTCGTTAGCCTAATGGGTTTTGTACTCCTAACAAATCGGGTTCTCAGGCCTTTAAGATAAATTCTGTCAAACATCTAAACCTCATATATCATTTCAATGGAAATCAACTGGTCAACTGAAATCAATATATATAAACTAGACAGAGATACCAACTTCTGATGTGGGTGAAAATATACTAGATATATCTTGTTCTGGAATATCTTCTTCTTCATAAATATTCCTTAATCCATGAACAGGACAAATATCTGGTACTGCAGCAGGTACTGATTTAGGTCGTGCCTTGGATGTTTTTTGTTTTGTCTTGCCTGGTTTCATCACTGGTTTATACCGTGCAGCCATTTTGAGGTTATCTTGTAAAATGGCCAATATGTCCTATCATTAGCTAAACTTGATTTATGACTTTTGAACTACTTATGAAACTAATTTCTCTTGTTGAGTAAACACATCTTTGTACTGCTAGCTAAATCCTCAATTGAAAAACCACTTCACTTTGAAAGTCCCTTTGAACATGATTGAAAACAGAAAACTTCTTTTAAGCCTTGCAACTCAATAAGCAAAATAAGCCCTTGTGAATCATATGTTTATGTACTTCAGAAACCTTGGTTTTCACTTTGGTATGTTCACTGATCAACAAGTTTGGTCAAAATAATTTACATTTCAGAATGCATAAAATCAAAGTTTTGTCAACATTACTCAATCCAATGTACCAATCTGTCTCCTATTTATCCACATAAAACAATGTTTAAAATGTGACCAAACACAAAACTACCAGACGTGTGTCTGATAGAGTAAAAAAAAATTTGTTGACTTAAAAACAATTTAGCGTGATGATAATTTTTCTTGCACATGTGCATGAAATCAGACACTTCCTTTTGCTTTCCAAATTGGTTTTGTTACCGTTCAGCATGAAGAGACTTTCTATAATGACACCACATCCTATACAACTAATGTAACAAAAAACCTCTCTACATGCGGTACATGATAATATTCATAACAGATATAATATAGTAAAAACACAGATTCATATTGCACCCATTAGACTCAAATCTAAATGTATCCTTAATCTAAATTACTGCTTGGTTGTTTTAACAAAAATTCTCAAACTCACTAATGCGTCACCATAGACAGATCTACATGTACAAATACAAGTGTCAGGGATTATTATGTTTAAATGCTGACTTCCACTATTTTCTTATTAACCATGTTAAACATGTAGTGTCAATATTAATCATTGGTGAACTCTTCCTATTTTAAGGTTATTCAAATAAAGGAAGTCAAAGAGCAAATCTTGCTACTTGACACATATAATACTTGAAGATATGATAAAACATAATTTATATCCAGTATATCAATAGTCATTTAGTAAATTCCATATATTTTGAACTAAAGGTCAACCTTAACAATGCATTATGCAAGAGCTATATGCCTATTGCCGTTTTTTTTCTGTCTTCAAATGCTATACAAATTATTATTCAGACATTTATTCATATGATTTTATTCGGATGGCCGAGAAATTAAGTGGATTACCCTTTGTTTATTATTCCTGCTTTGATTGATATGGTACTTTTTAAAATGAAGAGCATGAAATATGAAATGGCTGCAATAACTATAATATGACAAGAGGCAATAAAGGCTAGGCATTGGGTTTGTTTTGCCAAATTTACAGACTAAATATTAACAAAAAGTGGGTGTGACACCACCAGAGGGGGTCGGAAAAAAAATAGTGGTGGCTCAGCACCTGGGTGTCGGGCATTCACCAAACACAATAGTGATCATCCTTAGGGTATAAGGAACAGGTACATGTATGCAAAGTTTCAAAAAGATCTGTTAAGAATTGTGGCCTGTAGGCGACACAAAGACACATGCAAAAAATGGGCGTGGATCTCCCCCAGGGGGGCGGGCATTCACCAAAAATAATAGGGGGTATAAGAAATAAGTATGAAAAGTTTTCAAGACAATTCATTAAGAATTGAGGCCTGCAACACACAGACACACAATTGGCGTGGCTATGCGCCTGGGGGTTGGACATGCACCAAAAACAACAGGGGTGATCTTTGGGGTATAAGTATGCAAAGATTCAAGATGATCCGTTAAGAAATGCGTCCTGTAGATGACAAACAAACAAATACAAAAAATGGGCATTGCTCTGCCCCTGGGGGTCGAACATTCACCACAAACAATAGGGATCATCCTTAGGGTACAAGGAATAACTGTACAAAGTTTTAAGACAATCCATTAAGAATTGTGCCCTGTAGGTGACTCACAGACACACAAACATACACGTATAATAAATGGAAATTGCTGAAATTCAATAGGTTTCTTCATCTCACTAATTTAAACATGTATCAATTTCAAAACAATCAGATGATAAATGTAGTCTGTAGAGTGTTCACAAGAAATTGTAGACGAACTTACGGATGGGGGTGACGGCATGCGTATATTAAAAAAATATATTTTCTTAGTTGAATTAAAATACCTACCTTAGAAATGACATTAGCTCTGATTGTATCATGAGGCTGTTGTCTATAAGATGGGGGTGTGGCTGGTGTAAGGTGAGACATGTGTAAACTAGAGCCATTTTTACTTGGTGTAGTATCAATTGTTCCATCTTGTTTCAAATCTACAAATATTTCAAAGCATAAAATTAAAATATTCAAGTTTTCAGTAAATATTGTTTCTCACTCCCCCCCACCCCCTTCCACTCAAATATACCAATGAAAATAATCCACAAAATCTGAAGGAAAAAATTGAAACTAAGTGTGAAAAGGTTTAGGTGCCACACCCAGAAGTATTGTCATACCATATATATACATGTATATCCTTTATTGCTCAAGAATCATATAAAAAAAAAACCCAAAAAAACCCCAAAACTACTAAACAGAATGTTATATATATAAAATAAGATATGCATGCAATCTATTACATATGGATATTTAAAAAAAACCCAAGAAAATCACATAAATGACAGACAATAGCTATTGTTTAATTTGAAGAAGCTCAGACCAAACACAAAAAATAAGGGAGATACAAACCAAAGACAATACAATATATATTAAATTTTAATTCATTTTCATGGAGTTACATGATCTCCATTTCTTATATATATATAAACATTACAACAGAGGGGGGTACAAAAAAAGAACAAAAAAGAACAGAAAAGATAAAATACATCATGCATATTTTACAACAAACAAAACTTATTTGACTGTAACAGAATACATAAGTGCAAAAGCATTCATTCAACTTTTGCAAGCTGGCTAAAAATTCTCTACTTATAACTAGGTGATCATATTTCACTCAGAACGTTTACATTAAGAGTCAGACTAACATTAAAGTAATATTAACAGGGTACAACAGATGTTTTAAAAACAAACTAGATGAGTAAAATACGAAATTACAGTTGGATGTTTTTTTATTATACACCTGGTTGATAACATGTCTGCTAAAATCTACATTTTGCACTGCTGTTAGCTGGCAGGTATATGTATAGTCAGAAAGTTCTATTAATGGTTCATGTAAATAGAGTCTATGTGCTCCACATAATACTTGCATCAGAAAATATAGTCCTTCAGTTAGAGATAGCATAATTGGGATTTATAATGTAATTGACCAATATTATCCAATTAAGGATGATCTATGGTCAATTATTAAAAATATTGATCATCCTAAATTCACCACCATCATTTTTATATGTGTACATGAATATGCATTAAAAGTCATCTATCTTTATGAAATCATTCATGGTTTGATAACTCTCACTGAAAACTACTGACATTCCATTTAGTCTGTAGTTCAGTTTAGATTTCTGAAGCCCTTGAATACTGAATAAACAATGGGTGACTACATGTATGTGATCTTGTGGCATTTGAAATGAACATAACTATTACCAGATCAATAGATTAGCCTTATAGCTACAAAATTGGATGACACAAGAAATAAAACTATAATATGTACATACACCAATGTCTATATATGGTGCATTTCATTGGCTTTCAAATTTAATATCATTTACTTTGGTTCATTGAAGGTGGTGAATGGTGATCTGTTTTTAACAATCTGGTCAATATACAAGTAAGCTGGCAAAACAACAGTCAATATCTATTGATCATACTTAAATAATTCACAATTAATTCATCTTTTTCAAGTCATATACAACTACCATTAGTAGAATATGGAACTAATCAAATGACACAATCATGTATTAGTATAATAAATAATTTTCTGCTTTTGATAAGCATGGATCCATCAGTCTAATTAAAATCTGTTATTATTTGATATCATCTCTTTTCATGTAAACATACATCAAGTACAGATCATTCACAAGGACAATCATCGACATCAAATGTAGGGTGGACATATTGAACAAGAAAACTCAATGGAAATAAATAATTTAATTTCAGTTAGATTAATGAATCCACCACCAGGGCTCTCACTTCAAAATTTTAAGTATTTTTATGAATAACACATATTTATACTATTTATACAAGTAGTGTTTGAAAGGTAAATTTCTGAAAGAACTGACAGATCAATTTCACAACCAATTAGTCAAGACTAGTAATTATGAATGAAATGAGAGTCCTGGAATCAATGTCTCAATACAAAACTACATGTTTAATTAATCCATAACTTTAACAATTCAAACTAAGTGCCATGTAGTGTTGTACCAGTAGTTAAAGACTATTTTGTTCAAAATTTCTCAGATGCAGAGTTAGTAGTACATATAAGCTTTCAATCAATAACAAGCTTATGCCAAGGTTGGGAATTTAGTTATAATACCTTTACTTGTTGTCTTGTTTTTAACAGTCGTATTTGTAAACTGTTTTCTGGTAGCAGTAGGTGTTCTCGGTTTACCTTTTGCTAAAAAATACCAACTACTAGTGTAAAATAAACAAACTACTAGTGGCAATGTAACATGTACATGCATAAAGCTAAAATGATATCTAATAAACAAAACACCAATACATTTGTACTTCCAGCCAAGTTATTGTTTACTTTGATGGCCTGGATACTTTTCCAAATACAAGCACAGGTAAGTGTACCTATAAATTGTTTGGCAAAAAAAGTTTGAAGGCTGCCTTAGAAATTGCACCAACAAAAAATATTTAAAATAAAGATAGGTTGCCAGCCAACAAAATATATGCACACAACAGCTAAGTTGTCCTAACAATCTATAAAGGCTGTCACATTTTTGTTCTTTTGGGATAATTTAATATAATAAAAACAAGATTTATAATTTCCATAAACTGTTCATTGCCTACATATATCGATGTATGTGTTATGTATAGTTCTAAGTTATATCTTTCAATGTCATGCTAAATAAGAATGGTAGTCTAAATAAAGCACCGAATAAGAAATATCCTGTGCAAATTGGTTTATTTCAAAATCTTCATTCTGCACTATACAGACAGTTTGAGTTTTACATGCCTCAAAATTTATGGCATTCCATACGAGTTTCAAGCTTTTATTAATAATTATTCATTGTATTTATTTGACTATTACATTTATGCAAAAGCATGCTTAAAATAACAACTATAATATGTGTAAGTATTATCTATATTATGTGTAACAAACATTTAAAATTTACATAATATCAATACTATATCATTAGTTAAATTATCAAACTGCACCATGTATAAATACATACGGTAATAAAAATCTTTCTTTTATAGATATATTATTCAAAGCCGCAGATCGTTATTGGAGAGATTTTGAATCATCTAGAATATTGTGAAAGTTGAATCTCCAAAAGGAATATCAGTCCAAAAATGGTTCAGTATTAACAAAGATATGAAGAACTGAAGATATAAACAAGCCAGCGTCACCTACAAGTGTTGAATCCTCTGATCTAAAACCGGAAGATTATCTACCACTGATATTTTGATATTGTTTTCTTAATTAAATATTAAATAATCAATATAAGTACATTTTAGTATTGATTGATTAAATATTGTACGATCAGCGACTTTATAACTTGCAATAAATATAACTATACATGTACTTATTAAAACATAAAGCATCATTATCATGTCTATGTACCAATATACAAAATGTTAGTAGGTCATATTCAGCAATGGATGCAAAAAACACACGACTTAGCACTCTCAATGCATAGATTAATGTACCTGATGCAAACGAGGTTTTAGGCTTGGAGGAGTCGGGTACACTCAAACTTCTGTTGTATATTTTTGCCTTACAAGCACCAGAAGCAGACTTCAGATTTCTTTTGGGAAGAGTTCCATAATTTGACACTGGAGTTGAGGTTTTTTCACCTTCTGGTACAAGATCAAATTTGGCATCTGGAACACTGTTACTTCTTCTCAATCTGGGCACTCCACAAGATGAGGCTTCACCAGCTTTACTACTTGTACTTCCTGATCTTCTTCTAGCTAACCCTGGTGACCTATGGCTATCAAATTTTTTGGGAGCAGAGGTTTTGGCCTCTTCAAATTCAATTTCAAAACAAGTGGATTTTTTACGAGCAATGCATTTTGGCATACCTGATTCGAAGTCGAGCTGGTTAATATCTAGACTGAGGTTATGGTTTTGTTCTGATTCGATGGTTGTGTCAATGTCTACTGGTTTGGGTAAATTGGGTTCAAGTGGTGATGGTAGATTACTGTTGTTGTGGTGACTGCTATGCTGTGAATTTTGAGAATCGATGGGTGATGACTGAAATGTCAGTTGTGTGTTGACAGGAATTAAATTTGGAGAACTAGGTTCTTCACCTATAGGGCATCAGTGAAAACAAAATCAGCAACAGAAAACACAAAAGCAGATACCGGTAATATAAAAAGAAATACATACATAAGTCTTATCTGAACATGATGTATTTTGAAAACATCTCCATGACCACAGAACTTCATTTTTACTACAAAAAGGATTATCTCTAAAATTACAGTATCAATTCAATGTAGAAAATTACTGGTTCTGAAAATTATTACCATTCAAATCCATGTATACATGTACCACTATCTGTACGTAAATTTTTAAATTCTAGTATTTTTCACAACACTTATGTGTATACATGTAATACATAATGTTCAGCGGAAAATAATAATACACCACTACCAAATAGAAAGAATAACAACCACTGGAGACATTTAAAATAAATATTAAAAGAAATATAGGCTATACATTGAAATATGAAAAAAGGACAATCATGCAATGATAAAGTGTGTTTTTATTAAATATATCCATGAATGATTTTGTGACTCAAAGCTAGAAGAGTACATGTAAAAGTAAATACATATAAATGTGCCTTTAAAACTTCACATTAAGAATAATCATATCATTCGGTTTACCGTTTAAGACTATGTCATTATCCATCACAAAAAAATACTTACAAGTGCTTTGGTTTATAGATGTAAACTGATTAGGTTGAGGCGACTCATCAATGAATCGGTTGTCATTTAAAATAGTCTTTTGTCTTAATTCAATCTCCATCAACTCCCTTTGACATTGTTCCCTTTGTCGCTCTTGTTCTTCAAGTTGATCCTACAAGGCAAAGATTGGAATCAAATACAAATGGATGATAAACACTTTTTAAAAGACATATTTTAAAGATAAAAAGTTAATGGATTTTTTTTATGAGTGGTGCTTACAACCTTTAAATTCAAAAGATTGGTATATATACATGTACATGTAATTTAACTTTCATTCTACATATATAGTGACGTCCCTAAATTATACCAAAACTTTTAAACAATCTTAACTGTTTGATAATTTAACTCTGTTTCTATACAGAGTAACGTCCATACATTGTAGATAATATCAAAACTTTTAATAAATATTGTTATTAATTTTACAGTTACAAAAGAAAGCAAGGCATACACTTAATATGAAACTACCAATCAATAGAAACGGGGGTAACAAAAATCAATTACAGACGGTTTGATGGGATCAATTTTGACTAAGTCAAAATAATGTATTTATACAATAATAAATAGAATACAATATCCAAAAAAAAACCATCGTTTTATCCAGTCATTTTTTATTTAGTTCTTCATCCCTGGAGAAGTTAGTATTTTTACTGACGAAACGTTGGATAAAACGATGTTATTTTGATATTGTATTCTATTAATTATTGTATCACATTTCAATGTGGGCGTATAAAAAGTTATTATAAAGAGAAATTAAAATCAAATGTTCTAGCATGTTCATACCTGTAATCTTTGTTTTTGTCGGTGATACTCTTTATACATGTTTAATTCTTTACTTGAATCTGTACTCTGTGAATCTGTACTACTCTTTCCTGTTCTTACAGCATCAGCTGTAACACTAGCTGATGGTGAATAACTCTGTACAGGTGCCGGTGTAGAATTAGCTGAAGCTGTATCAACTTGGCGTCTTGGTGATTCATGTCTTGGTGGATTTTGTGATGGTGATGGTGATGCATGGGCTGTTTCGACCAATGATGAATGAGTATTAATGACCTCACCATGAGCGAACAATTTATCAATTGACATCAACATTGGATTATTTTTTACAGCCGCATTTGACATAGCTGCTGCGTTAGCTGGTGCCACTGATCGAGAAAGAAGACTGAAATCTCCAGACGTGTTCATGACATCTCGTCGACCCTGCCATAAGCCACTACTCAATCCATCAAACTGAGGATTGAGAGAGCGAGTCATCATCTCTGCTGACCGGGGTCTAGCAGTGGGTACTGCTGAATGGGGAAACATCTTCGGTTTGATTGGGGTAACCAATATTTGTTCAGACCAAGATGCCTCTAAAGATGGTTTTATCAATGGTTGAACATCAATATTTACTTGTTTTTGTTCAAATGGACATGAAAACGTGTCGTAAGGTATACAAAGCAGCCATGATATCAAACTAAGATCAGCATCACTGAAACCATTATCATTCAAAACATTCATGTATTTCAAATCACAGTCATCATTAGTAGCTTGTTGTTGGCAATACTCAACACAAGATTCATACAGCAATCCCTTTAACACAAGCTGTATTAATCGATCATTTTTCGCAACATTCTTTTTATCTGAACTACTGGAATCCAGTGGAAGAAACTTCTCAACCAATGGGCATATATCCTTAAAACATTCAACCCTGGCATTACTAGGATTCCAATTTTGATAATCAATATGATCGGAGAGTTTGGGTAAAGAAAGAAGAAAACAAAGATTACTGTATTCTTCTTTAGAAGGACATAGTTCTTCCAATGAGTTCAAACATTTAACAACTTCATCAACTGTGAATTCATAATTTTGCATGACATTTGGTTCTGATTTAATACAAAGAAGTTCGAGATATTTGTGTTTCATGATCAGATAGTGAAATTTTTTCATATCAAATTGGTCAACAGATGCCAATGGTTGAATAAAATCCATAACATCGTCCCACTGTCCGTCTAGAATAAGCTGACGTAGAAATAACATATCATCTGAATACATTCCATTTATTATACCAGTCTCCCGCTCTAACGACATCATCGAAATGTTGAGCTGTCGATTTTGAAGAAATTCTGACACCAGTCTGACAATGTCAGTCTCTTTAACAGTTAGCTGTGGCGAAGGCATCTTGACTGTATCTGATTACCAATTTATTAACAATTTTTTTTTCAATTCACAGTAGACTTTTTCTGCTGTACCTAAAATAAAAGATAATATATTGATTAATTAAATGATCTTAAAAAATCAATGGTTACATTCTTCAAAATTTACTATGTGTAAAGTGTAAAGAGTAGTGTAAAGGGATCACAATGGCTAAGTGGGTAAGACGCTGGCTCACTAGCCTGGAGGTCGGGAGTTCGATCCAGATTTTCCGGTGTGGTTTAGCCCAGTTTAGGAGCAGAACAGTAGGACATTAAACCCCATTTCAGTTCATTTCAGCTTTCAGTTTATTTTTAGTACTTTTATTCTGGATCGTCTTGGATGTAAATTGTTGTATTACATGTATATAGACGGGACAACGGGTACTTTTCATACATCAAATTATGTGAAATAAAAAGAAATAAATGATTCTTTTTGGCAAAAAATAAAGAATCACAGTGAAAAATAGAAGGTAAGGGTTCCAAAATAACCTGAGAGCTGTGTTTTACCGTATTCTTGCAGCTATATAGGGACAGATCAGAGACAGTTCCTAAAGGAACTACAAAAAGTGATCACGTCACTCAGAATAAAGTAATTTGAATGAAATTTTCAATATATTAATTTTAGATTATCTATTTTGGACTATACATCTAGCAAGAATGGCCAGCTCTTTATCTAATGCACCTTTAAGCCATAGGATTAGGAATCACTTGCAAACTACACGTACAATAATAAAATGAAATTGTGATAGGAATATCAGCCCAAACAATGGTTCCATTCAGTATTTACAAAGATATATGGACTTAAAACTCTATGCCGCTCTCTATGTATTAAAGACCACATAAGATTAAAAATCTTAATTGAATTTACTTATAGCCAATGCTTTTATCCATTTTACGGCAAGTTCAAACCAATCTGATTAAAATTAATTCAGCTATTGAGGTTTAAGTATCCGAAAGCCAAAGATAGGTTGCCAGGCATCGAAACATACGCCCACAGCAGCTAAATCATCCGGGCAGTCAACAAGTGTTGTCACATATTTTTTACTTTTTTTGGTAATGAAACATTTATAATACACTACAATCTGATTAAGAGTAACAACTCATGAAGTAATTATCAATCTGAAAGTTAATCGGATGATAACTTTAGCCTCTAGAATGTCACAATTTTTTTCAAAGTGATCAAGGGCCATAAGTTTGGCAGTAATTATCGGAAATCATTGAAGATCAACAGGCTTCTTCGACTCATGACCTTTAACACTGTGTATAAATTTAAAGTCAATCGGATATTAACTTTAGCCTCTAGAGCGTCCTCAAGATTTTTCAAAGTGATCGAGGGCCATAATTCTGGCAGTAATTATCGGAAATCCCTGAAAATCAATAGGATTCTTCGTCTCATGACCTTAAACACTGTGTATAAATTTAAAGTTAATTGGATATAAACTTTGGCCTCTAGAGCGTCCACAAGATTTTTGAAGTGACCAAGGGCCATAACTCTGGCAGTAATTATCGAAAATTGCTGAAAATGAATAGACGTCTTCGTCTCATGACCTTAAACACTGTGTATAAATTTAAAGTCAATCGGATATTAACTTTGACCTCTAGAGCGTCCACAAGATTTTTCAAAGTGATCAAGGGCCATAACTCTGACAGTAATTATAGGAAATCGCTGAAAATCAATAGGCTTCTTCGTCTCATGACCTTAAACACTGTGTATAAATTTAAAGTCAATCGGATATTAACTTTGACCTCTAGAGCGTCCACAAGATTTTTTGAAGTGATCACGGGCCATAACTCTGGCAGTAATTATCGGAATCGCTGAAAATCAATTTGCTCCTTTGTCTCATGACCTTAAACACTGTGTATAAATTTAAAGTCAATCGAATATTAACTTTGACCTCTAGAGTGTCCACAAGATTTTTTT